CCTAAACCCTAAACCCTAAACCCTAAACCCTAAACCCTAAACCCTAAACCCTAAACCCTAAACCCTAAACCCTAAACCCTAAACCCTAAACCCTAAACCCTAAACCCTAAACCCTAAACCCTAAACCCTAAACCCTAAACCCTAAACCCTAAACCCTAAACCCTAAACCCTAAACCCTAAACCCTAAACCCTAAACCCTAAACCCTAAACCCTAAACCCTAAACCCTAAACCCTAAACCCTAAACCCTAAACCCTAAACCCTAAACCCTAAACCCTAAACCCCTAAACCCTAACCCCTAAACCCTAAACCCTTAACCCTGGGCCAAACCCTAAACCCTAAACCCTAAACCCTAAACCCCTGGCCCTAAACCCTAAACCCTAACCCCTCAATCCTAAACCCTGAACCCTAAACCCTACACCCTAAACCCTAATTCACAGTCCCATGCAGGAGGCCATGTTATGGGTTGCCAGAGGTGGCTCACAATTTATGGAGGTGGGTGTGAATTTAAATAAGGTTTGCAGTGGCTTGCAAGGCACATGGGGTTGCCTTGGAGGTGTGCAGGGGATCCAAGACCCTTGGCATGGCTGGGAGGACTCGTATGGGGCCCATACATGATCCTGCATGGGTGCCAAGTGATGCGGCACCCTGTGCAGGTGTGCAGCATGGTGTATACATATGCCAGGTGCATGGCTGCATCCTGTGCCCACTTGGAGCATGTGTTGTGCTTGTGCAGTGGGTCCAAGGGTCCTCAAATCTCACAAAGGGGTCTCATACATCCCAAACACCAAGTGTGAGCCGGGGCAGTGGTCATCTGCAGCCCAAGGCCAAGTCTTGCCAAGTGTTGCCAAGTGTTGCCAAGTTACATGCCAACATGGGAAAGTAGGTCTTGAGCATAAGTGCCATTGGATGAAATCCCCTTGAAGCCATGCATTCACCCCTTGAAAAGGGCCATATATGAAACTTAGCCAAGGGGGTATGCCACCCTACAGCATGCAAGGCTTCACATGGCAGGCAAAGCAAGATACTGAACCCCTGTCTCCCTAAATAAAATAAATAAAAAAAAAAAAAAACGGCCGCCTCTGATGCGCTCGCACCGGTACCTCTCTCTTCCACATTTCGTCTCCTGTTCTGCTTCATTGTCTCTGGTGCTTCCCAAGCGTGGTCCACCATGTGCATGCACCCCGGCTCCCTGTGACAGCAGTGTTGTCAGCTTGGTCTCATTTCTGATGCGTGCCTTTCGCAGGGGCCGTCCACCCCTCCCAAGAAGCGCGTGTTGCGGGCCGCTCGCGGCTCCCCCGCCGCTTCCGAAGCTGCGGCTCCGACCAAGCGCGCGCGCAAGCCCACCGGTGCGCGGCGCAAGCCGGTACCGCCAAGGCGCTCGAATCTGTGCGCATGCACTCGGCTAAGTGACGCCGAGAGCACCCCAGCGCTTAGGCAATGTACCGCGTCAAGAATCTTCTCAATGCACGCGTCTACATCGGCGTCACGCAGGACTTTCCGGCCGCGGCCAGGGCCGCTGCGCACCTGCGCCCCTCTTCCTGCCGCCCGCGCATGCGCGTTGATCTTCTGCGGTATGGCCGTGATGCCTTCCAGTGCCCTGTCTTGGATGTGGTCACCCCCCCTGCTCAGGCACATGTTTTGGAGAAGAGTTACATCACCCTGCAATCAGGGGTCATGGGTTACAACACCGTGATGGAAGGTGCCCCGGGGCACAGCCGCCGTGTTTGGGCTATTATCAGAGCTTCCAATCGTGCTGCATGATGCTCTGTGTTGTTGTTGGAATATCATGCGTTTCATGTCAGCCTTGTAGTGTTGTCAACTTGCACTTCTGCCACTAATGAACCTTCCACTACTTGCAACGTTGTCAAGATTAAGAATTCTGCAGTCTTTTTGACTTCATTCCACGCCATGCCATGCCTTGTATGATACCAAGCCTGTGGTTTGCTGAGTGACACTATGCTCATATGCTCCGGATCCGCAACATTCTGATGCACGCATGTCAATCAAGCGGCACCCGTGTAATCATCTTATATCTAAAATCTTGAATGCCTACTTCCATGCATCATGCACAGCCAACACTGCTGTCAGTCAATGCCCCACGTGCGGACCACACTAGTTCACAGCTTCGGGCAACTTCATTAGGGAAGCTGCCGGCGGGGCCACGTGAGGTGCAGGGCAGCTTCCGGACCCCACGCAATCGATGGTCAACGAGAACCTTCCATAATTTGTGTCGTAATTAGATATTACAAAGCCAAAGTGCTCCCTCGACCCTCTAGTCGCGATATTTATCGCTCTGAAGACTTTGCGACAGCACAGGGCTGCATACAGAGCATTGACAGGAGACCCGGCTGGCATCCGAAAGCGTCATGGGAGCGGGAACAACTCCGATCATACCAGACCTTCAGGGCAAACGTGTACTTATCACTGGTGAGTTAGGTTCCTTCAATATATCTGGTTCACTCGATAAAAGATTGATGAACCTTGTGAAGTACCCTGATCTCCTGATGTCAACATGATCTGCTGATCGCTTTTGCTTGCGCCAACAACTGCAGCAATGAAGGGGTCATTGCTAATTGAAGGGGTACTCAAGTCGGTTTTTTGTGGCTCAGTACTTCGTCTTTGCACATTTTGAGCATCCCTCGAAAGCACAACTTCTGATTCTGAGAGGCACCTCGTTTGCATTTGGGTGCCACCAGATTCTCAAGAATTTGATTTATGCACGATGCAGGTGGATCTGCGGGCATTGGCAAAGCGGCTGCTCATCAGTTTGACGCCAATGGATGCCATGTCGCGGTGCTTGGGAGGAGGCTGGAGCGCTTGGATGCAGTGGTGAGACAACCATGTTACTTATGCTCCGGCGTTGCAAGCAACACGACTGCACTTGTCACAAATGCATTCGCAACTCTGATGTACAGGTAGAAACTCTCAAACAGACTCACATATCTTTTGTGCTTCACAGTCAAAGCAGCTGAAGCATGGAGTCTCGATTGTGGCAGACCTGACAAAGGAGGATGACATGAAACGCGCTGTCAAGGAGGCCATTGAGAAGCTGGGGGGCCTGGACATTCTGGTCAACAGGTGGGTGCCAGGATGCAGGCCAACCACCAAAGTGAATTTAGCACTTTATCATCAAGCATCTTTTGCTGTCCTGAAAAACCCTCATGGAACTTGCTTGTTCTGTGGCATTGGGGCCGTGTGATGATTGGCTCACTCCTGCCTGGTGCAGTGGCGGAGTCACCACAGAAGAAATGAACGGCAACGATGAGGCTGCCTACATAGCTGCCTTCAAGCTGCACGTGACAGGTACTTTCATTTATGTGCACCAGAACATGTGGGCGTGTTGCAAATTTGGACTGCACCCCTGTCTCAGATAGCTGTTGTGAGGAGGCTGCAGAAGTGCCTAAAGATAGACTTTGCGAGCCTTTGTGTGAATGGCTGCATGAGCTGATGGGGCACTCTTGCACTGCAGGGAACCTGACACTCATCAGGGCAGCGGAGGAGGAACTGATCAAGAACAAGGTATATTGCTTTCATCTATATGCGCAATTTTTGCAAATTGTTGCTGATCGTCTACGGGAGTGCTCTTCAGCTGCTCTCTGAGGGGGAAAAAAGAAAAACAAGTGATGACCCCTCATTTTGTTTCCTCAGTATGTGTGTTTCTGCTTGTGCAGGGCGCCATTGTGAACATATCCTCAGTTGCAGCGATATTCCCCGCAGCAACATTTGCTCCATATGGCGTGGCCAAGGCAGCACAGGACAAACTGACACAGGACCTGGCCTTTGAGTTTGCTCCCAAAGGGGTGCGCGTGAACTCCATCCTCCCAGGTGCGGAACCCCACCTGTTCACTGCACACAAACTGCACCCAGTCACTGGCAGTGTGATTGTTATCACAAGAGATGGTGATAATATGGTAGTATAATCTGCATCCCTTACTTTGAGTGTCACTGCCATTTGATCAAATTGTGCCTTGGCCTGCCTGCCCGTTTCTGTCAGCGCGTCGCCCACAGCAGTGGGGCTGCATGAATAGCTTCCATACATTTGCAACCCTGGTGATAGCGTGTTATAGAAGGAATGCATGCCTGATGCAATTGCTGTGCTGACATGCAGCTGCGATCAACACAGAGGCATTTGATAACATGGCTGAGAAGCAAGGAGTCCCCAAAGAGGAGATCATAGCAAAGCTTGCACCACACCATGCGCAGAATCGCGTGGCTGAGCCGGAAGAGGTCGCGGCCCCCATCGTGTTTCTGGCATCCAACGCAGCTTCTTTCATCACCGGGGTCAACCTGCGGGTCGACGGAGGCGCTACCTTAGGGTGAGACCCTGTCCACTTGCCTAATGAGTCAAGGATCTGAGAAGTGGATATTTCCTTCTTTTGCTCTTGTACAAGACATGTCTTTGCCTGGATGTACTGTGTTTCCCTTGGCAGCCTGCACGATTATGGATAGCTGCAAGCCCACGCTGCCCACTGCCATTCGAGCCATTTAGTAAGCCAATGATGTCTGCGCAGGTACTGGTTCAACAGGGCGAGTATGTTTGAGTGAGCATGCTGGAGTGCATGTTTGCAGTCAATGTTTCCAGGAGTTACACTATACTACAATGAATGACTGCTCGATGATGCCACCTGATCAATCGTTGATTTCTGCATATGGCGTTCCTGCAATCCACTTAGGTCAAAATGGCAAATACTAGCAGGTAACTGCTGAGGACAGCTATGATGGCACATGCTATGAAGGACTACCTTGAAGATATGGTGGAAACCCAGAGAACTTGCAAGAACAGATGTTGTACATACAGCCGCTGAGCACCACACAGGCGTTTCATTCCAAATGGGCAAAGACATTTGCTGTCTCACAAGTAAGAGACTCCGAGGATTTGCCGCGAGGCCTCACCCTTCTCTATTTTCCACTGTCGCTAAAGAAGGTGCTCTTAATTTCTTGATCAGTAAAAGACACTTCACACTCCCTTTACTTATGACAAAGCGGCCATGAAATGTGTATTTATTGACCATTTCAATGACTGTTTGACAGCAGTGAGCAAAATGTGTCTCAATTACCACAAGACTGCGCGCGCCTCATGCTCAGGCTTATGCATAGGCCTCCTGCCAATTACTTCTGTATCAAAAGATTTGTCACATATGTCCACGTTGCATTGCTTAGCTAATAGCCCCTGAAGGGTTTAGGGTTGCACCTCGCGCTTGTTCTTGTCAGAGACCTTGACTCTACAGTTGGCCGCACGACTGTGTGTCAGCAACCCTGACATCGCTACACATGTTGACTGGACTGAGACAGCGCTCTACTCATGACCATTGTTCTCATACTAGTACAGACAATCCTGGTGTGTGAAATATACAAATCCCACAGAAGCAACTGGTGTGCGGACAGACTCTGGCCAAGTCAGGGATTGGGGTTCAGCGCCAGCGCAGGAGCATCTTGATGGCCACCCAGTACTTGGGCGGGTCCCAGTAGAAGGCAAAGCCGATGTCCGTCAGCTGCACAATGCGTCGGAAGACCGTGAGCACGTTCTGGGCCTCGGCCACACTGTCCAGCCAGCCGCCCCGCTGCCAGACCAGCCACAGCATCAGCAGCGTGAAGTATAGCAGCGGCATCAGCACATCCACTGTGCGCCGACCTGCAGACAAAAGCAGAGCATTTCATCTGACTGTCTCACATGTTGGCTGCAATGCCGAAGACCTGCAGCAAGTCAGGCAGCCATGGCATGCATGAGCAAAAGTTTCCCCCTATTCAGTGCAAATGGATGCTGTCGTGTCAAATTACATTGCTGTGCACACTGTCTTGAGAGGCATCCTGCATACCTTCTTTCTGGTGCACAATCTCTGCTTCCACCGCTGCAGTCGCAAATACCTTGGCCAGCTCATCTGCAAGCATGCAGGAGTTTTCAGAGGCTGCTTGAGCAGCTGCACATGCGAGGCATAACATGGAGCACAATCCTGATTCTTAGGTGTCATGCATGCAGCAAAAATGTGAAATGTAGCCATGATCAAATGGCAATCAAAGCATGGGCGCATCAGGTATGCAATTCACCTCCATGAGACACAATGGCACTCGAGAGTCCCGCATTCACAGCCGAGGCAAGGTCGACGATGGTGTGCGAGTCCACTGACGAGTCTGCCAGGCATAAAATAGTATTTGTCAGTGCTGCAATTTGCTGTTTTGTACATAAAGAATACTCTACCACCGCTTGCATCATCTTCTGGGCATTAGGCATCACTTGTGTCACTGTCACCCGGTCGCATGAGTTATGTCTGCAGCTTGAGAGGCATGAACACTTCACTCCGTATGGGTCAATTGCAGCGCACCTGGAATGTAGAAGTATGTGCCTGGCTCCAGGCGCTTTGTGGCCTCAGTGATGATGACACCGTGCTTGTCCTCTAGCACTCCCCGTGTGAAGCAGCAGTGTTTGCTGAGTGCCTTGAGGATGGCTGCAGCACCATCCTCACTGTGGAACCTGGCCTCTGGGCCAAAGCCTGGCCCAGTGCCCTTAAGACGGACGGTGATCAAGCTCTCTGCCTTGTGATATGCACGCCCATTTGCATACACCATCATCTCCCCTCTGTCCATGGCCATTCCTGCACTGCCCTAGACCAGCCCACGAAAGTCAACGCTTTGCTGTGATCATGAGCTGGATACAAGGACGATTCCAATGATCGCAAGCTATCATGCACGGTAAGGCAATGGCTGGATCGATTGCGCTGGCACGGCCCCATCACGGCGCCATCTGCCCGACACCTCGCATCCGTGCAGGAACAGCCGGAGCGCGTGATCAATCCTGTCTGATTGTCGAGTTCTATTCTATGGATGATGTGTAGATATTCTTTGAGCATTTTATATACATAATCTGGCTGTTCTTGGCAAGACTGCGTCGGGATCGCTGACAATGCTGTTCTGATTGGCACGAGCCACCTGGGGCGTACCTCAACAAGACTAAATACTCGTGCTCGGCAGGAGTTGCATTCCACCTTTGGCACACGAGGTTGCCTGCGCCTTTCAGATGACGACTGGAACGGAACAAAGATGATCTAGTGGGCTCCGTTACAACGCCAGTCGCGCAGGTCCCAAAGGATTCGTCTACTGGCACGACAGATGGGTCAGTGTGATGCAGCGAGAAGTACTTTGAAATCTTTGTATGGGCCGAACGTGCTCGCGGCGTCCCAGCGAGCGTGCGCATCAGCTGTCGACTGATAAGAATGTGGAATCTTTTGGCTGCAAGAAAGGAATCTTCACCCTGCGATTATAGGACGCAACCTACCCAATAGGTTTCCCATGGGGGAGCTGGTGCAGAAAATAGTGCAGGCGTCAAGTGGGAAGAATTGGCATGTTTGGAAAGATATGCTGCCTTCTTGGTCACATCAGCAATTTCATTTTTGAACTTCAAAGCTGCTCATCTGGATTGTTCGAGTGCCGATATCCAGTGTGCTTACAAATTGTTCCTAGAACTTACATTAGTACAACCATTCATTGTAAAAGGACTTCCACAATTTTCCTGCATTTCAGGATGGATGTCTAGAGCCACAGTACACAGCACGTGCTTGCGCCACTGCAGCTGCTCTGTTACGAGCACAACAAAGGCGCTTTTCAACTTACTAGCAGGACAGCAGTCAAGTGATGTTCTGCCAAATCATTATCAACACAGGCTTTTCCTGCCAAAAGGCAAGGTACGTCCTGCAGACACTCTGCAGCTTGGGCTGCCATAATGTTGATGGACTCGCCAGATCCAAGCAAGACCCAATCAATTGTGGGCACGGTGCACAGTATTTATACCGCCGCCCCGCCAGCCGGGGCCCGGGATTCTGCCAAATATGACAATTAAAGTGAGCAATTTCGAAGAATCACACAAGAATTTGCAGCATTGTTGGCCAAGTTGCGGACTAGGCATATCACTCCATAGAACTCCGGCGAGGGTGACTGTTACGCCAGCTGGCGTCATTATTCATCCAGTCCATCAATTATGGCAGCTTCAGGCGGTCTTGGAATCGGTCAAGGTTGCTCTTGGTCAGCACGGTGATCTGCAGCATTCACAGGCTGCATCAGCACAGGCACACATCTTGGAAAGACCAGCCAGACAGTTGAGCACTCAGCAAGCAATAAGCATCACAACATGGGCTCAAAGCAACAGTGATATGAGGCCCTCTTCCCACTGAAGCCCCACCTGGTCCCTGCGCAGCGGCTGCTGTGTGAAGGGGCACTTGCCCTGCTCCGCCAGCACAGCAATCCAGGTGGCCAGGCCCATCACATGGCCGGCCGGTGACATGGCAGGCGTCACCACAGGCTCCAGCGTGATGGGGTCGATCACATGGGGCAGCGGATTGTCTGCATCAGCCACGGCCGTGCTGCCGCCATCGCCCGCACGCCTCCTGGCACGCTCGGCCCGGTCCAGACCCGACCACCTGATCCACAGACAGGAGCGCACATAATTCCACGGAGATAGAACGGAAACATGCATGCATGCACAGCTGGATCCAGAGTGCATGTCATGTCAGGCTGTGCTATAGATGCGTTGAAAAGAAGTCAAAAAACATTCAAAATCTCAGAAGAGTGTACATCTTTACCCTTTGAATACTGAACAAGGAGCCTGGGAGACGCTCAAGCATAGACATATTGAGAGAGCAGGTGTTTCAAACGCTGCCGCTGACAGGGTTCCCAATGGTCTTGGTCTCACTCACACAATGAAATGCAAATCCATTTTGCGACCTACAAGTGAGGGAATGCAGCTCAAAAGGTGAGCGCACCTGTTGCCCGCATACACCTCCTCATTGTCCCGCGCCTCGTCCGCATCATCTCTATCGGCATCTGTCCCCCGGCCGCCCCGTCTGCGGCGGCGTGCGGCGCCTCCTGACGGGGCAGGGAACAATCTCGGCAGCGCTGCAGCCGAACTCCCCTGTGTGCCCTTCCTGTCCGGGGCTATGCCGTGGACTTGCCCGTACGCCAGCCGGTCCTGAAGCCACACACAGTTATAGCACCCTTCAATATCTTCCTGCCCAATGATTGCTGGCAGTACAACATCCTCAGCTGCTTGGTGGACCGGAATAAAGCTGTACAGGAGGGATTCTTCCGCGTGGCTGCGTATTAGCTTCTGTGGATACAGGGTCTTGCAATCTAAACAGTGTCCAAGCAAAGCGGCATGCTTATCCCCACTCACAGGCGCGCAGTACACCATTTGCGGTGTGAGGAAAGGGGCAGAAAATGCACCTCCTTCCCGGCCCAATAGCCGGTGCAAAGACCTTCAGGGTCAAGCGCCTCAATCTGCTCCAGCAGCTCTGGGTGTGTCAGCCCAAAGTACTCCGGCCCTGCAATTGCTGTCTTGGGCGGCGGCGGCAAATCCGCTCCTGCGCTCCGCCTGGAACGAATACCACAGCAGGGCGTCAGGCAGATATCGCACTCCTCTTTTTGGGGTATCATTCATTGCTACTGTCTATGAGGCTGGTGGTGGCTGCATACTACACCCTGGATCGGAACTGGGACTTGGAGGCGCATGTAGTTTTACAGACAGTGTATTGTGCAGGCTCACCCCCGAAATCACAATAGGAGGGCAGAAATGTTGTGATGCTCTTGGCAAAGAGCAGGAAATTGAGGCAGCAGGCGCACCTGGCCTCGATTTCGCTGTTGATACGTGAGAGCACGGCGTTCCAGGCACCCGTGGGAGATTTGGCGTCCAGCACCTCGTCTGGGCGGTCGGCTGCCACGATGCGGAAGGTGGGCGCCGGCCAGTTGGGGCCCTCGCGGCCCAGGATGCTGCAGGTGTGCATGCACAGCTGGTCCAGCTCCACCTGCATTGGTAAGTATCCTGGCTCACAAGACGATCACAATAATGCCCACAGGGACACTAAATTAATCGGTATGTTGTTGATTTAGAGTCCCCTGCATGCCCATATCAAGCCGGGACTGTCCTCAAGCATCCCTGCTTTCACGTCTTGCACTAGATTGCCCCACTAGATTCCGGGTCCCAGAAAATAACAATATTGATAATGGTCAGGGTCAAGCACAGGGAAAATCAAATCATATTATGGTGAGGGCACATCCCAGAATATATAAAGGCATTGAAAGGCGAGGGGACTGAGGTGCCAGGTGGAGGCACGTGCGCACCGAGGAGCGGAAGACGGTGCGGGTGCAGAAGCCGTCGGGGAAGATGTAGCCGTTGTTGTGCCAGCCGTGCTCCAGGCGCAGCTCGCCGATGCACTGCAGCTCCACCTGCTTGCTGCTGCACCGCTTCACCCGCCCTGCAAAGCATGTAGTAAGTTCTCAAAGCACTTTTTACCATATAAATCCATATTATCTTAGTATCACACACCTTTTCTGCCAATATGCAAGGTGCGTCCTGCAGACCAGTATCCCACCAAACAATTCATATTAAGGACAAGTTATGACAGGGTGACAGCCCACACGCTGTGAAGTGCTCCCAAGCCAGCACACCTAGCCGAGGCTTGTTGACCAGCGGTGCCGGTGCGGCGGCTGCCGCAGCAACGCCGGGGGAGCGTATGGCAGCGTGCGCACGAGGAGACCTCCTGGGAGAGTGCGGCTGGCTTCCCAGGGCTGCGCTCGTCCTCTTCTGTCCCTGCATTAACCATCCTGCATCCTCAGTGTTGCTAATCATGGCTATAGTGGATCCAGTGCGCAAAACGAGCGGTATGAGGCCGGATATTGCTGGTGTGGGACTAGCTGACCTGGGCAGGTTTGGAGGAGGCTGCCCGCGGGTCACCATATCCCCACTCTTGCATGTCTGCCGCCAACGTGATGTTCAGCAGCGCCTCCGTTGCCTTGGCTGATGCGCGCCGCTGGCGCTTCGGCCGCGCGTCTTCGGCTGCAGCACACAGATGACCAGTCAACGCCATAGGAAGAATTTCTCCAGCACAGCAGCCTTGCGTACTGTACAGCAATGCCAATATATTGCACAACACACTCTAAAGGCTTGAACTTCCAGACACAAAGCTGCGACGCGCGGTATCTGTACGACAGTGCTTACCTTCCTGCTTCTCGGTGTCGTCGCAATTCTTGCCTGCGCTGGCGCGCTCGCGCGTGCTGCGCTTGGCCTTGAACGTATCTTCTGAGGACACGTCCACGACTTGATGGTCCTGCAGAGCCGGGTGCTCATCACCGTCTGCCACTCCATCCGGCTCTAATCTTTCCTTTGCTGCTGGAGTCTGCTGTTCCAGGGCAGGTTCTTTGTCTGACAGGGCACCGCTGCTGACCGCTGCTGAGGCTTGGGCCACATCAGCCTGCTGGTCTGCCGTTGACTGGCGTGCATTGCTGGCACCAGCCTCAGCATGCACTGGCTCACCTGCTGCGCACACGCCAATGACTAAGACACCACATCCAGCTGCAAGTCGATCCAACAGCACTGCCACACCACCTATCCTCCTATGAGCACAAAAAGCTCTATGTCCAGGATCAGGGCAACGAGATCCTGAATTGGGATTGTCCATACAGTGGTGAAGGATGTGAGAGCACCTTCTGGGTCAGCAGAGGTGCTAAGATCCGTCCATGGGAGCGCAGGGGTGCCTTTCCTGAAGCGGCGGCTGTCACGCTGACGCCTTGGCACAGCTGCCACCTGTTGGGAAGCCGGTGCATCCCTAGGAGAAGCTGCCAGCGGGGCGCCTGGCTCCTCATCCTCTGCACCAGTGATATTAGCGCGCTCCTCCGCCTCGTGCACAATTTTGTGGTTTTCGTTCTGGTGAGAATCTGCAAGATCCTCGAGCACTCCTGCAGCAACACATGAAATGTATTTGTACCAAGGAAGAGGATGAATAATTTCTAACAGGCACTGCACTCAACAAAAATACCATGATTCTGAACTAGGGGTGTCACAAAGTCTGCTCAGTCGGCGGAAATGCATCCAGTCAGATATGGAAATGCACCTGCAGATGCCCTGTCCGGCAGCGGTTGCACATCTCCTTCTCCTCCAGGTCGATGTTCATCGGCGCTGTCCTTGGCTTCAGGACCCAGATCACCCGATGGTTGCCCTTCCCCGTCCGAGATTACAGGCGCCTCGCTGCCTGGCTCTGAGCTGCCTTTCTGAGCCGCCCATTGCATTTCATCCCCTGCACAATGTGAGAGCAAGCGGCCTCAGCAAGACAGTCTCCACAGAGCAGCTCCATCCATGCAAATGCAAACCCAAACCATATACTCGATGGCGTACTATTTGCAGTGCTGGAGTACCAACTCTGATGGATTCATAGCATTAAAGACAGATAGGTGACTATTGGCGGACCGACCTGAGACAGGGACATCCACGCCAGGCAGAGTGTCGGGGGACCTTAGGCGGCCACTTCTGCGGCGCCGCGCGGCTTTTGGCGGAGACAGCGGCGGCTCGGTGTTGGCAGCGCCCAGGGCACGCCGCTTTGGCAACCTGCACATGCACAATAGCTGCTTGATGGAGTCTATTGACTGACGGCACAAATGTTTCAAAGGAGCGAGGTATTGCAATGATGCACAGGACGCGACACTTTTCTTTCACAGTGGCATGTGGTGCCCTGCAGCCACTTGGTCGCATGACATTAAGAAGCCACACTGCAGATTGCAGAGGACAGATTCATCAACATAGTCTCCTGCCTACCTGGGACGTGGCGGACTGGGCTCTCGAGCTTTCGGTGGCCGGCCTCTCTTCTTGTGCTGAGCTTGGAGCAATGCAGCGCTGGGTGGCGCGGGAGGTGGGCTCTTTGGCCGAGGCAGCGGGCGCGTCTTGTACAGCTCCCAGCCTTTCCCTGCACGCATTGCAGCAGCCTGTAAGCCATCCACTGCCGTGATTTTCCCAGGGATACTGCTGCTGCAGCCCCAATCGCTGTCGTGCACTTTGCATGCAGCTGTTCTGTGGACATTGTTGAGAGACTCGCAGTCACATGTACAGTAGCATTCTGACGGGAAGCGCCATCATGAGCGCCCTGGCGCACCTCTGAAGGTGCCCACAAACACACCATCTCCGATGTGCTTCAGGAAGTCGCCAGCAGGGCGTGCACCCACAGGTCCTACTGTGAAGGTGCCCCTGCTCTGGCACTGTGGCGCCGGCAGCCTGCACATGAATCCACACTGTCATGTTTGACATGTTTGTGACAAATGTTATACTGTTGCTAAGACCCTTCACACCTCGGTGCTCCCATAATCACAAAGGAGTAACCTTTCCTAACCATAAACTCAACATCAGTTGAGGGGTTTGCTTCGCTCTTGTGTACACAATCAGAAAAGCTGCACAGGTACAGGGGTTTGCCCGCACCTATTCGATGGCCCTGCTGTGCTAGGCAGTGGGCGGGTGCTGCCACACATTGCCTGCACCTTGCGCCTAAAGGCAATCCCTGATGTCAAGGCTGCAGCTGCGTCCTCCTCCCTGCACATAAGTGCACGTTCAGGTCTTCACCCAGGTCAGAACAAGAGGAACGGCAGCATGCACTGGCTATTACATTGTTGCAGAACGATCTCCCTGATGGCAATATAAGTCAGGGCTCGTGACACTCGTAGCTGAGGGATACAAGAGTCCGGGGAGACTTCTCACCTATAGTTGTGCAATTTCAGGGCACACTCGGCTTCCTCATCTGTCAGGTCTGGGCAGATACTCAAGATCTCCCGAACCTGCGTGTGACAGACAAGAACTCCAGCCAAGTAATCCCTATATGATGCACGCCTACTAAAGGAAGCCTGTGGTCTGTAGGACTGCACAGTTTATCATGCCAGGTCATTGAAACATAGCGCCTGCCTGTCTAGCTTTGTCCCGCTTCTCATACTCCTCCAGCATCCGTTGTTGCAACGCAACTCGCTCCGCAATAATGCTCTCTTCAGCGTCAGTTAAATCGCGGCTGTCCAGGTCCTTGAAGAGGTTGTTACACCTGCCCCCACGAGCGTAAGAAGATATTCAAAATGTTTTTCGCCGCGATCGATTGCTTTTAAGCGAGGTCATTTCAGATTGAAGGCCACCAACTGCAAGGTACACCACAAGTTTAATACTGTTAAGCAAGACTGCCTCACATCGTCCAAAATGATGTTCTGGAAGACAGTGACCATTGAATGGAATTTTGTTTAAAAGATGCAGTCTTTGCAGTGTTGAAAGGTTCGAAAGAAAAGTTTATAACTCACTTCTTCGTCTGTATCTTCGACAAACCGTCTGAGAACAACTGAGCAAGGTTGGTCTCTGCCATGACGCTCCCACGTTGTTCTGACCACCCTGCAATCCAGCTCAAGCACACTATGATGCAATTGACGGCATTAGTATTCTGTGCAACTCGATGCAATTGAAAATGACTCGTTGTGAAGTACTGGCAGAAGCAGTTTCAAAAACGCCGATAAAATTCTGGCGGGGGAACCGGCGGTGCATATGCATGGGGGGACCGCACAATGAAACGGCAGAGTCAGCTTCTTGGCAATTTCGGGCTGGATCTTTTCGATTCCTCTGAATCTTAATCTTGGATATCGAAATAGTCGCGAACATCTTTACGTGGGACGCTGCCAGTTCAGTCCGAGGATCCCAATCAATAAGTTTATTCCGAGAGCTTGGGACATCAGTTCAGATATCTGAATTCTGGAGGAGTTTTGTTGCCACCTATTCACCATATAGCTTTTAACAATATCTGCACCTTTAAACTTCTAGTTGCCCGTTCTTATGATTAAATGGTTCATCTCACTGTGAGCAGTCTTTAGTGGCACTTGACAAGTCACTGATGAGCAGTACAGACGGGCGCGGTGGGCGCCTCATTATCTTTGCTTCGCCAGAAGCAAGAAAAGATGCGCTTTGGTGGGCGCTGGCTGCACTCTCTGTGCCAGTTGCTGGAGCCGCAGTCTGGTGGCTGTCTGAAAACACCATCAACAGATTGGCACCCAGGGAGGTGAGTATCTTTCTGGGACGCGACGATTACTTCATGATTGCTGACTGACAATTGAACATGAAACACGATGGCTGCAATAGCTGAGATGCCATGTTTGTATATCTGAGGCTGACACCTTGCGGGCTCATGCCTGTGCAGTACCAGTATCGCCCTGGGACCGTGTCAGAGTACATTTCAGAGCTGTTTGCGAAGCATGCAAAGCGGAGAAGGAGTGAGTCGTCCCAGTCACACTGCTGCGCTTCTTAAAGACCTTGCCACCCAAAAGATGCTGTCCCCCAAGTGCTACTTGAATGTCCCCATTTATCAGGGCGTGCCGAGCGAACAATGCAGATATGATGCTTGCACCGCTTTTCCGAGGCAGACTTTGGCTTGACTGCAGCCCTCCTTGTGCAACAGGAACAAAGCCGCTGAGGGTGTACCTTGATGGCTGCTTTGATGTGATGCACTATGGCCATGCAAATGCCCTGCGGCAGGCGAGGATGCTGGGTGACCAACTTGTGGTGGGATTGATATCAGACGATGAGATCCGCGCAGCCAAGGGGCCCCCAGTCATGAATTATGCAGAGCGCAAAAGTCTGGTGGGCTCTGTCAAGTGGGTTGATGAGGTCATCGACGGTGAGCGCTGTGCCATCATATACATGACAAAATTTGGTTTGGCAGACATGTCGTCACGCACAATACCGTTCCTCATCCCCGTGATGCGATGAATTATTTGAGCCAACCAGTATTGAAGTGTCGAGCTTTGCATGTCTGAATGCAGCTTGCAAAAAGGCACAGTGCCATGCACCTTTGGTACAACGTCTTGACCTGTACCTTGACTTAGTGGCTTGCCCTTGATTACAAGGTGCGCTTGATGGATGGGGAGATGAAGCTGTATTTTGTGCATGCATGCAGATGCGCCGTACCTTCTGAGCGAGGACTTCCTGCACGAGCTGTTCACCAAACACAAGATCGACTACGTGGTGCATGGGGATGACCCGTGCCTCCTGCCAGATGGGACGGATGCGTACGCATACGCAAAGCAGCAGGGGCGCTTCAAGATGATCAAGCGCACAGAGGGCGTCTCGTCCACAGACATTGTTGGACGCATGCTCATGTGCACTCGCGACAATGCGCGCTTCCGTGAGGTATGTCCATTGCACCTATCTCTTGATTACTGCAATTAATAAAATGCGTTTGCCTCAAAACACTGGGTAACATCCTTTTTCTGTACAGCACAGGTATGCAGGTGTTACCCGCAAGCAGTGCTGATGCTAGAAGCTGCTTTGGGCTGGCATTAGGCTGGATGTAGTGCATCTAAATCTGAAAACAAGCATTTACCCTTGGTAATCTTGCCTCTGTAGGAGCGCCGGGAGCTAACGAAGCAGTTCAGTAGTGGGGAGCGGCGGGTGTCGCTGGAGGAGTTGGAAAATGGGGATGGCGGCTCGGTGGCCGGGTCTCCGCGGCCGCCAGCGCACACCATCATCTCGCGCTTCATGCCCACCTCGCGGCGCATTGTGCAGTTCTCTGACGGCGTTCCTGCGCCCCCCGGAGCGCGCATCGTGTACATTGACGGCGGCTTTGACCTCTTCCACCCCGGCCATGTGGAAATCCTCAAGGTTTGCCCCCTGCTCTAATGTCCATTAGGCCATGCTGTCACTCTGCGCAGTGTCATGGTGTGTCCTCCTGCCCCATTGTGAGGTGTACTGCTCTGGAGGGTTTGAGGGAGATGTGCTCTCAGTCACAGCAGGCAGAGGGCATAAAGTGAATCTTGCTTGGAGATTGCAACTTCTTTGCACACAGTGTTGTGTGGTATCTTGAGAAAACAAATCTTGGGTACAGTAGACATCTTAATAAGGCATGTTATCTTGACAGTGCAGAAGTGTGTGTGCGCAGCTGGCGAGGGCACAGGGTGACTTCCTGCTGGTGGGCCTGCACACGGACGATGACATCATGGAGCGGCGGGGTGCCCACCTGCCCATCATGGACCTGCATGAGCGCGCACTCAGCGTCCTTGCCTGCTGCTACGTCAACGAGGTCATCATCGGTGCGCACCCACCTCCTACTCCTGGTCTGATTCCAATCATTATTTGGAACCCACATTGACTGCGACACAGCATTCTCATGCTTCTCTCCTGAGCATCAGCATCAGCATGGCTTGCTGCTACTGGCATCCGGCATCGTGAGGATTTTGTGAGTAGCTCAGGTGCACTATGCATAGCGAAGGACATCTGCAGGGCAGTACCCCGGGATAGGCTCAGCCTCTGGGGGCTGCACAGTCCCATGTGTGCTGATATTGCTGAGAGTGTCGCTCTGCAGGTGCCCCGCTGGAGGTGACAGAGGACCTGCTGACCACATTCAACATCTCCCTGGTCGTGCGCGGCACAGTCAGCGAGACCGGCGCGGCCGACAACGCCGACCACCCGCGCTACATGGTGCCCAAGCAGCGCGATATCATGCGGTGCGCAGCCTTCACATTCACCGATCTATTTGTTTGCTTCTGTCCCAACTGACTTCACAGAAGTTTCACAATGCTAGCTGCCGTTGAGCCAATCCCTTAGCGGAACAGAGTTCTGCAATGCATTGGGATACAGTGCTTGCAACTACTGCTTCTAGAAAAAGGTCACAAAGTTGATTCTCTGGCAGGGAAGTGACACTCCAAAGCCCTGCAGTCGACAAGATATCATGGCGTCTGTTTACAGCTTGGAATTCACCATGTCCCTGTTCTGGTGGCACAGGACGCTGCGGAGTCCGAGAGACATCACAACGGCAACCATCATCCACCGAATTGTGAGCAACCGCGCTGCCTACGAGGCGCGCAACGCCAAGAAGAACAAGTCTGAGGCCGCTTACTACCAGTCAAAGCAGCATGTCACGGAGATGTGAGATCGTTAGAGAGCGCGAGGTGTGGTTCTAGTCTCCGCAGAGGCATTAGATAGCTTGCATTGCTCGCCACAAGGCTGAGCTACTTGATCCTATAGAACCATCTTGTCTTTGCACAGCAAGAGAATGCTGCATTACTGATACTGGAGTGCATGCAGGTCGATCGCAGCCAGCAGGCCCCGTGTTTTAAAGGCGTCCTTTCTCACTGCTGCTCAGTGGGAACACAAGCCCACAATGGCACCTCCCTAGCCGTCGGTATCCCGCGGACCAATTGATGGTTGAACTAATTGTGTGGCTTTTTCAGTAGATGAGAGGGCAGATTTTGAGTTGAAAGCCTTTGTCTGAGGACATGCTATAAGGTTTTACTTGGTATTCTTCTGTAAACCCAGCTTTTGAACGTGAAGCTGGGCCCAGTACTGGTGAAGGTTACTGTAGCATAAGCAGATCTTCTAGGCTTTTCATGTGTTTGTCATCTGGATCTGGTGTTGCATATCAATTATTTGCTGCATTACCATGGTAGTGTCAGGAGCAGTGCACTAGTGCAGATATCGCTGATCTTAGCTTGTGGCGCAATGGTTGAGCTCAAAGAGATTGGACTCAGTCTATCTCCAACTTGGACTATCCTCGACTGTGAGCAGCCGCAATGCATTGGGCATTGGGCATTATATCTGCACAGGCCTGCTGGATTTGCATCGGCAGAATGCATGCGCATGCCAGAGGCTGCCTTGTCTTTTTGTCTAGACATTTTTACATGGCCATAGGGTACATGTGGCAGCTAATATAAATGACGTAGCGTCCAAACACAAGTTTGCCAATGTCCTGAATATGCCACAATGCCAGCGTGGAAATGTGCACATTCACATTCACTCTCATCTGTACGACAATACCACTTTGTACTAAAACACTATTGAGGAGCAGAAAATTGTAGGCACTGAAGCCATGCAAACAGAAATGCACATGCTCGCAGACATTGCGCACAGGAAGAGTGGGTGTATCGTCCACATCTATACAGACAAGATAAAAGTACAAAGAGTAGCATGCATCTCCCAAAATCCAGCTTATTTCTGACTTCCTGGCGAACTGAGGTAAAGCTTTCTCACCGCTCAAAATTGGGGCCATTTATGCGCATGTGAGCATTAACAGTATTCCTCATAGCAGGGCATGTCCTGCAATGGCCAGAGCTGCTGCCAAACAGATCTGAATCATGTTGACCACATCATTGGTGAGCCAGTCTACACGCCCCTGCACCACAGCTCCCAGGTAGCTCTCAAAAAGATTTGCCACTGTCGCTGATGCGGCCACAATCAGTGCTTCTCTCCAACCCACCTGCACACCATGACAAAGAAATTCAACCATTACAGCTGTTTTCAGGACCAAAGAGAGAATACACTATAGCCGTGGTCCCCTTCTGCAGATTTCAGCAGAAGAAGACAGGAATGCCAATTTTGCTTGCTTTACATATGCTCAGGATGCCATGTGCACCAGCATTTATAAGCCAAACACAAAATAATGGTTCACCTGTCCCACAAGAATAGCGATGCCGGCGAACAAGACAGCTGCCGCTGCGCCAGCTGCGGTCCCCTCTGCACTCACTGCGCCCTCCGTACCCCTGGGGACCCTCTCCAGCGTTGTAATTAGGTAGGTTGTGCGCCCGTACGCCTGTGCATGCACTTCTTCCTTGGGTTCTTGTGTTCTTGGCATTGCTTCGTCCGTGATTGAGGTCCGTGCTCATGCAGAGCTGGGCGCAGGAGTCAGATTACATTTTCTTGCAGTATGCTCCAGATCTCAAACTATATGTGTAGTATTGGTGTGAGATTCATGCGTGCTCCTTGCCAGGATCAGCAATGCCTGCAGAGTGATGTATGGCGCAAGCAGAGAGAAAATAAAATTTCGGTGTCTAAGCACGGCAGAGTGGGAATCACCTTGCCAATTTCGGAAGAGACGGTGTCAGACAGCTTGCTAACAAAGCTGGCCACAAAGCCGATCTGCCACGGCTCCAAGCGCCCGGTCACCAGTGCCGCCACAGCACACAGCATGCCTGCCAGGCCCGAACCCCATACACTGCCCTGAGAGCAGCAACACCACCATTTTTACCTTCCTCAATTCCACATCGTGATGCAAGTAACAAAAGGAATGCATGGCTCCATTTATACTTTCTTCGGGCTGCAGTACGATGCATTTAGATCAAATTGCTGTCAGCTGCATAAGACTGAAGGCTGCATCTCCTCCTTCTGCCCAGGATACAACTTCAGAAGTTAAGAAGCTGTCTTGTCAAGGTTTTCTTGCAGTATGGGATTCTGACACTCACAATGGTGCGCCGGCCGGAGCGGGCCTCTGCAATGCCCTCCTTCTGCTTCTGAGCCAGCTTCACCTTTGTCACCTGCACATGCGCTTCAACTTCCTTTACACTTTACACGTTAGACGTCCAGGCACCACAGCTTGACAAAGTCCCACACGTGAGATCTCATGGACAACGGCAAGTTGTATGAGAGTTGGATTATGTGCTACTGACCACCAACGGTCTTCCACATGCGAGATCCTGCAAATTTCAGACACGGTTGATATAGCCAGCCTCGTGTGTGCACACCGCAGAGCCAAGGATGAAGTACAGGCAGACGAGGACATAGCCGCCAGCGCCAAATGCCGAGTAAACTGCAGTGCCCAGCGCCCACGAATGCAACACTCCTGCGGCTGTCAACCCTGCCAGTCCCACATGAACCTGCTTGGAAGGACATTATTGGACCTTGAGAGTGTGCAGCTTCACTTCATGGGAGAGATCATGGAGTACAATCAAAATGTCTATCAACGGCGGATTACCTTTGAGAAGGACATTTATGCCCAGAACAAAGACAGCTGAATTCACCAGCAGGCCAGCAGGCAATCTTGGCGAGGGCTGCCCAATTGTCACAAGCACGTCCTGGTATGCAGCACAAGGTCAGCGAAAGGGATGCGATCTAACGACAAGCCTTGGAGGTCAGGGCTTACTGTTGAATTGAAAGCCAATAGGCACCTGCAAATATTGCGAAACGGCTGCTTGGGGAGGATTGCAGGCCTCTCTCGGTGCCTTTAGGGCTCTCCTTCGAATCTTAAAAGTCGCGTGGCAAACTCCATTACCCCTCTGAACGATGGCAAGGCTGTGCAAGGCCTCTCTAGGACCAAGGATCCGCCGTGGTACTTCCACCATCATTGTGCCAAGCTTAAAGATTCATTGGCGTTGATCCGATGCGTTTGTCATTTTAAATCCACAAACCTTTACAAGATAAACCCAGGATTATACTTTACGATGGGATTACAACCCACCGGGCAGTCCAACAAATGATGGTGATCCGGAAACAGTCTATTCGTGTGACCAATACACTTCAAAGGCGACGTCCACAGGAACAATCACCAGTGAGGATTGGTGCAACTTATACTGATGGCATCCATTCACACTATGAAACAGATCTCACGCGCAACCCAAAGCCTCCGATGCTTATAAATCAGCTCTTTCTTGGCAGGGCACCAACTGAGGAGCTAGTTCTGTGCATTGCTGCCCCACAACACCGTCATGTAGCGTAATCAGTGGTAGCTACCAAAGGTGACGCAAGACTCTTGTTATGGCCTGCCCGGTGTCTTCTGAACAGAGAACCCATGCCAAGGTCAGAGATCTGCAGGATTCGGTCTTGAAATAAGAAACAACCAACTGTGTTCCAGGACCTCCGGGTCAAACGCTGGACTGACAGTGGAAGGGGCGAGCGTTGAGTGCAGGTGGGATGGTGTTCTCAGAAATTAGGTTTTTGGTGAAAGTTGTCTTAGAAGACTGTGTGGTGCTCAAACCCGCCTCCGATACATTGTCTATGGAGTCTAATGCCACACACGCGCGCATGTCCGTTTTCTCCGCATCGGTTAGGAGGCCAGAATGCTGAGTTTGGATGGGAAAAGACCATGAAGATTTCTGGTTGAAAGGGTTACACTGCGCACCTTCTGCAACACTGCTATGCTCGCCCGTCATTTTCTCAGACAGTTGTCTGTCCTTGTTCCGATCTGTGATTTGTTTTTGGAGGCGGTTACGTGCCTGGGATCACCCCACTCGTAGGGCCTTCGTCAGGCAGAGTAAAGGTTTAGCAGGCGCCAGTCCCCACGGCGGCTCTATGTGCAGCCTTGCGTATACCTTCATCCCACTTACTGGGCTTGTTGTGCTGCAGTGACTCTGCTTTTCCGGAGGTGGAAGAAGCAGCAGCGCAGGTCGTGCCCTGAACACGAGCTGCCGGCGTCTGCAGCGTGAGGCGTTGCTGCTAAGACACAGGATGGCCGAAAACGGCACAAACGGTGTCAACGGCGTGAAGGCCGAGAACGGTGCGATTGCGTCCAACCTTTCGTGTGGTTAAAAGTTAGGGCAACTTCGGACGGACAGGGATGTTTTGCCAGATAAGGGCGTTTTCTCGGTATCCTCCTGCAGTTGCCCAAACCTATATAGCCTAGCGTTTATTTTGACATGGCAAATGGACTCCAGGTAAAGGAGATGTGGAAGCCCCTCCAACTGCAGCTGCTGCAGTGGATACTGGCAAGGCTGTGGACTTTGCAAAGATCAGCATCGCAGAGGCCTTCAAGACCCTGAAGGTGCCCTTCCCTTGCCTTTCCTGCATGCATCGATTTCATGGCGCCTCACTGGACCAAGTCCCCAGATGCCTCCTCCTCTGGTCTGCCACACCACTACAATAGCGTAGTGTTTTGGCAAGAAGTGTATACATGAATCATCAGACACCATGATTCCCTGACGTGAACGGCTGCACTGAGGCTAACTGGAGGTGCTTTTTTGTCACAGGCTTCCGAGGAGGGTTTGGATGGGGCTGAGGTGAAGCGCCGGCTGGACCAGTACGGCTACAACAAGCTGCCCGAGAGCACGCGCATCCCCTTCCTGGTCTTCCTGGGCTACCTGTGGAACCCCCTCTCCTGGGCCATGGAGGTCGCTGCCATCCTGGCCATCATACTGCTCGACTACGCTGACTTTGCCCTCATCGTCGCGCTGCTGCTTGTCAATGCCACCATCAGGTCAGTATTATTGCTGGCCCTCATCATGACGATGTTGCATGCGCCCAAGAACGTGGCAGAACTGGATTGCCCTATGCAGTGATGCATCTTCCTGATGCTACTACTGTCCAATACAATAGGAATTCTCTTGAAGGGTCCCTATCGACCTGGGGAGTTTGCAATGCTTGACTATGTGTATGTGCTGCCCGCAGTTTTGTGGAAGAGTCCAATGCGGACAAGGCCATCAAGGCGCTGACCGCCGCATTGGCACCCAAGGCAAGGGTGAAGCGCGACGGCAAGGTATCCACTGTGGAGGCCAAGGAGCTCGTCCCGGGTGACATCATCATCGTCATGTTCGGCAACATCGTGCCTGCTGACATCAAGCTGCTCGGCAAGGAGAACGACCCCACTGAAGCCCCTATGCAGGTAAGTGCAGATTAGTGCAAAGCTACACACCCTGTAGCTGGTGAAAGTGCCCGTTCAGACCATTGCCACAGGCTCCTGCATGCGCGCAGAGAGATTACTGCTTGTTAACAGATTTCCCATCAATCTGTGGCACTCTGCATGAATGCCAAGACAGGTATATGACCTGTGCTTTGCATGAAGGGGAACACTCACACTTTGGCCACTTCTTGACAACGAGCTTGTTTTGCTGGTGCGCAGATTGACCAGGCTGCCCTGACCGGCGAGTCTCTGCCGGCCAAGAAGTACAGCGGCAACGTTGCCTTCTCGGGTTCCACCGTCAAGCAGGGAGAGAAGGAGGCGCTCGTGTACGCTACCGGGGAGAACACCTTCTTTGGCCGCGCCGCCGCGCTCATCTCCGGCACCCACAACGTGGCCAACCTGCAGAAGATCATGACGCGCATCGGAGGCACCTGCCTCGTCACCATCGGCATCTGGTGTATCATCGAGCTTGCTGTCCAGTTCGGCCACTACAAGCACGTCTGCAGGATGGGCGAGGGTGAGCTTTCCTTTCTCTGCAAATCTGTGTTCTTCTGGTGCACAACTTGACGCAGGGCTTGTATTATTTCCTTTTCACCTCCTGATGTCCTGCTGGCGATTAACAGACAGGCCACAAACGCAACGGCACATTTTTGCTGTGAAGCACAGCACAGCTATCTCCCAAGAATAACCTCGCTTTGAGACAGTACTGGTGTGCACGTGCAGAGGGCTGCCCCACGCTGACCAACATGCTGGTAATCATTGTTGGTGGAATCCCCATCGCCATGCCCACTGTGCTCTCCGTCACCCTCGCGCTTGGCGCCTACAAGCTCGCCAAGGAGGGCGCAATCGTGGCACGCATGTCCGCCGTTGAGGAGATGGCCGGCATGGACATCCTCTGCTCCGACAAGACCGGTGCGCGCATGCATGTACCCTGCACCTGCCTTCACCCGCACCTCTGCCCACCTCCCTCTCTGCCGATCAGATGGTCTTGCAGTGCTGCTCGCCTACCCTGATTGGTAGTAGTGAGGCTATCTGAACAGGGCACTCTGGTTCGAAGGCTTTTCCTGAATATGTGCTTTGGCCTAAATGCTGATGCTGCGTCATGCATGTGGGCAGGCACCCTCACCCTGAACCAGCTGAGCGTGGACAAGCCGACCTGCATGGTGGTGGGGCCGGAAGGCCGCACACTGGACGAGGTGCTGAAGTGGGGCGCGCTGTCGGCCAACATCGTGTCAGAGGAGCCCATTGACGTGGTGCTGCACGAGGCGTACGACGGCCACGACACGCTGTGGAACGACTACAAGCTGCAGAAGTTTGTGCCCTTCAACCCCACCGACAAGTACACCATTGCCACCGTCAAGAACAACAAGACTGGCGAGAGCACCCGCATCATGAAGGGCGCCCCCCAGGTGCGCTTAAATGCACCAGCTCTCTTCCCAAGCAGGCATCCCTGTCTTAAGGAGTTGTGTGTCTGGCAGCATGCAGTCTTTTCTGTTCTCAACTACTGGCCTTATGAGGCCATGGCACCTCTGAATGTGGCACTCTGGAGCCTCAAAGTGTGCAACTAAGCAGGTGGTGTCCTGCATCAGCTGATGGAATGCTGGTGTGCAAAACTCCCATTAACTGATTCTAATGAATATTTGGATGCGCTGCTGCAGGTGGTGCTGAAGAAATCGTACAACTATTCCGAGATTGGCGACTCCGTCCACAACAAGATCACCGAGTTCGCAGGCCGCGGCTTCCGCGCTCTCGGCGTTGCAACCGCACCCGATGACGGCACCGAGGGTGAGACCGCCACTAAATGTGCCTTCAAAAATTCTTTTTCTCTTTCCAATCAAAATCAAGTGCAGCTCTTGCTGCCAGAGCCTGCTCTTGTCAGCTGAAAGGGGCTGCGCACACCTGCCGCTCGGATGTCATGTGCAATTCTGAGTAGCGCTCTTTTGTTCTGCTGCAGTGGAGAAGGCCCGGTGGGACTTCCAGGTGCTGCTGCCGTTGTTTGACCCGCCGCGTCACGACACCAAGGAGACCATTGAGCGGTGCATTGAGAAGGGCATCAGCGTCAAGATGGTCACTGGCGACCAGCTCCTCATTGGCAAGGAGACTGCCAAACAGCTGGGCATGGGCACCAACATGTACACCACCGAAGTTCTCCTCAACGTGTGCCCCTCCCCTTGCCTTGATATACTTACCTGTTTGCCAGCTGGCAGAATCTTACTTTGATGGTGCATCGTCAGGGCCTTGGGAGTGTACAGCTCTAGGCTGGTGGGGTTTTTTTTTGGTCGGTTTTTGGGTCCTGGCATGAGTTGCTCTTGCATTCTGCAAAATTTAAGGCAGTACTGATACTGCTTGCACAGCTTCGCCATTGTCATGTTCGCAGTCAGTGGCCGTTGACTGGGTCTGACACATGTGGGCAAAGCTAAGAGAATGCCAGTTGACACTGCCTGCACACGCATGCTGCAGGCGAAAGAGGGCAAGGGTCAGCTGCCGCCTGAGCTTGCGCACGTGAAGGACGTGGACGAGCTGGTGGAGCACGCCGACGGCTTCGCAGAGGTGTTCCCCGAGCACAAGTTCGAGATTGTCAACATCCTCAAGGGGCGCAAGCACATTGTGGGCATGACCGGCGATGGGGTGAACGATGCTCCCGCCCTCAAGAAGGCCGACGTGGGCATTGCCGTCGACGGTGAGCGCTCTTCTGCAGGATTCCTGCATGTGCTTTGTTGGGCACACACTGCAAATTCTGCCTGCTTCTGCCAGTTTAGGAATCCTTGATTCAGTACAAAAAAGGAAACCCAGTGAGACAGAAGGCTGGTCCTCAAGTGCATGCAGAAAGAACTGCATGCACGTGCAAGGAGTGAGCACTGCTGGAATGAAGCCTCGGCTGGCTTCTGTTGACCATGGAATGTCTTGACATACCCGTAGTTGACACCCCTTCTGGCATTTTACGCAGGTGCCACCGACGCCGCCCGTGGAGCTGCTGATATCGTGCTGACCCGCCCTGGGCTGTCGGTGATTGTGTCGGCCATCATCGGCGCGCGGAAGATCTTCCAGCGCATGACGACCTACTCCAAGTACACCGTCGCCATGACTTTCCGTATTTGCTTCACCTTCGGCCTCCTCACCGTCATCTACGACTGGTGCGCCTGCCCACCCTGCAGACCTCACCCTCCAAGGAAGCTGCTGAAGAATCATTTGCCGATCTTCGCGGCCATGCCGCGAGTCTGTGAGCCAGCCTGCAACTCATAGATGAAGCTTAAGGGGTGTCTTTCTGCCTGGGCTTTCCTTGTCCTTGAACAGTTGCAGCCCTGGCACTGGGACCTGATGCTGTGTATATTAGATGGCAAGGTGTTCTGCAATGTTGAGTTGATTTGCCCTTTGCTCTGGCAGGTACTTCCCCACCATCCTGATTGTCATGCTCGCGGTGTTCAACGATGGCGCCATGATTGCGCTCTCCAAGGACCGCGTCATCTCCTCCCCCGTCCCCAACACCTGGAACCTGAAGAATATCTTCACCGTCGGTGCGCTCATCACCCTTCCACCACTGCCAGTCTCCTGATATTGCCAAGGGTGGACCATAAATACACCACCAAGGTCGTTGATTGAGGTCTTGTGCCTCAAGCACTGTCCCTCACTGCCCTCCTGCTGTGGCAACCAGTGTGCTGGCATATACACAAAAGCATAGGAAGGCAATATGACGTGGTGCATCACAATGGCGTGGCTGGGCTGCAAACACTGCTGCACAAGAGTTTGAGGCAGTGGATTGCGCGCAGGCATTGTGTACGGACTGTACCTCACACTGTCATCGTGGGTGCTCTTCTACGTGGTCACCCACATGACCTTCTTTGCCGACAAGTGCAACCTGGCCGACCTCAACAACACCGACGAGGTCCTCAGGCCCTACTGCGAGGTCAGCCCTCCTAACTATTGTACTATGCAGGCTCAGTGCAAATTTTGGGAAGGTGCTGTGCATGGTCACACCAGCCTGGGCCGCCTCAGGTTTGCAATAAGAACATGAATTTGTCAAGGTCTCCCAGGAGCAAAGGTTTTATGACAAGTGCCTTCTGCAAGTCTCCTTCGAAAGGTCTCGTCAGTCCTGAGCCTGTGCTTTCCGTGTACAGCGATGGCATCCTCGCAATCCTTTGATATGGCCTGCACTGCACGAATAAAATGGCATCCGAGCTAATTATAGATATTTGCACTGCAGAGAATGATCACTGGCATGGGACTGGCGCCGGGTGCTCCGGTCACTTCCGTCTACCCGGGTCAAGATGGCAAGGACGCCAACCTGGAGGGCGTCACTGCGCTCGACCAGTGCATCACCGAGCAGATCTATGTGCGCGACGGCATCACCCGCTCCCTCCTCTACAACCAGGTGCAGACCGCTCAGCTTCCACTGTCCTTGCACTTGTCCTCAGCAATCAGAGCTTTCCTGGAGCTTTCCTCCGACTTGGACATGATTCAATGACTTATATGCTGTGAGAGCTTGTGTCTGAAGAGATGTAGTCATCAGGTTACACGTTCTCCAAGTTCTGCAGCCCATTGTTGTTCCTTTGGGCGTGTATTTTAGAACAGAGTCCTGTGGCTTGCTGGTTGCTGACAGCGGACTGTGCATGCGGCAGGTGTCCATCAGTGGGCAGGCGCTGGTCTTTGTGGTGCGCACGTCCGGCTGGTCCATCATCTCCCGCGCCGGCCTCTACACCTACATTGCCTTCTTTGCCGCCCAGGTGCCCGTCCTGCGCTATCCTGCTCCTCCTTTGTAGCTTGGTGCTGTTATTGCAAGCCTCTTGCTTTGCGGAGATTGCCTCCCTTGAAGGTGCAGGGCGCCGCTTCTGGACCGGTCTGCAGATCTGCTTCCATTTCTGAGCTGTGCCTGCAAGCTGACTAGCCGAAAGGCAGGGCGCCTGGAACCCCAATGTTAGTGGGCCGTTTCTTTGCTGATAATGCGCATGTTGGATTGCAGGTGGGCTCCACCTTGATTGCCGCGATTGGATTTGCCGCTTACACGCACCCACGGGATGCCTGGGCGTTCGACGGCCCCGCCAAGTTTACGCAGCTGTCCAATGGCCACGGCCCAGCCTTCTTTGGCAACAGCGTCGTCCCCATCCACGGCACCGAGGGCGAGTTCACCCCGTCAGTCATCGGCTGCACGTGAGTCGCCGTGCATCCCTTCCCTACCCTTCAGTGCAACAGCGTTTAGAGACACTGCCTCGTTTGCAAAGTGCCCATAGATCTCATAGATGGTGTGCTGCCTCTCTTGGCACACAGAGGGCTGAGCCCTGTGATTTTTGGTGCGCTGCAGGTACTACGTGATCGTGGCCTGGATCTGGTCCCTCATCTGGTACATCGGACTTGGTGCGCATCCCCTGCACCTCGTGTAAAGATAATCTAGAGAGCCCATGTATCTAACTGAGGCACTTCAAATGATAAATGTGGGATGTGACTAATTGTCTCCAGGCTTCTGACATGTTGTGTGTCCTGTGCAGACCCCATCAAGTGGGCCCTGATGTACATCCTCAACGAGGACGGCTGGCGCAACAAGTCCGCCTTCAAGGCCGAGCAGAAGGTGAGCAACATTCTGTCCATTTCAAGCTGTTCGACTTGCGCTGTTGTGGGACTGATTTGATATCTATTTCACCTTTCCCAGCCAGAGCATGTTTTTATCGTGGGTGGAAGCATGTGCAGACAGGTCAAACACCGCAACAATGCCAATGCATGGTTTGCTGCGCAGGCTGCGGTGAGGACGCAGGTCGAGGAGCCGGTGGGCGTTGCGGGCTTTGAGCGTGTGAGCTACTCCAACCCGCTTGGCCGCCGGTCAGTCACGGCCGCCGCGCAGCGCCCCAACTTCCTGGAGCGCGCATCTGTCGTCATGGTCGACGACAGCGGCCTCACGCGCGCCCCCGACGGCAAGCTCGACCACAAGTCCCTCACTCCCAAGGACCCTTGAACCACCCACCGGCCGCCCGCGCCGCGCGCATGTTGGGCCGTGACAGCCGGCCGGCCGGCTCGCGCTGTGCATGCTCCGTGCCAGCCTGGACCACTGAGCAGCGAGATGGAAACTGCTTCTGAGCCCTGCTGGTCCATCGAGCGTGTGGCGGTTGCGTAGGATGCTGGGCTCTACCGGCTAGAAATGGGTTGTTTATCAGGCACGTGCTGAGTGTGTTGCGTACCGCACTGTGTATTGGACAAGTCTGCAAGCAGTAGGAGCGGGGTTGCTGGTGCTGACTGACAGATGCATCTCTGCAGTATTGTACAGAGATGTCTGTGCTCTCTGTGCTGGAGATGGGCCACTGTCCTGGTCTCGAGTTTAAAATTGCTGTCCTAAATTATTCTGGACTCCGTCTAGCTTGCCAGGGGAGAAAATTGCGCATGTTGGCGCGATAAATGGGGAAATGAGATTGTGCGTTGTGTGATTGCAAGATAGTTCTAGCAGTGAGGCAAGACTGGTTGCGTCGGACATAAACTGGAGCCATTTTGTGCCCTGGCGTGCAAAGCAGCTGCCAGGAGAGTGGCGCCAACTGTGCAGCGTGTAACGTTTGTCAGCTCTCACCGTCATTTGGATCTAGTGCTACAGCTTGTCTGCTGACGTCTGTGTTAGTACAGTGCGTTCTGAGGGCTGTGAGGCTTGTGCATATTGGCTGCTATGCTGGGACTTAACACCCGGCATTAATGCGCTCAGACTGTGAGAGGGTGGCGCTGCAACAGACTGAGCACAGGCCCAGGATGCTTCCGATCTGAGGGGTTCAGAGGTAGCTGCCAGCAGTACTTCGGAGAGTTTTCGATGGAAAACCATTGCTTCAGAACAGGGAATGTACTTCATGGTGGCTGCCTGGTGTGCAGAGCTAGCTCTGCAGCTGCTATACACAGCGCTGTACAGTGTGGTTGGTTGCTCCCTTGGTCCCCGCTGCTTAAATGCCTGTGCATCTCACTGCCAAAACTCTCTGGTCTTGTCTTGCATTTGTCGTAAGCTTGCAAGGCCACCACCATGCATGATTCTTCTGCACAGATCTCGGTGCTAGCAGGGGCTCATCGCTGACCTGCAGATTTGTTGTCCTGCATCCAGCATTTCCTGAACTAAAGGTCATGCAGTATCACAGATTTGCGCCTTTGACTTGAAGATCAAAACGCTTTGCATGCTTCACCTATTATATCGGTCTTGGATTTTGATAGCTCTCCACGACACCCATGAGCCATGATCATGGCCACATGAAATTTCCTGATAATTGTGTTTGTGTTTGAGACCAACAAGAACGCGTTCTGCAGTTCTACCCAGTCTTGAAATTTGACGGCTCACCACAACATTCATGGGTCATGGCCATAAGCAGATCTCAACAACCATGAGCCGTCACCCTCTGCGCTGAACCTCACAGACTCGAGCTGAATATACACTGTACCATGGGAATCACTACACTGCGTGTAGGTCTCAGCAGCCCACTCTAGCAACAGACTGACATCACTTGGGGCCAATAATTGGGATCAGCTTTCCACCGTCGAGCACAATGCACTGGCCTGTGAGCCAGCCAGACTTGGCCTTGTCAGTCAGAAAGTAGCACAGCTCTGCCACGTCTTCAGGGGTGCCCACGCGACCGAGAGGGGTGACCCCTGCAGATTTGACCATATAAGCAGCAGCCTGTTCTTGCGTGAAGCCTGCTGTTGTGAAGATGCCGGTCTGCACTGTCCCTGGATTGATGGCGTTTACTCGGACCCCCTGCATGCACGGGAAGCACTCAGTGCTTCAGGTGCAGCAAAGAAAGAAGCTGCTTCATCACCACATCAGTCAATGAAGCAAGGCAACTTATAGCTAATGACAAGCATTTTTACTCAAACTCTCAAAAGGCTAGAGTCTTTCCTTCTTTTCCAATTCAGGGAAGGTCAAAAATCTTACCTTTGGCGCAAGCTCCAGTGCTGATGCCTTAGTCAGCATGTCAACGGCAGCCTTGCTGACGCTGTAGGCACCTGCGCCCTGCAGCGGCCTCTGTGCTGCAATGCTTGAGATGTTCACAATGCTGCCGCGCGAAGCCTGTGAAAGCCATGCATAAGACCTCAATCTCTTGCGCCCTGACAAGATGCCGCTCACAATTAGATGTCTCCTGCATGCCGCTGTCTGGCAGTAGTAGACAAGGGTGGTGAATTTTCATGCAGACTTGGTAATCTGATGGGAGGGATCAGGCATGCATGCATGACTGGGATTTGCAAATTTGAGGCTTACCTCCAGGAAAGGAATAGCAAACTGAGTTAGATACAGGACGGAATTGACATTAAGGTCCATGTGAAAAGCCCAGTCCTCTACAGAAATGGTCGCCAAGGTGAGTCCAATCTAGATTGAGCCTGCAAGAGCATCCACACAATTTCAAGTCAGCCCCTCTGCGACTTATTTCTCGATTGCAGATGCATAGTGCCCACGTAGGTTCTTCTGCTCCCTTGACTTCCCAATAGCCACTATCAAGCATTTGGATGATTACACTTGTGAGGGGTTAGCTGCGTGTTGAGGGATGCCTGCAGGAACAGCTGCAGTTATTGTGAACTCTCTTCCTTTGTGTGGGCAGCAAACAAATTCCTGGCCATATCTGCCTCACCCGCATTGTTCACAAGAGCGTCCAATCGACCTCCCAGCAGTTTCACCCCTTCCTCGATGATTGCTTTGCAGCCCTCCAGCTGCAGGGGCAGCCACAAAAATATCTTCGCTTTGCAGCTCCAATATACAGAAATCACTATTGGCGTTCTGGCAGCGGTTACAGCATTACGATATGGTCATCTATGACTCGCAACGTTCAGCGGGGACACACCGTTGAGACATCCTGCGCTAGAAACAGGGCCTTGCCCTTTGCCTCAAAGATCTCGGGGATGGCAGACTTGAGACGATCCAAGCTTCTTCCAACAAGCACAACATCGTCGCCCTCGTTGAGAAATTTCAGGGCAATGCCCAGGCCAATGCCTGTAAAGCGGTCTTACCTCCACTCAAGGTACTACATTACCTTGGAAGAACAGCATCACTTCATTTGACACTGAAAGCAACGTTTAAATTCTTTTATACAAGATTTATCCAATTTGACGCACGCACCCGCAGAAGCACCCGTAACGATGACCGCCCTGCCCATGTTGCCCTTCAGCAGAAATGGTGCGAAATACACGATATGAGTAGCAAATGTGATGGCTTGTGCTGCTAGATAGTGTACATTTGAAAGGATATGTTCTCTTGATCTTCAGCTCCTGGGCATGGAGTAAAGACTTGTAGAAAAAAGCAGCGACCTCGCGTAAAGGTTTGAACCTCGGGTGAACTGAGGGGAAGCTGCCTGACGTCAGGGCAAACCTTCGGTCGCGCCTGGACAAGAAGGTGGTCGAATAGGAAGGCAATTAAGAGTGGGACAAAGATGGTAATTGCGCATTCACTGATTCCACAGGTAAGGTTTTATTTATGGTGAGAGGCTGCTGACTCAGGACTCCGGAGATATTCAAAACCATAAAAGGCTTATTTTTGGAAGGCTGCTGCTGCTGCAACATTTATTGTAGCAAACATGGCATGAACAATGAAAGTAAATTGTGTTTGCCTCTGCACTTTCCTTAAATCAAGATCCAGAAGTATGTCACAAAGCTGATTGCAATAACTTCTGCCCCACTGTCCCGACATTTGGTTCAGTCACTTATAAGCTACCGGCAGTAGCTACTAAAAGAATTTCAAAAGGCATTTGCAAATAATGCAATAGCACACCCATAGGACTGCAATTCATGTCAAAAATGGCTCAAGCAATGCAGAACCCGCTAAGCTGCTACACTAACACATTGACAAACCTGCACATGAGTACCCAAGAAAACCTACATTTGCAAATCTTCTCAATTCTGGACAACAGGGATTGGCAGCAGACGGCCGCCCTCAAGCAGTATGCACTGCCCTGTGAGCCATCCAGACTTGGCAGTGTCTGTCAGGAAATAACACAGCTCCGCCACGTCAGCAGGCACTCCCACTCGGCCAATAGGGTGGAGTGCTGCTGAGCTTGCCAAGTAAGCTGCCGCCTGCTCTGGCTTCAACCCAGCGGACACATGGAAGTTTGACTCGACTGTGGCGGGATTGATGGCGTTCACTCGGATGCCCTGTGCAGTACAAGGCATACAGTCAGCACGAAGACTTTCAGATGCAGATCCACGTGATATTTTCAAGATTTGCTGCCCTGACAACCCTGGCTTCATCGTATGATAAACAAGCGCGCTAGCCGTGAGCGGAGATTGCATTCAAGTGATCAAAGGTATATTTTTGCCTTGAGCATGCTCAAGCTGTATAGAGGTTTCCATGCAACTGCTGAGGCAGGACGTACACTTTCGTGCTCAAAGTCCCAAGGGGGACTACAAGACTCACCTTTGGCGCAAGTTCAAGTGCAGATGCCTTTGTCAGCATGTCAACAGCAGCCTTGCTCACGCAGTAGGCCGCAGCACCTTTTCCAGGCCTCTGGCTAGCAATGCTGGAGATGTTCACAATGCTGCCCTTGGAATCCTGCATACAGACACCTCCTGCTGATGAGCACACGTGCCCTGCCACTGTCTCGACCAGCGTAGCCATCGGCAAGCACAAATTCTCAATACCACAGAATATATTTCTGCAGGCCTGCACATCATTCTGGTGCTCGACAGGACACAGAGTAGCATCTGCATAGTGGGTTTCTTGTGCAAAATGCCTGCTTTTGCATGGTGGGCAGGGGTGCACTTGCCTCTAGCAAGGGAATGGCTAGCTGTGTCAGGTGGAGGACAGAGTTCAGGTTGAGGTCCATGTGAAAAGCCCACTGCTCTGGTGTTATGTCTGCCAAGGGCAGACCAAATTGTCCAGCACCTGCACCCAACTCCAGCGCTCGGACCCAATTGTGCCCCAGAGATGTATACATAAAACACATCTGCAGAGCTGCAGATCATATCAGCTGGCACTGTCCTGGCACACATGTATGGGGATCAGGAGCTGGCGAGCTTGCCTGCATTGTTGACAAGGGCGTCGAGCCGACCTCCTAGCAATTTCGTGCCTTCCTCAATGATGCCTCTGCAGCCCTCCAACTGCACGCCATGGCAAACAGTATTAAATGGCCTAGAAAAATTGCAGGGCATATGTTATTCCTGAAGTGGTGAAATTTACGTAATGCGCAAAGCCGTGGAGGTGGGTCGGGGTCACAGGTGCAGACCGTTGAGACGTCCTTTGCCAGGTACAAGGCCTTTCCTTTGGCCTCAAAATCTCTCGGTATGGCGGAATGCAGTTTTTCCATGTTTCTTCCCACAAGCACCACATCGTCACCCTCACTCAGATATTTTAGGGCGATTCCCAGTCCGATGCCTGCACGCGTTACTCGTATGGATCAGAACATTCAATGAGATGTTCCCGCTAATCGATCGAGGCCATTTCCCACCTGAAGAGGCGCCAGTGACGATCACCGCTCTTCCCATTCTGTAGATCGCTGAGATCAAGGAAGAAGCAGGAATTCCGCGGCCAGATACAGAAGACTGTAGTAACCTACTTTCTTAATGTTCAATTTTTGTTGAATTTGGTATCCTGTGAGCAAAGCAAATGCATGAGAGAGGATCTTACGTATCGGAAGTCAAGCCGACAGCTTCCTCATGCATGTGGGAAGCTTCTCGGCTTTTCTTGGAATAGCTCGCTTCCAATGTGCGCCTCCGAGGAGCACATCACAGAACATTAGCCCTAAAAGTTGTATTCTTCCAGAAGATAGGAGACAACATCTGTTTTCTGCTCTAAAAGCACCGCCACGCTCGCTCTGTGAAAATTCATACACCTCGGCATCTGTTGCAGACATGTCGGCCGGTACCGCGCCCATCATCCCAGACTTGAAGGGCAAGCGAATTCTCGTCACGGGTTAGCTTACAATCGTAATGCTCCCTGTGCTTGTGAGTGATATTAATAAAAACATCTGCACTCACTCTGTTCCGCGACGGCTCCCCGATCGAGGGAGCCTTCAACACTGGATGACGTGAAGCAACTCAACAACCCTAAGCAACTGCAGGTGGCTGTGCTGGCATCGGAAGAGCGACGGCTTTCGCTCTCGATGCAAACTTGCGCCATGTTGCGGTGCTCGGCAGGAGGCTTGAAGGCTTGGACGCCGTGGTGAGACACACATAGTGTTGTTCTACCACTCACATGTGTGATCTTTCGTCACTCTCACTTTACAGGATGTGGCTGCTCAGGGAATAGTTCCTTATAGATTTCTGAGGGCAGGAATTGACAAGGTCCGCATCCAAGATAGCTTCGGTCACAGCTCCTGACGGAGTTTTGTGTGTCCATGCTTTCACAGTCAAAGCAGCTGAAGCACGGCGTGTCAATTGTGGCGGACCTGACGAATGAGGAGGACATGAAACGTGCCATCAAAGAGATCATTGAGAAACTGGGAGGCCTCGACATCTTAATCAACAGGTGTGCATTCCTCCTTGCGCACCTCCTTGCATGCTATGGCTATTGGATGGCCATGCTTTGCACATTTCAATGGGTGACTTCAACAGATTCTGCTGTTTTCAGCGTACAGATGTACTTATGGTATACACGCTTTTGGTGTAGTGGCGGGGTTGGAGCAGAGAGCATGGGTGGCAAGGACGAGGCATCCTTCATCTCCTCCTTCAAGCTCCACGTGACAGGTGGGTACTTGCCCTCACGTAGCTGAACCAGAATGCAGCACTGCTCATGATCTCGTTCATGGTCACTAACAACGCTGTTTGCATCAAATTTGAAACAGAGTCTGTGTCACGAGCTTCAAGTTGAAGAAACGAGCTGAGCGTGAGATGATGCAGGCAACCTGAATCTCATCCGGGCAGCTGAGGAGGAGCTTATCAAGAACAAGGTGGATATTCAAATTTATGATGTAAGACCGGCAATTCAATTCCTGTTCCCCTTGCATGCACACAGTGGCTGCATGTACGCCCTCTTGGTGAAGTAATTGAGGCATGTTGCCATGGCCAGAACAAAGAGGGGAGAGAGGGAGATTGCAGGTCTGATTAGATATCCAACAGTTTCCGGACCGTCAAAGGCACACAAAACACAAAACAGAATATTTTGAGCAGCGAGCGTATTGAGGTGCAGTCTCCGACAAGCGCGTGTGGCACATCCTCCCAGGCAACCCCAGCAATGAAATCCCTTTCTTAGCTGCCTTGCACTCCTGTTCATGTCTTGGAAGCGGTAGAAGCCTTGCTGTGTCGTATTTTAGAATGGCAGTCCTGGCTACGTGGATTAAAAAAAACAGTAAGACAGCTGGAGAGGACCATGGCTATCCAAAAATGCTGTGTTCTGTGACATGAATGTTGTGTGAGGTTGTGTAGTTGACTGCCACAGTTTCCGCATGCACATGTACTGGTTCAACAAATCCTCTTTCCTGGATTGAAATGTCATCCGGAGTGCTTCTGTGGAACACGTGCATTGCTCACGAGGCTGCAGCTGCGAGCTGCAATAAAATGCTGGAGCCATGCCGGTGACTGGCAGTTCATTACAGTAGTATATAATGTGCTGGGTATCATGTGACTTTAATGCAAGTTCCATTGTATCCATCAGAGCGCTGCTAGCGGTGTCTCTTTTCATGTTGTCGAGAGAACCTTTACAGTCCAGCGGTCTCCCCTCCACAAAGGCAAGACATAATGCAGGATCATTGGAAGGTAGTTCCGTCTATGTACTTGGTACACAGTACAAGCTTCATTAAATAAGCCCTCAAGGGCCGCATTTAGGGAACCTTGCAAAGAATTCTGCAATACCAAACCTGCATTGCAGAGTATGAGGCCAAAAGGCCGATAATTGTACCAGTATGGCAAATAATTCAAGATCCTCGCTGTATAAGAAGAGCACTTGTGCCTGCAATGGCAGGCCCCTCTCAACTGTATGTGTCTACAATTGCAGGCCCTTCTGACAGTACATGCGTAAATTTGTTTGCAAAAGACGATTGCAATGCCGTTGGCCCCTATCACTGCATCAATGTCGCACAGTCAAAATCTTTGCATGCTGTCAAAATAATCCGTAGACGAGCTGACGGTATTGCATTCAGCAACTGTGTAAATACCACAGTGCAGCTGCAGCTAGAATCTTACAAGAGCGCTGCAGCAAAGATACCATTTCCGGCTACTTTCCTTGCAGCCACTTTTTATCTCAGTTAGCCATAGGAATTGGCAGCAGGCGGCCGCCATCAAGCAGGATGCATTGCCCTGTGAGCCATCCAGACTTGGCATTGTCTGTCAGAAAATAGCACAGCTCCGCCACATCAGCAGGCACTCCCACTCGGCCAATGGGGTGACCCGTGGCTGAGTTGACCATGTAAGCCTTGGCTTGCTCTTGCGACAGTCCAGCGGTTGTGAAGAAGTTGGACTCCACTGTTGACGGGTTGATGGCATTCACTCGGATGCCCTGCACAGAAAGATTAGATCACCAGTCAGCAGACCTCCTTCCAGATTCCGAGACAGCAAGTCTACTTGTGCAACAGTTCCCTATGCACCACCAAACCGCCCTGACAAGTGACTGTAATACATGCTCCTTGGATATCGATCTACCCTGATGCCAAATTTGCTTTTTCCGCAATCACTTGCATTGCATGCTAACGATGATCAAAAGTAACTGCTTCTCACAAGAATCTATATGGGTTCTTGGGTCACCCACGGTGCACGGCGCTGAAGAGGGTTGCAGAGAGCACCTTTGGTGCAAGCTCGAGCGCAGATGCCTTGGTCAGCATGTCAACAGCAGCCTTGCTCACGCAGTAGGCAGCAGCTCCACGTACAGGCCTCTGACCCGCAATGCTGGAAATGTTCACAATGCTACCCTTGGACGCCTGCGCGCAGACACCCTGCTCGCTAAAAGCACCATTCCTGTCTCTTTTCTGACCCAGGATTTTCTCTAAATGTATGCAATCCAAGATTGGTCATCAGCTTTTGGTGACCTTTGCAGATGTATAATTCAACTCTCCCAGGAGCAGCCCGGCAAGATTGACCCTTAAGACCTTATAGCACATGATTTCCTGACACAGGACATCCCGAATTCGAACATTGAACAAATGGGTTTGGTATGAGGATATGATTGCTTGCCTCCAGCAGGGGAATGGCCAGCTGTGTCAGGTAGAGGACAGAGTTGACGTTGAGGTCCATGTGGGTCGCCCACTGCTCCGGTGTTATGTTCTCTAGGAAGAGCCCAAACTTGCCGGCACCTACGCTTCAAAATTTAAGATCTAAACAACCTGCCTTCCCTAGATGAACCAGTGGCATCACATTCTCAGGGAGTGTAGGGTGGAAAGGCTGTCGTAGAGCAGGCATGCACCACCCCCACTGCCAGAGGTCACGCTTAAAACGCATCCCACCAGGAGCCTTTTGGCATAGTTGCTGACAATGAGGTGCAGAGGGAAAACTTGGGTGCATATTGGCTGCTATGCTGGGACTTAACACCCGGCATTAATGCGCTCAGACTGTGAGAGGGTGGCGCTGCAACAGACTGAGCACAGGCCCAGGATGCTTCCGATCTGAGGGGTTCAGAGGTAGCTGCCAGCAGTACTTCGGAGAGTTTTCGATGGAAAACCATTGCTTCAGAACAGGGAATGTACTTCATGGTGGCTGCCTGGTGTGCAGAGCTAGCTCTGCAGCTGCTATACACAGCGCTGTACAGTGTGGTTGGTTGCTCCCTTGGTCCCCGCTGCTTAAATGCCTGTGCATCTCACTGCCAAAACTCTCTGGTCTTGTCTTGCATTTGTCGTAAGCTTGCAAGGCCACCACCATGCATGATTCTTCTGCACAGATCTCGGTGCTAGCAGGGGCTCATCGCTGACCTGCAGATTTGTTGTCCTGCATCCAGCATTTCCTGAACTAAAGGTCATGCAGTATCACAGATTTGCGCCTTTGACTTGAAGATCAAAACGCTTTGCATGCTTCACCTATTATATCGGTCTTGGATTTTGATAGCTCTCCACGACACCCATGAGCCATGATCATGGCCACATGAAATTTCCTGATAATTGTGTTTGTGTTTGAGACCAACAAGAACGCGTTCTGCAGTTCTACCCAGTCTTGAAATTTGACGGCTCACCACAACATTCATGGGTCATGGCCATAAGCAGATCTCAACAACCATGAGCCGTCACCCTCTGCGCTGAACCTCACAGACTCGAGCTGAATATACACTGTACCATGGGAATCACTACACTGCGTGTAGGTCTCAGCAGCCCACTCTAGCAACAGACTGACATCACTTGGGGCCAATAATTGGGATCAGCTTTCCACCGTCGAGCACAATGCACTGGCCTGTGAGCCAGCCAGACTTGGCCTTGTCAGTCAGAAAGTAGCACAGCTCTGCCACGTCTTCAGGGGTGCCCACGCGACCGAGAGGGGTGACCCCTGCAGATTTGACCATATAAGCAGCAGCCTGTTCTTGCGTGAAGCCTGCTGTTGTGAAGATGCCGGTCTGCACTGTCCCTGGATTGATGGCGTTTACTCGGACCCCCTGCATGCACGGGAAGCACTCAGTGCTTCAGGTGCAGCAAAGAAAGAAGCTGCTTCATCACCACATCAGTCAATGAAGCAAGGCAACTTATAGCTAATGACAAGCATTTTTACTCAAACTCTCAAAAGGCTAGAGTCTTTCCTTCTTTTCCAATTCAGGGAAGGTCAAAAATCTTACCTTTGGCGCAAGCTCCAGTGCTGATGCCTTAGTCAGCATGTCAACGGCAGCCTTGCTGACGCTGTAGGCACCTGCGCCCTGCAGCGGCCTCTGTGCTGCAATGCTTGAGATGTTCACAATGCTGCCGCGCGAAGCCTGTGAAAGCCATGCATAAGACCTCAATCTCTTGCGCCCTGACAAGATGCCGCTCACAATTAGATGTCTCCTGCATGCCGCTGTCTGGCAGTAGTAGACAAGGGTGGTGAATTTTCATGCAGACTTGGTAATCTGATGGGAGGGATCAGGCATGCATGCATGACTGGGATTTGCAAATTTGAGGCTTACCTCCAGGAAAGGAATAGCAAACTGAGTTAGATACAGGACGGAATTGACATTAAGGTCCATGTGAAAAGCCCAGTCCTCTACAGAAATGGTCGCCAAGGTGAGTCCAATCTAGATTGAGCCTGCAAGAGCATCCACACAATTTCAAGTCAGCCCCTCTGCGACTTATTTCTCGATTGCAGATGCATAGTGCCCACGTAGGTTCTTCTGCTCCCTTGACTTCCCAATAGCCACTATCAAGCATTTGGATGATTACACTTGTGAGGGGTTAGCTGCGTGTTGAGGGATGCCTGCAGGAACAGCTGCAGTTATTGTGAACTCTCTTCCTTTGTGTGGGCAGCAAACAAATTCCTGGCCATATCTGCCTCACCCGCATTGTTCACAAGAGCGTCCAATCGACCTCCCAGCAGTTTCACCCCTTCCTCGATGATTGCTTTGCAGCCCTCCAGCTGCAGGGGCAGCCACAAAAATATCTTCGCTTTGCAGCTCCAATATACAGAAATCACTATTGGCGTTCTGGCAGCGGTTACAGCATTACGATATGGTCATCTATGACTCGCAACGTTCAGCGGGGACACACCGTTGAGACATCCTGCGCTAGAAACAGGGCCTTGCCCTTTGCCTCAAAGATCTCGGGGATGGCAGACTTGAGACGATCCAAGCTTCTTCCAACAAGCACAACATCGTCGCCCTCGTTGAGAAATTTCAGGGCAATGCCCAGGCCAATGCCTGTAAAGCGGTCTTACCTCCACTCAAGGTACTACATTACCTTGGAAGAACAGCATCACTTCATTTGACACTGAAAGCAACGTTTAAATTCTTTTATACAAGATTTATCCAATTTGACGCACGCACCCGCAGAAGCACCCGTAACGATGACCGCCCTGCCCATGTTGCCCTTCAGCAGAAATGGTGCGAAATACACGATATGAGTAGCAAATGTGATGGCTTGTGCTGCTAGATAGTGTACATTTGAAAGGATATGTTCTCTTGATCTTCAGCTCCTGGGCATGGAGTAAAGACTTGTAGAAAAAAGCAGCGACCTCGCGTAAAGGTTTGAACCTCGGGTGAACTGAGGGGAAGCTGCCTGACGTCAGGGCAAACCTTCGGTCGCGCCTGGACAAGAAGGTGGTCGAATAGGAAGGCAATTAAGAGTGGGACAAAGATGGTAATTGCGCATTCACTGATTCCACAGGTAAGGTTTTATTTATGGTGAGAGGCTGCTGACTCAGGACTCCGGAGATATTCAAAACCATAAAAGGCTTATTTTTGGAAGGCTGCTGCTGCTGCAACATTTATTGTAGCAAACATGGCATGAACAATGAAAGTAAATTGTGTTTGCCTCTGCACTTTCCTTAAATCAAGATCCAGAAGTATGTCACAAAGCTGATTGCAATAACTTCTGCCCCACTGTCCCGACATTTGGTTCAGTCACTTATAAGCTACCGGCAGTAGCTACTAAAAGAATTTCAAAAGGCATTTGCAAATAATGCAATAGCACACCCATAGGACTGCAATTCATGTCAAAAATGGCTCAAGCAATGCAGAACCCGCTAAGCTGCTACACTAACACATTGACAAACCTGCACATGAGTACCCAAGAAAACCTACATTTGCAAATCTTCTCAATTCTGGACAACAGGGATTGGCAGCAGACGGCCGCCCTCAAGCAGTATGCACTGCCCTGTGAGCCATCCAGACTTGGCAGTGTCTGTCAGGAAATAACACAGCTCCGCCACGTCAGCAGGCACTCCCACTCGGCCAATAGGGTGGAGTGCTGCTGAGCTTGCCAAGTAAGCTGCCGCCTGCTCTGGCTTCAACCCAGCGGACACATGGAAGTTTGACTCGACTGTGGCGGGATTGATGGCGTTCACTCGGATGCCCTGTGCAGTACAAGGCATACAGTCAGCACGAAGACTTTCAGATGCAGATCCACGTGATATTTTCAAGATTTGCTGCCCTGACAACCCTGGCTTCATCGTATGATAAACAAGCGCGCTAGCCGTGAGCGGAGATTGCATTCAAGTGATCAAAGGTATATTTTTGCCTTGAGCATGCTCAAGCTGTATAGAGGTTTCCATGCAACTGCTGAGGCAGGACGTACACTTTCGTGCTCAAAGTCCCAAGGGGGACTACAAGACTCACCTTTGGCGCAAGTTCAAGTGCAGATGCCTTTGTCAGCATGTCAACAGCAGCCTTGCTCACGCAGTAGGCCGCAGCACCTTTTCCAGGCCTCTGGCTAGCAATGCTGGAGATGTTCACAATGCTGCCCTTGGAATCCTGCATACAGACACCTCCTGCTGATGAGCACACGTGCCCTGCCACTGTCTCGACCAGCGTAGCCATCGGCAAGCACAAATTCTCAATACCACAGAATATATTTCTGCAGGCCTGCACATCATTCTGGTGCTCGACAGGACACAGAGTAGCATCTGCATAGTGGGTTTCTTGTGCAAAATGCCTGCTTTTGCATGGTGGGCAGGGGTGCACTTGCCTCTAGCAAGGGAATGGCTAGCTGTGTCAGGTGGAGGACAGAGTTCAGGTTGAGGTCCATGTGAAAAGCCCACTGCTCTGGTGTTATGTCTGCCAAGGGCAGACCAAATTGTCCAGCACCTGCACCCAACTCCAGCGCTCGGACCCAATTGTGCCCCAGAGATGTATACATAAAACACATCTGCAGAGCTGCAGATCATATCAGCTGGCACTGTCCTGGCACACATGTATGGGGATCAGGAGCTGGCGAGCTTGCCTGCATTGTTGACAAGGGCGTCGAGCCGACCTCCTAGCAATTTCGTGCCTTCCTCAATGATGCCTCTGCAGCCCTCCAACTGCACGCCATGGCAAACAGTATTAAATGGCCTAGAAAAATTGCAGGGCATATGTTATTCCTGAAGTGGTGAAATTTACGTAATGCGCAAAGCCGTGGAGGTGGGTCGGGGTCACAGGTGCAGACCGTTGAGACGTCCTTTGCCAGGTACAAGGCCTTTCCTTTGGCCTCAAAATCTCTCGGTATGGCGGAATGCAGTTTTTCCATGTTTCTTCCCACAAGCACCACATCGTCACCCTCACTCAGATATTTTAGGGCGATTCCCAGTCCGATGCCTGCACGCGTTACTCGTATGGATCAGAACATTCAATGAGATGTTCCCGCTAATCGATCGAGGCCATTTCCCACCTGAAGAGGCGCCAGTGACGATCACCGCTCTTCCCATTCTGTAGATCGCTGAGATCAAGGAAGAAGCAGGAATTCCGCGGCCAGATACAGAAGACTGTAGTAACCTACTTTCTTAATGTTCAATTTTTGTTGAATTTGGTATCCTGTGAGCAAAGCAAATGCATGAGAGAGGATCTTACGTATCGGAAGTCAAGCCGACAGCTTCCTCATGCATGTGGGAAGCTTCTCGGCTTTTCTTGGAATAGCTCGCTTCCAATGTGCGCCTCCGAGGAGCACATCACAGAACATTAGCCCTAAAAGTTGTATTCTTCCAGAAGATAGGAGACAACATCTGTTTTCTGCTCTAAAAGCACCGCCACGCTCGCTCTGTGAAAATTCATACACCTCGGCATCTGTTGCAGACATGTCGGCCGGTACCGCGCCCATCATCCCAGACTTGAAGGGCAAGCGAATTCTCGTCACGGGTTAGCTTACAATCGTAATGCTCCCTGTGCTTGTGAGTGATATTAATAAAAACATCTGCACTCACTCTGTTCCGCGACGGCTCCCCGATCGAGGGAGCCTTCAACACTGGATGACGTGAAGCAACTCAACAACCCTAAGCAACTGCAGGTGGCTGTGCTGGCATCGGAAGAGCGACGGCTTTCGCTCTCGATGCAAACTTGCGCCATGTTGCGGTGCTCGGCAGGAGGCTTGAAGGCTTGGACGCCGTGGTGAGACACACATAGTGTTGTTCTACCACTCACATGTGTGATCTTTCGTCACTCTCACTTTACAGGATGTGGCTGCTCAGGGAATAGTTCCTTATAGATTTCTGAGGGCAGGAATTGACAAGGTCCGCATCCAAGATAGCTTCGGTCACAGCTCCTGACGGAGTTTTGTGTGTCCATGCTTTCACAGTCAAAGCAGCTGAAGCACGGCGTGTCAATTGTGGCGGACCTGACGAATGAGGAGGACATGAAACGTGCCATCAAAGAGATCATTGAGAAACTGGGAGGCCTCGACATCTTAATCAACAGGTGTGCATTCCTCCTTGCGCACCTCCTTGCATGCTATGGCTATTGGATGGCCATGCTTTGCACATTTCAATGGGTGACTTCAACAGATTCTGCTGTTTTCAGCGTACAGATGTACTTATGGTATACACGCTTTTGGTGTAGTGGCGGGGTTGGAGCAGAGAGCATGGGTGGCAAGGACGAGGCATCCTTCATCTCCTCCTTCAAGCTCCACGTGACAGGTGGGTACTTGCCCTCACGTAGCTGAACCAGAATGCAGCACTGCTCATGATCTCGTTCATGGTCACTAACAACGCTGTTTGCATCAAATTTGAAACAGAGTCTGTGTCACGAGCTTCAAGTTGAAGAAACGAGCTGAGCGTGAGATGATGCAGGCAACCTGAATCTCATCCGGGCAGCTGAGGAGGAGCTTATCAAGAACAAGGTGGATATTCAAATTTATGATGTAAGACCGGCAATTCAATTCCTGTTCCCCTTGCATGCACACAGTGGCTGCATGTACGCCCTCTTGGTGAAGTAATTGAGGCATGTTGCCATGGCCAGAACAAAGAGGGGAGAGAGGGAGATTGCAGGTCTGATTAGATATCCAACAGTTTCCGGACCGTCAAAGGCACACAAAACACAAAACAGAATATTTTGAGCAGCGAGCGTATTGAGGTGCAGTCTCCGACAAGCGCGTGTGGCACATCCTCCCAGGCAACCCCAGCAATGAAATCCCTTTCTTAGCTGCCTTGCACTCCTGTTCATGTCTTGGAAGCGGTAGAAGCCTTGCTGTGTCGTATTTTAGAATGGCAGTCCTGGCTACGTGGATTAAAAAAAACAGTAAGACAGCTGGAGAGGACCATGGCTATCCAAAAATGCTGTGTTCTGTGACATGAATGTTGTGTGAGGTTGTGTAGTTGACTGCCACAGTTTCCGCATGCACAGGTACTGGTTCAACAAATCCTCTTTCCTGGATTGAAATGTCATCCGGAGTGCTTCTGTGGAACACGTGCATTGCTCACGAGGCTGCAGCTGCGAGCTGCAATAAAATGCTGGAGCCATGCCGGTGACTGGCAGTTCATTACAGTAGTATATAATGTGCTGGGTATCATGTGACTTTAATGCAAGTTCCATTGTATCCATCAGAGCGCTGCTAGCGGTGTCTCTTTTCATGTTGTCGAGAGAACCTTTACAGTCCAGCGGTCTCCCCTCCACAAAGGCAAGACATAATGCAGGATCATTGGAAGGTAGTTCCGTCTATGTACTTGGTACACAGTACAAGCTTCATTAAATAAGCCCTCAAGGGACGCATTTAGGGAACCTTGCAAAGAATTCTGCAATACCAAACCTGCATTGCAGAGTATGAGGCCAAAAGGCCGATAATTGTACCAGTATGGCAAATAATTCAAGATCCTCGCTGTATAAGAAGAGCACTTGTGCCTGCAATGGCAGGCCCCTCTCAACTGTATGTGTCTACAATTGCAGGCCCTTCTGACAGTACATGCGTAAATTTGTTTGCAAAAGACGATTGCAATGCCGTTGGCCCCTATCACTGCATCAATGTCGCACAGTCAAAATCTTTGCATGCTGTCAAAATAATCCGTAGACGAGCTGACGGTATTGCATTCAGCAACTGTGTAAATACCACAGTGCAGCTGCAGCTAGAATCTTACAAGAGCGCTGCAGCAAAGATACCATTTCCGGCTACTTTCCTTGCAGCCACTTTTTATCTCAGTTAGCCATAGGAATTGGCAGCAGGCGGCCGCCATCAAGCAGGATGCATTGCCCTGTGAGCCATCCAGACTTGGCATTGTCTGTCAGAAAATAGCACAGCTCCGCCACATCAGCAGGCACTCCCACTCGGCCAATGGGGTGACCCGTGGCTGAGTTGACCATGTAAGCCTTGGCTTGCTCTTGCGACAGTCCAGCGGTTGTGAAGAAGTTGGACTCCACTGTTGACGGGTTGATGGCATTCACTCGGATGCCCTGCACAGAAAGATTAGATCACCAGTCAGCAGACCTCCTTCCAGATTCCGAGACAGCAAGTCTACTTGTGCAACAGTTCCCTATGCACCACCAAACCGCCCTGACAAGTGACTGTAATACATGCTCCTTGGATATCGATCTACCCTGATGCCAAATTTGCTTTTTCCGCAATCACTTGCATTGCATGCTAACGATGATCAAAAGTAACTGCTTCTCACAAGAATCTATATGGGTTCTTGGGTCACCCACGGTGCACGGCGCTGAAGAGGGTTGCAGAGAGCACCTTTGGTGCAAGCTCGAGCGCAGATGCCTTGGTCAGCATGTCAACAGCAGCCTTGCTCACGCAGTAGGCAGCAGCTCCACGTACAGGCCTCTGACCCGCAATGCTGGAAATGTTCACAATGCTACCCTTGGACGCCTGCGCGCAGACACCCTGCTCGCTAAAAGCACCATTCCTGTCTCTTTTCTGACCCAGGATTTTCTCTAAATGTATGCAATCCAAGATTGGTCATCAGCTTTTGGTGACCTTTGCAGATGTATAATTCAACTCTCCCAGGAGCAGCCCGGCAAGATTGACCCTTAAGACCTTATAGCACATGATTTCCTGACACAGGACATCCCGAATTCGAACATTGAACAAATGGGTTTGGTATGAAGATATGATTGCTTGCCTCCAGCAGGGGAATGGCCAGCTGTGTCAGGTAGAGGACAGAGTTGACGTTGAGGTCCATGTGGGTCGCCCACTGCTCCGGTGTTATGTTCTCTAGGAAGAGCCCAAACTTGCCGGCACCTACGCTTCAAAATTTAAGATCTAAACAACCTGCCTTCCCTAGATGAACCAGTGGCATCACATTCTCAGGGAGTGTAGGGTGGAAAGGCTGTCGTAGAGCAGGCATGCACCACCCCCACTGCCAGAGGTCACGCTTAAAACGCATCCCACCAGGAGCCTTTTGGCATAGTTGCTGACAATGAGGTGCAGAGGGAAAACTTGGGTGTCTCACCTGCATTGTTGACAAGAGCATTCAGGCGTCCTCCAAGCAGCTTTGTTCCTTCCTCGATCACTCCTCTGCAGCCCTCCAACTGTATGCCACGGGTATATTCATAGAAGGAGTTTGAACTGAACTTGCTAGTCTGCTTGAAGAGGTTGCTGTCTGGCACAGAACATATGTGCAGGGCTGAGGCAAGGTACACACCGTTGAGACGTCCTTTGCCAGGTACAAGGCCTTGCCTTTGGCCTGAAAATCTTTCGGTATGGCAGACTCTAGTCGTTGCAGATCCCTTCCGACCAGCACCACATCATCGCCCTCGCTGAGATACATGAGGGCGATGCCCAAACCGATGCCTGCACGTTGTGATTAACCTTGAAAGTTGACCATGCATGTACAATGTACACTTTGCAGCTCACAAAATATAATAATTCACCACTGTGTCTCAGATAAAGGTCACCTGAAGAAGCCCCTGTGACGATCACCGCTTTTCCCATTCTGCACATCACAAGATCAAGCCAGACCAACAGACAAAATAGAACAGTAGAAAGAGTGTATGATGCGCCCTTATCAAGCACTTTGCATTTGAGTTCTAACAAAGGTTTGCGACATCGTGCAGGACCAAATTCGAGGAGCAAGTTATACGTAATCGAGATCATGCATGGGGGATAGCTTCCTCATGCAAGGAAGCTACCAAAGAAACTGCAGGTCCCAGAATTTCGGATTACGAGAAATCCAAGCGGGTTTGTGATACTGCGATTTTCTGAAGTCTGGGGTTCATTCGAGGTGCTGAAAATTAACTATAACAAATTTGGTATCAGGGATTCCCAGTCAGCTCCATCCTTCACGCCAAGGACCCCGTATCTATAAGAGCAATGTCGTCCGCCATCACTCCGATGCTTCCAGACTTGGAGGGCAAACGTGTGCTCGTAACAGGTTTGTTAATCGCCATTGGTGATCCCGTTCCACGATTATAGTCATCGGTATGCCGAGAGAAAAAGAAAGAGCAACCCCTATCCCCATGCTCTTCCAACCTGACAAGTCCCATCTTATGCGACGACTTGATCACTATCTATACTGCGCAAGACAGGTGGCTCTTCTGGTATTGGGAAGGCTGCTGCGTTCGCTTTTGATGCGAACTTGTGCCATGTGGCACTGCTTGGGAGGAGGCTGGAGCGGTTGGATGCAGTGGTGAGATATTTTGCTCCGCTCCTGGTTGTCCTGTGATGCAGGAGGGAGAGACCTCTTCTCAGTCAAATCCCATCCATTGGAAAACCTCTCAGCCTCTCCTGGCCGTAACAGGCAAAGCAGCTGAAGCATGGGGTGTCAATTGTGGCGGACCTGACAAAGGAAGAGGATATGAAGCGCGCTTTCAAAGAGACCATCGAGAAGCTGGGTGGCCTGGACATTCTGGTCAACAGGTGAGTGCCGTTCTGCCCACAAGCGTCCTGATTTAAGCTTGCGCTATTTAGGATATCCATGGTCAAAACATGTGGCTGCGGCAATCTTATGCAGTGTAACATCCTGTTATCAAAGCAGGCTATGTGTATGCTGGGGCACATGCCTTGAGCTGGTGAGCACGTTAAAGGACTTTACAGGTGCTCAATAACCACGTGTTGTGGTGCAGTGGTGGGGTTGACTTAGACAACATGAGCAATGATGAAACCGCGTTTATAAATGACTTCAAGCTGCATGTAACAGGTGCGTGTGATTTTCTCAGGTAGCCTGAGAGTGGGTGGTCACATCCCAAACTGCATTGTACCACAGCTCCTTGTGTCTTGACGAGACAAAAGTGGCTGTGAATATCCAGAACATACTCTTTGATGCACTAGCAGGGATTGAAGAGAATACTCTGATGCTGCAGGTAATCTGACCCTCATCAGGGCTGCTGAGGAGGAGCTCATCAAAAACAAGGTGAGCTTTTTTCTAGGGAACGTCATTTCCTTTTACCTGGTGGCGTGAGGCACAATTGCAAAAAGTGCGCTCGCAGCAATGGAGCACGGTGGCTGGTCCCTGTGCAAATCGAAAACACATTCTGGAGCATTCCCTGTCGATTTCTTTTAAATGGGAATGCATTATTTGCATGGCAAATGTGGGGGCTGGTCACAGGGCGCTATTGTCAACATATCATCTGGCGCAGCCGTTGTGCCGAGAAAGGAGATGCACTCCTATGGCGTGGCCAAAGCAGCCCTGGACAAGCTGACCAAGGACCTGGCCTTCGAGTTTGCTCCAAAGGGAGTGCGAGTGAATTCCATCGTCCCAGGTGAGCCCCCCATCAGTGCTGTGCAGTTCAAATACCAGGGCACCACTATGAAAACCCCTCTCCTTCTCTTCCTAATTTCTGTGAATGGCCTGTTTTAATGGCCTTCAGAGCAATTGCTGCTGGGCTTGGCGGGTCATATTGTGACTTGCGAAATATGCAAATGCTCTTTCAGAAATTACATGCAGTCTGCAAGGCCATGCTGGTCAAGCATAGTCTCCTCTCACAATGCCATGGAGCAGTGCGGGGAAGGCAAAACTAAGACCAAACTCTGAAAGGTGTCCGGTGTGGGTGCAGCGGTGATCAACACCGAGGGGTTTGATGAGATGGCGGAGCGAGTTGGCGTCCCCAAAGAGGACATCATGGCGAAGCTTGCCCCCAAGCATGTAATGGGCCGGGTGGGTGAGCCATGGGAATGTGCGGCCCCCATTGTGTTCCTGGCGTCCAACGCTGCATCCTTCATCACTGGTGTCAACCTGCTTGTGGACGGAGGTGCCACCCTTGGGTGAGTCACTTGGGTGACTAATAGTCAGTAATCTGCGTTGCAGAGATGGGTGCTAGGATTGCCAGCATATGTGGGTGTTACTGGTTACTAGCAAAGCTGTCGTCTATCTTCTAGTGCACCCTCTGCCTAATATTTAGAGTATCTGCACAAAGGTGAATTGCCAGCGGCTGTGGAATTTGACCTGGCCCGTGCTGACTTCAAGTGTCAGCTAAGGAAGGAAAGCAGGAAAGAGAGCTTGGAGATACCCAGCAGAGCTTGTGATTGTGCTGACCCCCACTTTGTGTTACTGCTCAGGTACTGGTTCAATCAGACCCCATTGTTGGGATGAGGGCATGCATGCAAACGCGCCGCAGCGCTGGATGTGTGCAAATGTGGACACCTGTGGCACTTCTGATCTAGAGAGTAAAGTGGACTTGCATTCTTATGGGTTTTGAGAGCAATGGCGACATTTATAGTCTATACTGGCAGTAGTACAGAAAGTGTCTACAGATTGCAGTACTTAATTCTTCTTCAAGGCAGGCGCTTGGCCGGCTGGCCGACGGGGTATAAACGCACGCAGAGTGTGCGTCTAGACATATGAACATGCAGCACCTATAAAGTGACAGATGTGTTGAGAGGTTCCAACATTTGTTATGTACATGCCTGTGCGCTTCAAGAAGATGCATTCCGGTGACTCGCTTGCACACGTGATTTGCAAATCAATTGAACAGAGCAGCTTGACGGACACGCGCATGGTAATGCACCATGCCTGCCAGTGCAATGATTTTCAGGAGATCAATATGCAAGGTGGCATTTAAGAGGGAAGGGAAAGGACATGTGTTACCCATGCATCAATGGGTGCCAGCAGCTTCCCCATCACTATGAAGCTACTCCAGTTCACCTATCAGCTTCGCCGATTCCACGTCACTTATCTTTGAACGGCCTGCGTATCCTTTATTGTTGAATTCATTGAGTTTGTGATCTGAGAGATATTGTGAAGTCTGGGACCTGCAGAATATGCATATTTGTTCGTTTTGGACGTGACATAACACAGTCTCCTATATTTTTGGGATGCACGGAAGAAGATGTCTCAATTTGGACAGCATGCCTCGTTTGGCGTCATGCTCAGGACGCTTAGATAATTCATACGTGCACCGGTTGACAAGTAATTTGCAACGTTCCCGACTAACGCCACTTGCACCAGTCGCACGATTCTTGCCAACGCCAGGGCAGCACTTGTCGAGTGGGCAAGCCTCGAGATCTCAGCAGCAAGTCCAAGTAGCTAGCATTGATGCAGCATCGCTGCAAGACGTTTGCAGCCTACCAGCAATAGATAGCGTTGCTCATCAGGTATACCCGTCCAGCAGCAATTTTGAAGTGTGACAAGTTCGAGGCACACCTGATCATTTAGCCCACCCGTGTGCACACATACCCGTGTTCACACATATCTTGTCGCGAATACAGGCGGGAAGGTACACGATTGGTGGTCATCTGGAAACAGATCTGCCAAGGGAAACTGTGCTTGGCGTCCTCACAGACTATGAGGGCCTTGCTCGCATCTACAGCTCCATAGAGGAGTCCAAGCAGTGCATCATCAATGGCAAGAAGGGCGTCAACCAGGTGACTGCAACACCATTGTAATCACAGTGTTGCCTGCATTTTGACAGTGTGCATATCTTTCCATTCCTTGCTGTGCTGAGCAAATGCAGTTTGTACAATGAGCACATGTTGCCTCTGGAGATACAGATCTGTTCAGCAAACAAAGTGGATGCCCTTGGTGGACTGTACCATTGAGCCACCATGTGCGCTCATAATGCAAGCTCACCTTCATGAAGTCAAGCTCATGATTGAAGTTTTCACGGTGCAGCTGTGCCGCTGGGAGTTTTTGGTTTTCTCAGGCACCTTTGAGACACGGCTGGGAGTGGAAGAGGACTTGCCTCGCGGCAGCGTAGTCTTCCGCCTTGTGTCTTCGTCATTCATGCGCCAGTTTGAAGGTCGATGGCAGGTGCGCATTAGCAGCACTCAATCTGACGCGTACTATGGGCAGGTCAATTGAACTTCTTCCTTGAAGCCGTTCAGTATGCATCTGACGCCAATGGAAGTCAGGGGTTGCAGCCGCTTCAACCTTCTTGCTTTCAGCTGTTCAGCTGCCAAAGTTCAGTCACAACTTCGTTCTATGGCATTGCTGCTGTTATGAATATGTCAAGGACAGTCGCTTGAAGAGCAGATACTGCTCCTGCTGCTGTTGGCGGCTGCTGTGCATCACAGAAGATTGTCTCAGCCATTGTCTCAGCTGAATCATGTGTTGCTCGTTAGTCATTGTAGAATTAGTCGTGCTGCTGTGCAGGTGTCTGACCTGGCGGATGGGTCATGCCGAGTGGAGCACCAGCTCAGTGTGGAGCCTGTTGTGGCGCCGCCGCAGGCGTTCGCCGGATACACTCAGAAGATCTTTGTGCGCCAGGTTGAGCGCCTGCTAGAGGATCTCAGCCACGAGCTCTGCCGGATTCAGTGCTCATGATCAGTGCACTGACATGTGGAAAGTAGCCGAGCAAGACAGCGACCCGGACCATTGTCAGCAGTTGCTGACAGTGGTTCGCCACTAAAGAGAGCAAGAAACACTCAAGGACGCTCAAAGTAAGCGACTGTGGTTTTTGGATAATTCAGCAGTGAGTGAGCGAGAGAGAGAGGGCTTAGTACGAGTGTGGAAAGTGTGTGATTGAAGTGTGAGTGATGTAGAAGCGTGGGGATATCCAATCGATTTTTGCTTCTTGTGTGCATGAAAAGATGAACTTCTATTGAACAACCTCGGGTAACTTGGAAAAGTGCGATTTGTGAAGACGGGTGTCAAATGCTTGATTGATAGATTGCATGCTGTCTGCAAGCTTGTGCAAGCAGCTGACTCTGAATGATCTCGTTGCATATCGTCAGGGGCACATATTGTGCACCACTATTCTGCCCCACCATTTTCAGCCACTATAAGATCAAATGCTTGGATCTGGCAAGTCTAACAAGGGGTAGGATTGAGGCAGCCTTCAACTGCAGCTTGTCTGCAGGACGCACCTTGCCTTTGGCAGGAAAAGCATGTAATAGTAATAATAATAATAAGATGAAATTTTGATTGGCCAGCGCTGACTATGGTGAAGAATTCTATATCACACTCCTTTAGACTATCTAATGTTGAGGACCTCCCAGGACACTGGTATGTATCTACTGCCAGTCACATCTATTCCACTTGTTGGGAATGTTTTCCAAAGATCTTCATAGCCAGAGGACAGCATGTCCATCAAGAGTGCTGTTAGACACTCTTGCGCGCTTGAGACAGCTTCAGCGCTTGAGACAGCTTAGAGCATGGGGTGGAAGCGGATGGTGCCATCGAGGCAGCTGGAGATGAGGCCCTCTGGGCAACTGGCCAGCCCAGTGATGACTGGTGCCACGCTCTGCCGCGCACTCTTCAACACATCGCTGAAGAAATTATACCCTGCGCATCCCATGCACACCACTCATTGTCCCTTGAGCGCCTTGAAGCCTCACAAGCATGCGCTGCAGATGCTTAGCATTGAGAATCGTTCAATCAAGCCCTTGGCTGGACCAGGGACCTCAAGAACCAACAAGGCCTTCTCTGCATCCTGCATGCAGCTTCATCCAAGACTACCATTGTTGACATCTGCAAAAGGGGTGGGATATGAGTAATCAACCGAGGCAGCACCTGCCGAGCCTCCCCTGACTGCGGCGGGACACAGGCACTTGCTGACACGTGATGGCATAGAAGTTTACATTCTTGGAGCATAGGTATCGGCAGAACAACAAGGAAAATTTACCTTTGGGCGTGGGGGCCTGCTTGGAGGTGGGCTGCACTTGGGACACATCGATGCTCTGCAGCGCTGTTCCGCTGTCGACGGCCCATGATGTGATCACTCCCTCGCGGCTGCCCGAAGCCAGTCCCGGCCGCGGCCCGCTTGCCAGGCAGGTAACGCCCCCGTTGCCCGCCTTCGCCTGCATGACAATGCAACATGTTGCCTGCTCAGGTGATTGACTTCCAAATAGTCCGACTGAGCTGTGTGCTTCAGGTAGTTGGCTTCCAGGTAATCAATTCAGACGGAGAACACCGGATTATTCTGGAAGTGCTTCAAGGAGATGCATGCTTCAAGCAACTGAGTCAGAGATAGATACCAGATAGACAGAGCAGAGTGGATGAGAAGAAGCACTAGTCTGCATAGACTCCTGCCAGATAGACCAACTGAGGGAAGAAGAGGTCTGCACCGCGTGTCTGACATAATTTGAACAATCATGCCATGCAGACAACTCTTCACTGAGATGATCCGTCTGGCAAGAATTCTGAACATGCATCAGTCACTGGTGACCTGATACCTGCTGCACAATTCCACTGACGACCTTCAAATGTGGCCAAATCTTCAGAGCTGGCGTTAGCCCTTACACGAATGCATCTATGCGTTCAATCCTCACTCCTAAGGCGAGACGTATTCTGTCTCTGAACCGTCTGAACTAAGTGCAAGGCGCTTTAATGAGCAGAGCAGAGCCGAACCTGCCACAGTAGGGCCTTGCGTTGGGTGCCCAGCATGCGCAGGTCGGAGACGGACACCGACCCGGCCTCATCCGCAGCCGCCAGCAGCCGCCCGCCCGGCAGCACCTGCAAAGGAAATTTCCCCGCGCTGACTAAACCTTTCAAGTATCCAGCAATTCCGTGAGCATGCAACGGCAGTGATAATAGGTGATGGGCACGCGGTTGAGGACAAGCTGAGAGATGGCAGCAACAAAAACCATCTACGCTATTACGCTACCTGACAAGCTCCCAGAGGCAGCAAGGGAGGGTGCAGGGAGCTAGCATGCATAGCATAACAAGTGCACAGCCGTCTGAATACTGCAGCATTTTGGGAAAGCAAGCTACCTGGTATGGTAAAACCTGATGCATTTATACCGCACCGAACATAATGTGGGGCATAAGATACGCACATTTAGATCCCAAAGGCAGTAATAAGGGCAGGCCAGCACCTGCAGGGCGGTGACCAAGGGGGTGTGGTGGGTGAGGTATGCGATGGGCCCAGCTGAGATGGGGGCCAGGGTGTCCCAAAGCACGATGTTCCCTCCCACTGGGCAGAAGCCGCCCGCAGCCAGCACGCTGCTGCTGCCGCCGACAAACGCTATATCCACCCCGCGCTTGGACAGCACCTGCATTTTGAAGACGTTAGCCCCTCAGTCACACAGCATTTATCAGAGCTCATCAGAGAACATTATGTATTCCGCACAAAGGCGTGTGTCTCTAGTCATGCTGTGATTGAGTCACCTCCGGACATGCATGCGTGAGCTCAAGGGTGGGTTTGATATCACGAGACAAAGCGTGAGCTCACGTGGCAAGGAGTGTGAGCTCAGAGAGCTCATGAGACAAGGTATGAGCTCACGAGACACAGCGTGAGCTCACGGGTGAGTGTCAGTCCACGAGGCAACGCCTGACCTCATACACAAGTGTGAGCTCAAGGCAATTAGGTGTGCGCCCAGGTGTGCTCACGCCTGGCGTGAGCTCATGTTTTCAAGCCTTGACTGCACTTTACAACCCGCTGCTCAGTTGCCAAGAAGGGTTGAAAACTAAGAGTTGCTGACCTGGTGGCACCAGTCGGAGCGAGCGAGGGGCCCGCTATCAGAGCGGGTATACTGCGGAGCGTCTAGCCGCCAAGCAGCCGCCATACCGCCCTGGCCAATTGCCGCAAAGCGCTCACCGCCCTCGCTGAAGCATACCTGCATACCATTTGCCCTTCACAAGACTTATCACTCATTCCCCTCAACAAGGAGAGAAGGCATCATATTCCGTCCCTTCACACTAATCTAGACGGCACAACCTGCCCTCTCTTGTCACCGTACAAGGCACCGCCGAGCAGCTTTGTCTTTCTACTTTCATTGGAGGATTTCAAATCCATATCACCAAGAATCAAGCAGCTCAACGGCGTCTTGCTTAGTTTCAGCAAAAACAGCAGAAGCCAGAGATTCTTCTGCACTGTCTGAAGGCCACGTCAACTTTCAATGCCATGCCTGATCAGACAGGGGCAAACATTGTCTACTGCATGGTTCGGAGGACTTCAAAAAAAAACCTAGTGGACAAGATCTATCAAGAGGGGGCGCACCGACTGAGGCTGGCCCCAGTGTCCGAGCGCAGCCAGCGCGCCCGGGCGGTCAATGTTCCATGCGCGGCTGGGTGTCGCGAATATTGAGGCCGACGCAGCAGGAGGCGCCGCGCCAAACGTTGCCGGAATGGGAGTGTATCCGGCGGTCGCCTGCTTCGCGCCAATCTGCCACAGATATATCTCCCCCGTCGCGCTGCCTGCAACATTATACTTTGTGTTTAAGAAAGAATCCATCAAAAGGTTTAGCAGGTCACATCTTCTCAGTTGCTCGATCAGTCAATTCATCACTGCCACACACCTTTCGCCCCCTTCTTTTGTTTTTCTTGTGCTGCTTATTCTTGCAAAACCACGCAGACTGCAAAATAATGCCAACTCCCATTCCCTGTGCCTTAAAGATCAACAAATAAACAGAGACAAGCTTTCCTTTGACAACACGTCCAGTGCAAGGACAAGGGGTTACCTGACAGGTAGAGAGGCCGGAAGGGGTGCGAGGCCAGCGCGACAGTGGCGATCTTGTCAGTGCGCGCGGACACTTTAGCTGTCGGCGAGTCCCGGGGGTTCAGCGCGCTCGAAGACGTCAGAGACAGCAGCGCGCGGGTGGCGGCCTTGGGAGATGATCTCGGAGAGGCGCCGGCGGCCGGAGCGGCCGGTGACGTCCGTGGGGAGGCGTTATCTCCGGCTGCTGACATGGCGGGTGATGTGGCGGATAACGTGGCGGCGGCCGGCCAGCGCACTGCCTCCATCATGTCAGTCAGCAGCGCCGAGAAGACTGACCCCTGCACGTGGACCATTCAACTCAGCAAATGCATCAGGCTTTGCTCACGACCAATTAGTAGTCTGAGACTGTCCAAGCACTGTTGCTGTTGATCAGGAATTTACATTTACGCATTTACTGTATTAATATTATTTAGGCATCTGCATATATGTGCCTGCCGAATCGCAGCAAGCTTATCTTTGTGTAATGTAATTTGGCACAGTGTGAGGACGCCTGAACCACTGCAATGTTAAGGGCCTATCACAGCACGTAACAAATCTTCCCATGCGCTCATGCTTTGTGCACATCCTTCAAACACAATACTTATGGGTTGTGTCACCAGTGGCACAGCCATCACCCACAGAGCAGTGACCAACCTTGGCGGCTGAGCTGGCGTCAGAGGCGGCAGCTGAGAAGGAAGCTGCTTCGGATGCGTCCACGGTCTGCTGCGGCGTTACCTCCAGCTCCACCAGCCCCTTGTGCGCCGTGGCCGCCACCATTGGACGCCCCTCGCCGCTCCAATCCCCTGAAAGCCCACATCATATCCCTTAATGTATCTACAACCGTGACCTTAACACCCCTGCTCGTTTTGCAGGTTTTCACCAACGCATGAGCCTTCTTAAGATGTGATAGGCATATGTCTGAAAAGTACAGAACATGCACAGGGGCAATTTAGTCAGAGCCGGGTACACTGTATTCCAGAATAGAGTAAAATTAATTGCAAACGTGTGCAACACCTCCAAAAATGAAGAGAGGCAATGGCGCACCGGCCTGGGCTGCGCAGACGGTGAAGACTTTGTCGTGCAGCTGCTGCACCACCCAGCCGCCGTCATACAGCGTCCCGGCAAAGCCGCCCGCACCAGCGCGCACGCTGCCAGACCTGCCCACTCAGCAGACCCCTCAGTTCCTGCATGCTGGCAAGATCAACCATATTTCGCCACTATGATCCAGAGGGCGTTCCGTCGGACGGATCGTGCCGCCTCTGCGGGGTTCGGCGTTTCGCTGAACGGGTTCGCAAATGACTAACCCATCACGGCACGTGTCATGTGGCTCTGCTAACCCTGCATATTTGATGTCTCTACAGCAAGCAGAGACTGTCTGCAGGGGTCTAGCAAGATTTGTATTTCCTGAGCTTATTTATGGCTTAGTTGTTTGTGTCTAGCAAGTGACACTTCATTTTTCCTCTTACCCACCTGCGATCGCGGCTGAAGGACAGGCGGCTGCTGGACTCGGAGAACGGCGTTGACGGCTCCTCAGCTAAAACAGGCGCCTCCCCCGGCCGCAGCAGCGCCGCGAGTGCACCCAGCCGCTCCAAAACAGGCTCCGGCTCCAGCAGGATACCCTTTTCTATGAGCCCGCTCAGCCCTGCCTGCGCAGCCGTCCTCCACGCCTTGCCTGCATCCGAGCTTGCCCTCCTGCCTGCGTCTGCAAAATCGATGCGCACTCTTCTCAGCTTCTGGCGCACACCATTCTAGACTGCCGATCTGTCTGGAAGTTTAGGGACATTTCCACTCCAGTGAAGAGCTTCTGCTTGTACGGGCATTTTCTATGTTTTGCTGCCACACCAGCCAGGATTATCAGCTTCATGCAAGACTCCCCAGAACTTCCCAGGGATTCTCACAAGAATCGGGAGGGTGTAATCCGAAGCAAAGATGCAAAGCAAGTGAGAAGATGGGCCAACAGGAGCGCCCACCAATAGTCAGCCGAAGCAGCGCAGAAGCAGCGAGCTCTGTCTTCATCGACTGCAATGCGCCGCCCGGCTGCTCAAACGCCTCCATTAGAGCAAGTGCCTCCAGCGCCAGATCAGGCATGCCGGCAGAATCAAACGCTGCTGCGCTGCGCTGTGCGAGGGTGCGCAGCGTGCACATCGTGGCGGGCCCGGGCACCAGGCTGGCGGCTTGGGCTGCGGTGCAGTGGTGCAGGAAGTCCAACAGCAGCGCCTCTTCTGGCGCACCAGCCCTGTCAACCTGCAACTCGGACACCAATCATGTGCTGGCTCACAACAAGTAGAAGGAACAGCAATTTCTCTCCCGCAGCCCCAAAGGATCTAATCTGTGTTCACTATAATTTCTCTTTGTGTTCTTACTAAGGGGCTGTTCCACGCTCAGAAGAACCGACAGGTTGTGGAGGTGCCAAACTGGCCTTGGAGTTGGGGTGAGCAGAGAAAACTCCAGGTCAAAGTGAAGGGTTACCTGAGTCTGCTGGGGAGACATCAATGGCGCAGGAGGAGATGACAGCAGAGTCTGCAGCGCCTGATCTGGCCGCCCCAGCAGCCACTCCAGCACAGCAGCGCCCCATGCATCCTGCTTGTCCAGCGCTCCTACAAGAGTCCGACAGACCTTTTACACATACCATAAGTCGAGCAGTAACATAATCTCTCTCATGACCCCTCATGCTACACGCTGTCGTTCAGGCTTGATGCAGCTTGCTGTGGGCATCTCTGCCACAACCCTTGAAATATTCTGTAGAGCACTTCTTGATGCATTTGTTGCACGTCCACCATTGAGACAGCCGCCTCTCTGCCACAGCCCATTATTTCTGTCTTAACGCAGCTCTTGAAGCACTGTATGGCTTCTGCACTCATGGATATGGGCAATCTTTGTAGAGTTTGATGAAGACAATGGACACACGTGGCAGGAGCTCGTCAGCAAGCAGGTGCTGAAGTAGGGGCCCGCCAGCCGGCTCCAGCAGGCGGCACAGGAAGATGGCGAGCTGCGGATCGGCCAGTTCATTGGCGCACACGCCCACCGCATCCCTCAGCTGCCCCGCTGCATGCATGCATGCGCTCACATGGTTAAGAGGCATACCAGGAACATGACATTCGCACGTCAGCGTTGCTGAGGAGCCTTTGATCCTCAAGACATGCACACAAGGCATACGATGGCTTCCAAGCAATCAGGGCCTCCACCCTCACTGAAAACTGTACATCGCTCCTGTTCACAAGAAATAAGATGGCAAGAAGAGCCTGAAACGTGCAATTAGATGGCACTGTTACCCATGCTCTTCTTAAACGAACAAGAGCGTGCTTTGTTTAAGGTGATGACTTGTGGTGGATGTAATGGTGAGTTGTGCGCACCCAGGATAAAGAATGCGGCAGCCAGCTGCGGCCGGTGCTGCGCCAGAAGCACAAAGGCATTCTTCGCGGCGGCAGCCTTGTCCTTGTCAGAGGTGAAGGAGCGGCCCAGGAACTCTGCCTGCTTCTTGTGCTGCGCCGAGCGGAAGAGCCCCTGCGATTGCAGCACAGCTTTGCAATCAGCAGGGTGTCACCAAGCATGGAGACTTTTAGAAAGAGATGTTCAAAATGTCCCATGGTCACCAGCTCATGAAGAAGCATGCAAAAAGACAAAACACCAAAAATGTCAAAATGGCGATCTAGAGTAGATTTGAGGCTCCTTTTATCTGCCAAGGGCATGGCTTGCAGAGACACGAGCTGTATCCGATACTGTCAGGACTGATTCACTACTGATGAGTGCTGCAGGCAATCAAAGAGGCGCACAATAACACATGCAGTTGCCTGTTGACTTAATCATACCTGCAGCAGGGTCCTTTTGCCGAGCGCAATGTACATAAGCGCACAGTCGAAGGGGTCCCGCTTCGCTGCAAATTGGGCCTTTGCTAGCGCCTCCGCCTGCTGCCGCACCGCTATCGCGTCCGTCAGCCAAAACCCGGCGCCTGCCTGTCAATCGGTACACAGTAATGCGCATTCAGCTTTTGCTTTATCTCACTCAACGCTCAATGATCTCCGTGCACTTTACTGATCTACAGTAAGCCAACATGGGTGGCTTCATGAATGTGCCATATGCTCACTACAGTGCATGCCTTTATGCATGCGTTCCTGAATGCATGACGCACATCTGCAAAATTGCTGCAGAAAACAAATTCATAGCAGACTGCTGCATTGCATTTGGTGAGCAAGGTGAAAAGTACAAATTGGCATAATGAGGTTATGCTCCACCTTGCGCATGCGCTCCCAGCTAAGCTGCTTAAAACTATCCTGCGCATCTGCAGGCTTGGCAGTGCCGAAGCCAAAGCCCAGGTCCAGCTTCTTCTGTCCGCTGTATGTGAAGTCGATCTTGGGCTCCTGCTTCTCCTCCACCATAGTGTCCGCGGGCACCTGCACGCAAAGATGTCTTGTGCATCTTCTCTTGCACACTGTGAATGCGCGCTTTCAAGAAAGTAGGTAAGCTGATGACAGCCAAAACCTGTCATAAACACTGCGTGATAGCATGTTCAGCCAGGCAGGCAGTCAGTCAGGATTTATTGTTACCAGCCGACTTAGGGCTGGTCCAAAGTCAGTGCCCAGCATTACATTCAAGCTCTTGAAAATAACCATGGAGACGCCGATAAGATGATCCTGCTATGAGAGCACACCGTGGCCATGCATGCGTCCAGCAGGGCGCCAGGCGATGCTGACATCAGCGCCCATAGGACAGCGCGCATGTCAACGGCCTCTAACAGGCCCACATTGCTCTCCCAACCCCCTTCCTCTGACTTGCCTGTGTAAGCACATTCCCTGCTTATTACCCTTGCAGCATACACTTTATGTGCATCATTGGGATGTACAGGGGTGCAAGATTATTTAGGAACAACACAGTTGTATGACACACTGATAGGAGCACCTGGTGTAGTGGTGCCTCTTGTTGCTGCCAGCAGGCTGGCCAGGCTAGAGCTGGAGCGAATAATCTGCCTTTGCGGTGCAGGCTTAGCTTCCTTGTTGCTGGCAGGCTGGGGAACAAGGGCAACCTGCACCAAGGTCAAAGAGTAGAGACTTCATGACAGGCTGCATATTTTATGGCACATGAGCCTGCATGCATGCTGCAGCATCGATATAGCAGGCCTGTCAAACTTAGTGAGGAGCCTGTCTGTACTGCATTTATTCGCAGCAGGAGGAGTACCCAGGAATCAGAGCAGTGTCACTACGCCGGATAGCATGCGAATGGTATAAGATCTACCTGCAGGGACGTCAGCAGCCGCTGAGCTGGCTCGTCCAGGGGCTCTGCCTGAGCAGCTGCCAGCACACTGGCCAGGCCCAACAGCTCCTGCACTGCATCTCTGTCGAGCCTCTCCAACCCAAGCCAGACACTGATGCTATTGCTGTCCAGCTCCAGCTTTGGCAGCCCATTCCCACCCGCCTCCTCATCTCCATCTTCCTCTGCAAACAAACATTTCCAATGCTTGATCAAGGGAATACCATTGCTGCTGCATAGCTTGCTTTACTCTGCTTGTTGTGTTTGCGCCAAAAGAACATATACAGAACTATATGGTCTGCCAAGCCTGGTCCATTCTGAGCACTTCCTGTACCAGCATGACAGCAAGGCATGCAGAGATATGCAGAAAAGACAGCAATGTATGCAGTGCCGCACCGGGATCAGTGTTTTGGCTCGGCAATCCAGCAGCAAGGAACAGCAGCCTCTGCAGATCTTGCAGCTCCACTGTTGACAGCGTGTAAGTCTTTCTGACCGGCGCTTCAAGCTTTGCATGCATGCCTCTGCTTCGCTGGGCGCTGCCTGTTGTGGCATCCTTGGTCACGCCGCCAGAATAGGACGTCAAGGCGTCCAGCTGGCTGCTGCGCTGTGCGCGTTCAGCGTTCCCTGCCCCCGACGACTGATCAGGCGCTGCTCTGCCCCTTTCGAAACCGCTTTTGCCCGAGACAGCTGGCGGCTGCCGCTTTGGAGACGGGACAGCTGCCTCTGCAGCGCCCATTCCGAATGCAGTGGGATCCAGGGTGCCTGAGAGGATGTCTGAAGCCCCTGCTGAAGGACTTTGCGGCACTTCTGCATGCCTGTCAGAGGCAAATGGGTCATTGCCGGTGTCGTCAGCCGCTGAATCTGCCGCTGCAAAGCCACCCATTCCAAAGGCGCCCATGTCGAAAGCAAAGGGGTCGGCGGCAGCTGCTACTCTCCCTGACGCTGCGCTCTGAGAAGGTGCTTCAGCAGAAACTTGATCTGATCCTGACTTGTTGCTGACGGGGGCCTCTGCTCTGCTTGACTGGGACTGTGGCTCAGTCGCAGCCTCCATGCCAAAGCTGGTTGGGTCAAAGGCGAACGGGTCCGCCACACTGGCTGCTGCAGCTACATTCTGGTGCCCACTGCTCGTATCTCCTGTATCACCTCTGTCAGCGGCGTAGGGATTGGAGGAACTGTCACCCTCCTCCATATTGAGGTGTGAGCTGCTACCGACCCCAAAGGCATCTATGCTGAATGCGAAGGGATCCGCGCTGCTTGCTGCTCGCTGCCCTTCCTGGGTTCTTGATCCCTGCTTGTTTGCAGATGCATCCTCATCGATGTTGCTGGCATTTGCCTGTGTTCCTCCTGGCATGCCAAAGGCGCCTGCATCGAAGGCATATGCGCCCGCGGCAGCCGCTAAGGCGCTGTTATCTCCGCCCTCATGACTCATGCTGCTCGCTGAATTCACAGCTGTGGCCTCATAGCTGTCACCCAATGCGCTAGGTATCCCAAAGGCACCCATGTTGAAGGCAAAGGGGTCCTGTGCTGCCGCTGCCGCGCTTGAGGGCGCGTCAGTACCAAAGCCGGCAGAGCCGCCAAAGCTGCTCATGTTAAAGGCAAAGGGATCTACTGAAGCTGCGCTTGCACTGGTAGGTGTCTGCCCTTGCACCTGAGCAGAAGACCGTCCCTCGCGGGGCACGATGGAGCCACCGTTCGCTGTGGCACGGCTGCTCTGCTGCTGGGAGTTTACATGCGTTTGTGGGCTGCTCAGGAAATTGCTGAGCTGGCGCGCCCATGTCAGCAGCTGTGCAGATACTGCTGCAGCTGGCCTGCTGTCTGCGTCGGGCTCCAGAGTGCTGTAGCCTGACCCACCAGCCGCCTCCTGCAACAGGGGATAAAAGTAAGGAGTCCAAATCTAGTGGTTTTTACATCCCCAGATGATGTTACACGCAGCATACTGTGATGTGTACCAAAGCTGTTTGTCATGCCTTGGCCCAGAAGGGCACGTCAATGCTCTTGAAGGAGGTCAGCGCGCCCACAAAGTCACTGAACTTTGGAGACCAGTTGCAGCCCCCAAATATACACATACCATATCCAAGAACTGTTTACAAGTCATGCAGATGCACAGGACCAAGTCCAGATCGCACCACGGCTTTGAGGCGTGCCAGTAAGTGGCGCAGAGCAGCCGCAGCGGCCGCTCGGCGTCCGCGAGACAGCAGGCCGCGGATCACCAGGGGGTCCCATGGCGCCCTCGGCCCCCCCACTCTGAGCGCCAGCTCAGCCAACGATTGATCTCCTTCCCCTGCAAATCAGGGATACTGTTTCAAGGATAGGTTTTTGCTCCGCACGGTGTTTTGTACAACCGAAAAGCATGCATCAATCAGTCATTGGCAACTGGGTGATTCTAAGGTTAGAAACTTATGGAAGAGGCACACGCGTATCACCAGGCCTTTGACATTTGGGAGTGGCAGATCAGGAAGCTCCAAAAACGGCGCAATCTTTTGTATGAGAGCACCTTCAATGAGCAAACTTGATCAGCCAATTGCAAATTTCTTGACATGCCAATATGCTCACACCTCACCCAATGCAGGCCGAAAGTGCTGCACGCAACTTCATGCTTGGTCACAACAGCATGACTGTGAAGCAGTCGCACTCACCAGGGACGCTACTGGGAGACGACAAGCCGCGGTGCTTCTCCAGCTGGTTTCCCAGTGCGGCAAGCAGAAGATCTGGCGGCTGCAGTGGCGCGAGTGTTGCCCCTGGCAGCGGCGTGGGCGACAGTGCAGCCAGTGTCTGCCAGGCGCCTGTTCTGGCGCGGCACACCACCACAAACCCCCTGCATGCGCATCATATACCCCGGTCTGCTCCGCTCTTCCCAAATGACATGGAGTGGCATATCCTTGGACAGAATGAATGTGGTGGGGCTCTGGGTTGATCCCCTGAAGAAGATGACTTCTCACCCTCTTACCACTCCGTACTCTTACTTACTATTTACTTACTGTACTTTTTGCACTGACACCAAGAAATGCTTGCCATGCACTGCTGGGGAAACTTGCATGTCTATGTGCAGCTTGCCCTGCGCGACCTTTGTTCATCAGGACACTGAATGCGCATATAAACATGCAAGGGAGAGACACTGAAACAGACCTGCCGGTGCAGCCGACAGCGAAAGCCGGTGCCGGCAGCGGCAGGGACGCGACATCTGTGGGTTCGGATGGCAGAGGGACAACCGCGGTGAGCGCATAATCCACGCCTGACTGGGCTTCGTACACCATGAGACGGCTGCTGGCCACTGCCGCGCCTATTCTGGCTCCCCCACATGCACTCGAGAGAGCCACCACAGCACCTGCATTGCATCAGGTCACACGTCTCTTAGGCAGAATATACCGAAAAAATATGTAAATAATGTCTGAGGGATTGAATCATAGTAGTTGACAAGTCTTGTGCTTGGGAAGAAAGAAAAGGTTTTCACAATTCTGAGATCCTCAAAGGTATGCATGAGATAAAGACTCACTTTGGCGCTCTGTCCCCGAAACTGTTGCCAAGGTTTTGACGCCCTTGCCTCCGTCCTCCAAACCCACAACATGCAAGCAGCCAGCAGAGTCACCTGCGCAAATCAACTTGCGTTTCAACAATGTATGCACTGAACTTCATTGACATGCCCTCACAGGATGCTGCACATTCGTTTTTTGCACCCCTTCTAAAGACGCATTTGCACTACGAGATACTGCTGTAACTACCCTATGCATGTGAGGCTTAGGGCGAACCTGCAAGTGCTACTGCATCTTGTGCACCGCCGCACAAGCTGGCGAAACACGTCACTCTTGCAGAGGACTCCAGGCCTGACAAGGCTGCGCTGCTGACAAGGCTGCCCTCAATGCCACCCTCCTGCGCCTTGATCTGCCAGACAGCCATTTTGTCCTGCCTGCTGGACACTCAAATAAATCAGTCCTCGTAATATCTTTATCGGCGATGGCCACGCTCGCCGCATGTTATGGTGATCGCTCTTATTAAACTTCCATATCAGCCTTTGAAGACCTAAAATCCAGACAACCCACCTGGAGGGTTGGTCTTGGCATTCTGAGTGTTCAGGGGCGATCCACCCAAGGAGGGTGATAATGTCAGGCTCCTGGGAGGCGCCGGCTGCTTGGTAGGGCTGGTGCAGCCACCTCAACACTCCCGAGCTGGGCGGCAGCGCGAGTGTAGTCAGCAGTGTGGGGTTCACATCTCCCGCTCTCCTCAGTCTCTGCTGCCTACAAGGCATGGACAAGAACTTCCTTCAAATTTGATGCAAACACAATCACAGAGTCTGGAGCAGAGTGGGATATCAGCATGCATTAAGATATTCTTGTTCCTCCATGCAAAACACATCATTGACAGCCCCAGAAGTCACATTCTCTCTACAGACTTTGTCAAGCAGAAGAGGACATCATCGTTGATCTGTCAACGAGAAGGTTGGCAGGGAGACACAGTCAGAAGCAAAGAGAGCGGGAGTGCACCTGTGCCTCCAAGCAAATATGGAGACACCAGAAGAGGATGCTGCAGCTAGCAGGCACTGGCCCCTATCTCTCTGCGAAGCAGAGCTGTGCTGCAGCCATTCTACTGCAGTGAACTGGCCTGAGGCACTTGCAGAGCTGCTGTCCTCCGCAGAGCTCCTACAGCGTACCACAGCATGCTACATAATGTCCTTTTTGATCATGTACTAATTTCTCGAGCTCCTTCAAGGTCAGCAAAAGAGAAGACATGCCCGAGGAGTTTCCTCAAGAGAAGACTACAATACGTGGCTCTGAAGTCTCCCTTTACAACTGAATTAGTGCTGAGTTGCCATACTTCTCAACCCAGTTATGAATCTGCAGTAAACTAGAATTGATTGTTAGGCCAGAGCTCAGTCGCTGCACATGGCCATAAATTTACCTTGGCAGTGTGAGGCTGAGTAAGGGCTGCAGAGGGGACAGTCTCCAGATGAGCAGGCTGCCATCGCTGCCCAGAGATACTGCGCTGTTCAGGCCCTCGTTGGGAAGCACGGCTGACACAGGTGATGCATGGCCCAGGAGCTCTGTCTGTGTCAGCGCGTGGACCTGCAGATGCCTTGGCGGCAAAGCTGAGCCTGCCATGCACACAAGGACGCTTTGGTATAAGTGCATCACAGCACAGTATTCTACCATACTCAGGAATGGCGCCAAAGGCAAGACCCACCTCTGACACAAGCGGTATGACGTATTCACTGGCCTGAGTTGCGGGCAGCAACACAGATGAAGCAATGAATGCAGAAGATTCAGTTGTAGACAATCTTTGATGCACACCTGGCCGCGTGTCATGAATAGGAAAGCAAAGCTACCGGGCAGTACCCATGGAACCCCTATACTTTTATATTTTCATTGTATATTTTTGTTAGAGAAGAGTCACCTGGGGAGGTTGGAAGAGGCAGGGATGATGCCATCGCCTCGTCATCTTCAACAGTGTCCAGCCGGTACGCACGCAGCTCTGTGTTCCCTCCGTGCTCTGCGCCGGCGGCCTCAAATGCGCGCAGCACCGGAATGTCTTCTGCCACGGTTACCGAGGCAGACAGCGTCCGAGGGCCCTGAAGTCCAAAACACGGTACAGTATCAAGCACCGTCTTTGTCAGTCAAGGACAGAAATTGGGTGAAGTTGAAGGTGCGGCAGACAAGAAGCAACTTGTATGAAACTCAAGGGACTCGAAAGGATGCTCAGCAAAAGGACTTTCAGATGTTGTGGTTCCTATATAGCCAGGGTCTCTCCAATAAAGAGAGACCCTGGCTGGAATTACCACATCTACACAGCCTCCCACCGGCATGTTGCCCTAGGCTTAGCTTCCAGATGACTGTCACAGCCCTTATGCCGTGATGATGAAGAATGAATCACCGATAGTTGGGAGCGCCAAACCAGGCTGCCAGCGTGCTGGCCCCAAAGCACAGCGCGCGGAACGCGCGCGCTGCGGCTGGCCGCGCCGCTGCCGGGACGACCGCCAATCACCACGCCGGTGAGGCCCGCCACCGCCCACAGCAGCAGCCGATCAGCGCTTGCGGCCGCTGAAGGGCCGCCGCCAGCATCTGATTCTGGTCCTGCGATCACAAGGAGAACCCATCTTCCGACGAGATCTTGAGAGACATGAGAAAATAGCACTTTTGAAAGAAGCATTTGCACAAAATGATGTGGAAAAGGCTTCCCTCCTATTCTGTGGGTGCAAATGTGACATCTGATGTGACTCCACACGCAAACGGGAAGGAAAGCTGTCCACATCGTGATTGCGCTGAAAACCACAAAACTGACATGCACGCAAGAGATGACAAGCACGTGTGTGTTCAACGAAAAGATGCAGCGTCAGGGACTTGCCTGAGGGCAGAGGGGCAGGCCCCAAACCCACAATCCACAGCACTTTGGCCGCGCGCAGCTCCGGCCGCGTGGCCGGCTCCGGTCCGGAGGGAACGGCCCAGCAGACGCGCGGCGCCCCCCGGCCCAAATCCCACGCACCCACCGGCGGCTGGATGACTAACGTTACGCAGAAGTGTGACCCGCTCCGCTTGCCCTGTTGACACGCAAAGCCATATTGGATGTATCTCAACTGCTCACTTTATTCAGCATGATGTAGTCCCACCAATCCTCTGCTATTCTTGTGCACTGGCAAGAAGGAAGCACATCGGCCTCAACATCAGTCACCGAATATGACAACCATTAGTAATGACATGCTACAGAAGTATAAAAGTGGAAAGGTTGTCTGAATCTTGCCTGTATACCACGGGCAGCGCCCCAAGCAGGAGCCCGCTCTGGTGACGTGGCGCCCTCAGCCGGCCGCTGCTGCTGAGCCGCCATGGTGACCTCCACCCACACGCGCATGACGCCGTCGCGAGTCATGGTGAGTAACGCCGGTTGAGCTGGCGGCAGCAGCGCCCCAGCGGGCCCATCTCCCTCCCCTGCATCCCCTGCTTTGCACAGGACAACTTCAACTGTGCAACAATGCCTTCCTATTCACATTATTATCGTAGTCACCATGACTGCAATGGTTCAATGATTGGCCATGAGGGTAGAGGAGAGCTAGGTTCTGAGAAGTATTGACAAGAAGGGGAGTGCAGGCATACCATGCAGCAGGTCTGCGCCACTCCATTGTACGGACACTACGGGTGATGTATGCCGCAACTGCTCCATACTCAGCTCATTGCTCCCATCCGGCTCCGCCTGTACATCAGGTGAGATTCACTGTGACAACGCTGGTAATCAGGCCATATAGAAATCCCAATCACTTTGTTGGCTGTGCAGGAGCTGTAAAACCAAAGGAATGCCACTCACAGGGGCATCTGCTTCTGGTGTGCTGTCCGGTGGCTTCACTGCCTCCACTGGCTCCACTTTGCCTCCGCCCAAGCTGCTCAGGATTGCCATGGTCTCCGATGAGAAACCAACAGGCTCAGCGACCGCTTTGGTGGCGGCAGCTTCCTGCTTGACGGCAGCTGCTGGGTGTGGTAGAGATGCATCAGGCTGCTGAGGTGGCCACCACACCTGTACCTGCTCCCCCACAAAGTAGAAATTACTTGGCTGAAGGGCAGACACATATGAGACACATATTCCAGCTAGCATTCAATGGCATTGGCAGCAATGCAATCTCAGAGTTCATTACAACATGCAGCCAACCTTTTATATATGGTGATGTATATGAGCCAGGGCCTCACCATCTTGGAGCCTGCTGCAGATGCAGCCGGGGAGAAAGCAGTCTTTCCAGCGCTGAGCAAAGTCTGCGGCTCGCTGACTTCCCCTTTCCACAGCACCTCAAGGCCTTCCATCATTGGGAGCTGCCCATCTTCCATCCTCCTTGCTGTATCTGAAGCCACACAAAACCTCGCGTCAGACCCCTGTATGTCTAACAGCTGCATATGCTCTTATAATTGCAGTTTACCCTCCCCTTGGAAAATCAAACATATAGTGCAAGGTAAGGTACAGTCATGTACTGTGAATTTTTACTGCACAATAAGAACAAGAGCATTGATATCAGAGCAATGACCAGCGCCAGTGTGTACTGCTCAAAGACAGGCAGTTGATGAGAGTGCTTGCCTGAGGTGACAGACCCCAGCATTGTGACAGCACCCGATGAGTCAGCGCACAGCAGGCCATCAGCCTTGTGCGTCCAGTCCAACCCACAGATGGTCTCAGACTTGCTCAGCTCCACCACGCACAGCTGCTCTGCCAGGGGCCCTTGGACATTGCTGATGGCATCAAGATCTCCCAGCAGCCATTGGAAATACCTGCATGCAATCACACCTCATAGATTTCAGGATGAGCTTTATCATGCATGCATGCATGCCAGCAATGCCAGTGCATTTCCCATGCATGCAGTGCTAGGATGAGCTTTACCAAGAACGCATGCATGCCAGCAATGTCAGTGCAGTCCTCATGCATGCACAAGTAGCAGAAGCAGGGGTTATTAACGCTGCATGCTCCGGGCATTGCCACTAAGTCCAAAGCCACAGCAACATAGGGGCAAAAACTTCTCTTATTAGGCTATTACACGGCATGAAAAGGGACCTGAGTAGTGAGAAGACAATGATGGAGGAGCGAGTTGCAGCTGCCAAGAGGAATGCTCCATTGGCATCCGCCCACGCCACATGCAGCACGCTGTCGCTGATGCGGTTTCCTCGAGCATCCAGTAGGTCCAGTACCAGTGGCAGCTGCTGCTGTGCAGCACCAACTGCATTCTGCTCCCGCTGACCCTGCTGAGGCTCCTGGGCAAGAGAAAATATCAAGGTCGCATTGCTGGGACAGGACCTGTGCTGAGGGTTCCTAGAATGCGCTCATGAGGAGCAGACCAGGTCAAACATAGAACACGATTCCCACGTACTCATACGAGCGATAACACCTACCTGGATTCGATGCAGGGCAACGGTACCTCCCGCAGATCCATGGCCTGCAAACTGCAATTGCGGCGCCTCCGAAGGCCAAATCGCCTTCACGGGGCTGGTAGGAGGCCCTGGCCACCTTTGGGCCATCTCAGGAGCTGCAAGCTCCATCAAACTGCGGTTTGAGGCATTCTGAATTTTTCAAGCAGGGTTGTTGTTCAGGTGGAGTCTTCTCTTTATGTTGCAAATATATTTCTCAGCTTTAAAATGCTAAATAATGACACTGAACGTGCTTCTTAGAATGAATACGTAAGCCCTCTTAGATTGTGCTTGGCATGGAAGTATAAGCAATGCCTATTTGCTTGCAGGCCATTACCTTCTGCTCATTGACCTGCTACTAATGATACCGCAAACATTAAATATTGCATACTTTTTTCTTTTCTCCTCGCAAACTGTATGGCGAGATCATCCTCACATTCCATTCCCTGGCTTCCTCTCGACTGGAAGCTGCCCTGCCCAGCTGGGCTTAGGCTTGTTGTCCAGGATGAGTCTGCAGGAGGTTTTCTTGTCTCTTCAAATAACAATCCTTATCTGAGGCATTGAATTTCCTATTGCGATATTAATCCTTCTTGCCAATCTGCTGAGGCAACGCGGACCTGAAGACGTACTGTTGTCGGCGATTGTGCGATCGGAAAACTGTTTACCGTATGTATCGATTCATTACTTCTCTGCACTTGTAGCAGAATCCGATATTTAGCACTACCGTTGGGCAAGTTTTTGCTGGTACACTCATCCTGATAAATAGTGATAAGGCGTTCTCATAGGACCCCATATTGGGAGTCTCCACCTCTTGTGCACAACATTCTTTACAAAATGTGATGTCCCAAGAAATCACGATCCATCTGTGAACTCTCAATCACAATGAACGCCATGCTCTATGCTGCTTGGCTGTCAGCCTTGCTGGTCCTATTGTCCCCTCTGAGCCATGGCATTGATGAGGTCAAGCCCCAACATGATGGCAGATTAGATAAAGTGGACGTCCTGCACAATGGCAGCGTTCAAGTCTCAGGCACATACGAGGCAGTGGACATCAATAAGGCAGCTGCTCAAGCGATGCCTGACAAGGAGGAGCTCCAGGACCTCCTGCACTGGGCAATCAGTGAGTACTTCCACGCTTGCCGAGCTCTTGTCGGTGGGATACATGTAAATGATGTTACAAGGTCTGAAAATGATTTAACCGTCTCTTTTTGCATACAGAGCACAGTGATCCCAAGGTCCTGAAGGAGGCTGCCAGTGGCAAGGTACCTCAGGACGCCGCAGAGCGCAAGAAAGAGGTGGAGGAGGTGATTCGCCTGACCTTGTCTCAGTTTCCGCCCGTCTTGGACCATTTTGGTTGACCTAATTTGCTTGCTAAGCCAAAGAATGCATGCACCATTGTATGTATGTGCTGTGGGCAGGCGATTGAGTACCTGCGAAAGGAACCTGGAGAAGCAGAGTTGATGAAGGTAGCGCCAATGACCTGCCCCTCACCCCGGAGCAGCATGCAGACATTTATATGCTTGATCATCACCACCACATAGTGATGCATGCCTTGTACAAGTGCAGGCACCAGGTGCATGTCTGTGAAATACCCTTCTTGAGCAATATTGAACTTGACCAGGAGAGTTGATCACGTTGAGCAGAGCCCTGAGGCAGGGCATGGGTGTTTGCAGGCCGCAACAAATATAATCAATGATGCTGTGTCGGGCGAGGATGCCCGCCTGCAGGCCTTCGAGGCGCTGTCATACCTGCTGGAGCCAGTCGACAACGCCAATGGTGGGCTGCCTTGCTGCTGCAACCTACCTGCCAGTGCAAGCATGCATGCAAACCTGCAATACGTCACGACTCGGTCTTGATCACTCACGTCAATATTTTTTAGGAGTTCCTGTCACCTTATTCATCTGGACTGAGTGCTTCTTTGCCATTCGCCTCACTGAGGAAGTCACAGTCTAGCCCCTTATACAGGCGCAGCCTCAGACACATTGCTGGTGGCCTTGGCCGTCCGCATGACGGATCGTCTTCTCCCAAGAGCAAGATGATTCCTAATGAGAAGGAGAGCTGACAGGCCTGCCCCTCTGTGTAGATCTGCACAAGATGGGCGGCTTCGAGATGCTGCAGGGCGCCTTGGGCGAGCACAACTCGCGGCCGCTGAGGGCCGCAGCTGCAAATGCGCTGGCCGTGGCAGCATCCAACAACGAGGAGTTCCAGCAGCGGCTGTGGGACTTGTGCGGCCAGGACATGCTGGAAAAGTTGTTGCAGGTCGAAACATGACTGCTTGCATTGTGGACAGCTGTCTTTGAAGCACGCCATTGGTGATTGCATTGGGTAGCGTTGATTAAAGTTGCTGTCACCATTCGCACCTGCTTATAGAGTTGGATGGTGAAGAAAGGTGCGGGAAGTGATTTGGCAACCAGGATCCTGGCAGACAAAGAGTAGCCCACTACTCAACCAGCTGGACATTTTTTATGCGATGTCTGGAATGCTTTTGCCCCAGATCTGTCCATCTCAAGGCCAGAAAAGTGTTGTCTGGTGCGATGGCCCATTGTTGTTCAAACTTGAATCAAGGTGTGATCTGCACAGGTGATCAAGCTGGATGCCAGGGACGACACAGCGAGCAAGGGGCTGTACGCGCTGAGCAAGCTGCTGGGGAACCAAAAATTCCGGCGCGCTTTTCTGGAGTCGGGCGGGGTGGCCACGTTGCAGCGGCTGCTGGCAGGGCACAACACGCCCCCAAACGTGCGCCGCAAGGCCCTCGCCATGATCGCTGACCTGGCGCACCACCAGGTGCCACCTCAGCCTGACATCACCTTCCCACCTGTTCTCGTCCCTTCTCAGTGATCCTCTCTTGACCTGAATGCGAACCGCTGCGGGCTTGTCACCAGATTTTTCTTGCCAGCAGATCTAGTGACAGACCTTCCTGCACAGTTGGTTGCTTTATGCTGTATTCAGGAGAGGCACTTCAAATTGAAGTCCAGTCGTGAACATACACTTCTCCATATAATTTCGAAGACGGTCTACGAATCTCAAGTGCGTATGCAGCACATTTCCAGGTCTGTGTAGCAGAATCAGGAATGTTTCATTATGCAGATGCGGCACTGAAATGATGCTGGAAAAGCATTCCTACCATAGGAAATTCTCAAGGGGACTTTCTCAAGTGAACGCTTGCATGAGGTCTCATGCAAACGCTCAGCCAGACCCTGCTCAGAGGACTTTGTGGCACATCTGGATGCAGGACACAGCGCAGCATTTGTATGCGCTGCCGGAGCGGGGCAGAACGCTGCTGAGGGAGATTGAGCAGCAGCTGAGCGCGGATGACTGGGACCTGACTGAGAAGGCGCTGCTCGCACTGAAAGCCCTCATGCACATGCCGGGCGCCTCACAACTCTTCCAGGTGCGGTCACAGCTGCGCCAACAACAGCTTTTAAAGTGCTGCGTAGTCCTTTGAGAGACTAATAGCCCCTGTATGAACCCAGCACCGTACACTTTGGAAAAGAGAATTTACAGCGCAGAATCAGAATGGCTCACATGGGCACAGCGGCCATCACGTGGTGTGCAATTGAAGTGAAGATGACTGTTCAGGGAGACAGCTGCATGCTGGACAGTTATAAGTAGTGGCCTGCCAGAACTGTCCTGCTAGCAGCCTCCGAAAGGGGGAATGCTTGCAAACCTCTGTGTGCTTTGGTTGCCCTTTTGCACTCTGGTGCATTTTCTTTGTTTGAGTAGCATGATCAGATAGCAATCCCATGCAGTCCTTCAGCTGCTTTTCAGAATCTCAAGGCCTGAATTTGCCAAGAGCATGCTAAGGCAATATATCCTACCACTCCCAATCAGATTGCAAAAGCAAATGGTGAAGTGTGTGTCCTGTGTGGGGTTGGCAGGGCGCGGACCCGACAAACAGGCTGCAGGCACTGATGAAGGCAGCAGCAGGCGACTCAGCAAAGCATGCAGAGTACATGGAAGATGTGCAGAAACTGATAGAGGAGGTGCACAGCATGCGGCAAGCCATGCAGAGCAGCAGCAGCAGGAATGGGCATTCACATGACAGCGAGGCGGGAGGCCAGAAGAACGAGCTGTGAGCATGCGGGCAGTGAGATCAGTGGCAGCCTGATCAGGTATCTTTCATAAAGATGGGGAGTTAGATGTCCAATTGCTGCCCTATTCGGGCACATGCAGGGCAGCAATCTGGTTTGTAAGATTGAGCCTGGGACACAAATTGCCACCGGTGCAAACAAATGAAGAATAAATCCGGAGAGTATTTACACGAGCAATGCCAGCTGGCTCTAAACGATACATTCCCCACGCAGACACCGCGTAGAGTAATCACATCTTCAATGTGGAAAGTTTGCCCTTACAATACAGACCTCAAGGTCACTGTGAGCAGTCTTGATCAGTTGTTTGGTAAAAATCATGTAAGCGCCATAATTGCTAGCACACTTTGAAGATCCATGCCGCGGCCCAGTAAATATACATATAGTTATGAGTTGATCAGTTGTTATCATTATCTGAATGGTGATATGTGCGCCAGTCCACAACTCTGCTGTTCTTGTTGTATGTATGCGCAAGCGGATGGCAGGTGCATGCATGGCATGTGCGGGGGAAGCATGACGGGCGATGAGTCATTGCCCATTCGTGCTGGGTGTCATTAGAGACCACTTGTTACACAACCAAAGATTTGCCCGACAGTTCTGTATTTGCAAGACTGTTCACAGTACTTGAATTCAAGAGAGCAGTTCAGATACATTTTAGCACCAGATTCGGTCGATATGGTGCAGCAAAGGTGTCCTGGAGAATTAGAGTTCCATCGAACTTTTGTTCACAGCTAGAGAAATTATTTGGATTATGCGTCAGAATGACAAGCAGGGCATTTCTGCACCTGCTTCAATACAAATACCCGCATTTGCAATGCGCATGTCTCGCCTCAATCTCAGGGTCAGCCCTTGTTGAACCAGTACCTGTGCGAGCGCAAAAAATCCTCATAGTCAGCCAGAAATTGCTGGTGCAGAGACAAGTCTTTAGCAGGCCTGTGATAGACCGAAACCACAAAAATGAAAGCCAGAACTACTATATCTCTGCAAGCACAACTTGTTAAACCTAGGAACCTTGTTGACCAAACCTCATGATAGCCATGCCTGTGCCTTGGAGATGCTAGTGGAAGAACATGGAAAGTTCCCTGGCCTATATACTCCCGTACGCCCTGCACTCACCCGAGGGTCATGCCGCCATCCACAAGCAGGTTGACACCGGTGATGAAGGATGCGGCGTTGGACGCCAGGAAAACAATTGCAGCAGCAACTTCCTCCGGCTCTGCCACGCGACCCAGCGGGTGGGTGGTCCCCAGACCCGCCATCAGATCAGCCTTGGGCACACCCTTGGCCTCTGCCATTCCATCATACAGCTCTGTGTTTATCACACCTGCAATGCAATTATTATTATTATTATTACACACTTTTCCTGCCAGGCAGTGCCAAAGGCAAGGTGCGTCTGCAGACAAGCTTCTTGTAGAGGCTGCAAAATTCCTACCCCTTGTTGGACTCGCCAGATCCAAGCAAGACCCAATCAACCGTGGGCACGGTGCTCAGTATTTGTACCGCCCCCCGCCAACCGGGGCCAATGCAATTCACACGCTGCTCATTCACATTCTGAGCTTGTAGTATATTGCAGGAAGTCTATCCCCTGCAGTATGACATGCATTGCCCTGCCGTCATGCAGATCGGTGTTGATCACCCATGCATTACAACTCAGGGGCTGTTAAGCCCACATCGGGAATCCAATTGACTGAATCCTGGAATCACACCCCACGCATGCAAAAAATCTATCACCCGGATCTTGGCATGCAACTGGCTGGCACCAAAGCCCTACATCTGTTTTAGCCTTGCTCTCCGTTGCCTAGGAGCATACATTGCGGGGTAGCACTTGAAACTTGCAGCTTGAGAATGCGCAGACTTGCTCGGCAGGCCACAATTCTGGAAGTACATGACAACAAGTCCCTTCCTTGTCTCCTTCTTGGCCGCTCTCGGTAACATGACTCAACCAGGGAATGCCTTGAGGACACTAGTGTCACAGAGGGCTGAGGATACACTCACCTGGCAGAAGGGAGTTGAAGCGCACGCCCTTGGGGGCATACTGGAAGGCCAGGTCTCTGGTCAGCTTGTCTTGAGCCGCTTTGGCCACGCCATAAGTCAGGAAGCCGACCGCAGGCATTATGGCGATCGCAGAAGAAATGTTGACCACTGAGCCCTGTGGCATGCAAATTACACTTCCTGAGACATCACTGCTGTACAGGAACAGATGGTGCGCTTCTTAGCTGCAGCCTGTCTGCAAATGACCTGGCCTCCTGGCAAGATCAGCGTGAAACAACAATAAACAATCGCATGCCTCCGCTGTAAGAATCCTAAAGATGCCTCCTAGCTGCATCCCTATGCTGATATCCTTCTGCAGCTGGAAAGTCAGTATGCGCCAACAGTGCCTAGGCGCGCGCTGAGATAGGGACTTAATTGTCTCAGCGACCCGGGTTCAGGTCAAATGTACAGCCAAGATTCTGCCCAGGCTCAGAGCTTACACAGCAGATGACATACACCGCAGATTCAAATGATCTGCCACACACATCACCATCAGGAGGTGCCCACCTTGTTCTTGATGAGCTCCTCCTCTGCTGCCTTGATGAGCGTCAGATTCCCTGCATTACACTGTTATTGGGGAACATTTTAAAGCATCCACCTTTACAGGTGCACCTCTCTTTGCACATGCGCATGAGCTGTAACCCGTGCCCATCACACGATGGAATTCATCATGCAGAGGCCTTTGCGATGCGCTGAACCAGCCAATGCAGACTCTGCCAAATAATGAGCCACTGTGGGAGATTCAAGAAAGACACCTGTGACGTGCAGCTTGAATTCTGCTATGAAGGCCGCCTCGTCGTCGCCCGGCAGCCCTGTGGAAGCCCCGCCGCTGCGCAGCACAAAGAATTACTCTCAGTGACCATGTTCACCAGCGCCTAATTTTTGGTTGCCAACCTTACAACATCTTTTAGGCAGCCACCCTCAATCCGGATCAGCCTTACGTTGCTTGCTGCAATGTAATGTGACTGGCTGGTTGACGCTTCTGCTGTGCCCCCCTTGAAGCTGCAATGGAAAACTGTAGTGCACCTGAGAATCTCTACTTGAGAGTGCACACAGATATTCCAGCCACAGGGGAGAGTCAGCAATGCATGCACCTGTTGATTAAGATGTCAAGGCCACCCAGTTTCTCAATGGTCTCTTTGACGGCGCGTTTCATGTCCTCTTCCTTCGTCAGGTCCGCCACAATCGACACCCCATGCTTCAGCTGCTTCGACTGTGAATGCATGTGCACACGAGACTCTGTGAGGTAGAGGTTGATCAATGTACGCGTCGGTTTCGCACTCGAACAAGTCCTAGAATGTGTTCATATAGCACAAGAAAAGCAGCGAACGGAACAATGATGGGTATATCTTACCACTGCGTCCAAGCGTTCGAGCCTCCTGCCTAGGATCGCAACCTTGCAGTTGTTTGCATCGAAAGAAAACGCAGCCGCTTTGCCGATGCCCGAAGAGCCACCTGTCATGCACAAGACGAAGGGATGGGAAATATCTGATGGGTAAAAAGATATTTTGACGTGGAACAATTCGTTCGGAAAGAAGACTGGGCCGATGCCCCTGAAAAGAACTGCTGCAACCACATTAAGAAGGTGATTGAACGTGGGTGGAACGAGGTAACATACCTGTGATAAGAACTCGCTTGCCCTTCAAGTCCGGGATGATGGGCGTGGTGGACGACATAGCTGTCAACGACGCCGCGATGGGTTTCCAATGCCTACACTGGCAATTGAGTTGCGCGAGCCGAAGTCAAGGAGCGCCTTCTACCTGATCGGTTGACCACTACTTCGAGAATTGCCAGAGTCGTACGATGGACGATGAGATGCCAACATTGGCGCGAGTCGCAATGTTTACGAGCTGTCCGTACAAGAAACCCTCTTTCCTTTTTCTTTGTCCCCCTCCATTTACCCCCTTCTCATGTTTTTCAAAACATCTGTCTGAGTGAAAGGTACCTTCCAAAGCAGTACCTCCAGAGCAGAACAGAACAATGGAGCCTTTGGACATGCAATGATCCACTCAGCAAAGCTGGTAAATAGCAACACCTAGATAAGTGCACCAGAAACGTTCTGCCAACAGTGCTGTCACAACTCAGCAAGCTGCAATTGCACACAACTTCCTTAGCAAGAGGGGTTACATGCGAGCATGAAGACAGCTGCTACTCAGGCAGTGAACTGCTGTCTCCATGAAAAGTAGCAGCAGCAAATGTCACTGGTCTGTACAAAAGCAATTCCAAGGACGCCAACGGGACATCATAGTATGGGACTTCCGTGCTAGCCCTCCTAGAACTTCACACTGGACAAGACACTCCTTCTCCTATGGTGTTGCATAAGTTCTATTCCCACGCATCATAGGCACATCCCTGACACGAGTGCCAGGGGAATTGTGCGCTCAGCTGATGCAGCAAGGCATGCATTTGCTGCGGATGGGGCAAATGCAGTGGTGACCCACTTAGCATGCAGCGCATTCAGGGAAGTACAATCAGCAATGTAAAAAACTGAGGCTGCATTGACATTGCTACAAGAATTTCCTAGAAAAGACTTCAGTGTTTGTTTGCCTCCTTCTGCGCGTCCTTGCCCGCCTCCCTTGTCTTCTCTGCTGCCTTCTCAACCCTGCCACCTGCAATCACAGTGCATTAGGATACCATTAGTGCTAGCATCTCCAGCGGTCTTGTGTCTTTTCAGCATCTTTCTCTCAGCAACAGCTTCAACAGATCTGCTGGCAGGCCAGAGCACTTGGGAATAACACCGCATGCAGAGCCGAACACAGGAGCTTGCTCAGATGCTCACATGCCGTAAATTATCACGGCCAAATTACGGCATATTTACTTCAGTCCCAAATCACCAAAATGGACCCTAAACCTCATCATACCTGCTAGCATGGCAGAGAAACAAACACACCATTGTATGCCGGCCCGAGCACAAGAGCATGCTTGGTTGCTCAGAAGGTATGCTCTCAGATGCAGGCTGCGCAGAGTGCGCAGTGCGGGGAGCTTACCTACTGCACCATCTGTTGTGAACTGGTGTCCAACCTTTCCATCCTTGTCCAAGGGGCCCCCAACCTCCTCAGCTGTGCCGCCTGCACGCATGCCAAGCGCTCGTGCCTTGTCCTGCTAGAAATCTACAATGACTAGGGATCACACACTGCAGATTACTCATGCCTTGTGCTTCTAGAACTTTACGATGACTGGGGATCGCACAATGCAAATCGCCCATGCCTTGTGCTGCAGTGGCTCTACAGTGAAGGGGATCAGTTCTGGAAGATGCACCCTGTTGGAGGTGGTGGCTAGGCAAGCATCTCACCTGCTTTGCCGTCCTCTGTGAACTGTTTGCCGACCTTGCCGCTCTCGGTGAACGCCTGTCCTACATTCTCCAGGACCTCACCTGCACAGACAATTTTAGATCAAATCATCAAACACTCAAACTGACTTGCACATGGCAAGCCCCATTGCCATTCACAAGAGGTGAGAAATCCTCAAAATTGTACTTGCAAACCCCGTATACTTCGCGACAACAGGAGAACGGTCGTGGCCAGACAGAAACTCAAGACGTCACAATTCGGCAGCTGATGAGCAGGTACGCTCAGAATCTATCGATTCTCGCAAGCAACCTTTGCCATCCATAATATAGCTTTTGAGACTTAATTCATTTGGAGCTCAACTGCAAAAACGACGATAAAAAAGAAATGATTGCTCCAAAGTGAGACTGCGGAATGTCATCAGCCGCACACCATTGCACAAGCAGGATCAATTGTGGGTGCTCCTACAGGAGTACACCGTCTGAAATTTATATGAGGAAATAGCTCACCAGCCTTGTCCTTGACCTTGTCATACATGCTCTTGTCGTCCTTGTCAGCAGCGCGCACACCCGATGTCGAGACGGGCCGTGTCCATAGCGTCTGCGATCGCGCCACTGTCCTCAACGTGAGTCTGGAAGCCATTTTTGCTTTTACTTGGATATTTCTGAGTTGGAAAGGAAAGTTGCTTCAGCTGTGAGGTTATAGCTGGGCTGTCTGGTTGCAGTCCTATAATACAGGTGCTGGTCTGCACATGTTGAACGTTCCCTCTTCCGTCATCGCGCAGCGGCGTGAGAGAAGCTTAAAGACGAAGGAAAATTGACGTTGAGAAGAAGGCGCAGCTCTTGATGTCAACATGACTGGGGCGCTTTGGAAAACATTAATGTGCATGTGACGTCCACATAAGTGATAGAAGAGCAGTCCCAAAGAAAATCCCCCATGATTTTCATAGCAAACCACTGACCAGTTCAATTGAACGCGGTTGCAACACTTTTCGTGACCATGGAATATATAATAGCAAATGCATGCACAAATATGTTTCTGTCTATATAATTATGAAGTTCTGAGCGCCCGAACAACTCATCTGGTAGGCAGACAGAAATAGATGTTTGGCAATATCCGACAATTGCAATAGGATATATCCGACAGTTCACACGACCACCAGCGCAGTCCTAGGATAAAAGCAGCAGAGAACAGTATTTGTCAATCCTGGGATATGTGCTTGCTCACCTGAACAATTTTCCTACGAACCCACAGCATAACTTCAATGAAGGAAGACAGTCCCCAGAAAGACAGCATCACCCCTAATAAACCCCATTGCGCAGGTGATTGACACCAGAATGTGCCTCTTCAGGGCATTTCCCACCTCTAACGCCAGTTCTCAGCATTCAACCGCGCGCTTGCACAGCGCACAAACCCGACCGACACACTTCGGCAAGGCTCTTGACTCCTCCGCTGCACAACACACTGCTGAGCTGACAGCCAAGCAGGCAAATCCCCAATTTCGAATTCTCGGCCCTTTTGTGTAAGAGTCATACCGGTACATGAAGGGCAGTGCGAGCACAATATATTGAGATGGGGCTGCCTCGCGGTGATTGTGCAATCCCTTTGGGAAGAGTCCACCCCGGAAAAGCAGCAGCTCAGTACTCGGCGTGGCCGGGCCAGCGGGGGAAGGGGATGACTTCGCGGATATTGTCCATGCCGGTCGCGAGCAGGATCAGGCGCTCAAAGCCCAGGCCAAATCCGGAGTGGGGCACGCTCCCGTAACGGCGCAGGTCCAGATACCCGCTGTACGGCTCCAGCGGCATGCCTGCCTCCTTCAGCCGTGCCTCCAACACCTGCAAGGGGGGATCTTTGATTGTCAGGGGAGATGGTAGGGTCAGGAGCGCTCTGCAAGTAGAAAGATTTGATGGCAGGGGAACTGGCAGGGTGGCGATGCCTCCAGGGCTGGGTCCAGCAGAACACTCTGCTATCTCGCTGTGAGCAGCTTAATTCCTTGCCTTTGGCATGCAGCAACCAACCCGGCATCACAAGCTAAAGGACGTCTTTAACATTGCAGTGGTGACCAGCACCAGCCATTAAAAGAGCATAAGGTCCGCAGTTCCAACCCGCGAAGTGCATTGGTGCACAGTGCAGACAGAGCCACTTTTCTGCCTGACCTGGCTAGTGATGACGCCACCTTCTCCTGTGAACCAGTCACATGCAGCAGCAGGTGTGAAAGGAATGAATTCAGGGTTTTTTTCATCAGAGCAGGAGCCAGGACAGGGGGCGCACCTCCAGGCGGTCCTCCCTCTGGGACCCCCCGATGAGCTCCCCCACTTTGGGAACCAGCACGTCCATGGCGGCCACTGTCTTGCCGTCGTCGTTCTGGCGCATGTAGAATGCCTTGATGGCGCTGGGGTAGTTGTACACAATCACCGGCTTCTTGAATACCTCCTCCGTCAGGTAGCGCTCGTGCTCGCTCGCCAGATCTATGCCCCACTCCACCTGTGATAAAATTTGAAAGCAAGACCTCAGAATCACATGTGGAGTCTGCTATGATCGCAAATGTGTGTGCATGCGCTGCATGCGAACTGACTGTCCCCTTCAGATATATCCGCCATGGCTTTGGGTGTATGTCTCTCGCTTGGGCCATTGGATACCCCAAAAGAGCAGAAAGGAAGTAGAAGCTTACCGGGAACTCAAACTTCTTTTTCTTGGACTTGACGACTTCCTCCAGGATCTCGATGGCGCGCGTGTATGTCACGCGCTCAAAGGGCGTGTGCGCAATCTGCTGCAGCCGCGCAATCGCCCCCGAGTCCACCTGCTTGTTTATGAACTCCAGGTCCGGCCTGCGACAAAACATCACTCAGTCATCGTGCACGCTTAAAGCAGGTATCACCATGGCCCAGACTATTGCATGTAGCAATTGAAGGCCAATGCGCCAACGTGTCAGATTCACACAGTCCCATGGCTTGCTCGCCAGGTCAACGGTTGGGCTTGCCGGCTTTAAGCTCTGGACATGCAAGTTACATGCCTAAATCTACCACGAATAGACGTGTGTACATCTGCCTTCAGTTCAGGCAGCCGTGCCCCAAAGGTTATCACTTTCATGAGAGCAAAAAGACTATCAGTACAGCTACTTGCATGTGATGGAGGCAGAAAACAGGGCCCACTTGTCCTTGGCCAGACCAGCTCACATGCATTGCCAGAGCTCCTTGAAAACTCCGATCTCAAAGAATTAAGTCAGAGAGCTTGTATGGGTAGTAAGCCCACATGCAGGTGGCGAGCAGGTGGCGGCAGCAGTGCTGCACGTAGTCCTCAGCGCAACGCATGTCATCCTCCAGGTCAGCGAAGGCCATTTCCGGCTCAATCATCCAGAACTCCGCCAGGTGGCGCGCAGTGTGGCTGTTCTCCGCCCTGCACAGCCAGCGCACACATGCACTCACATGACCACCCACACTGCCGCGAGAAAATGGTTTTTAACAGAGGGCTTCCGTGACGGTTACGTAAAATCTGATTGGCAGCGCAAGAGATTATTATTGTTCAATCCCAGTCCATTCTGGGTCTTAATCCCGCGGACAGTTCGCACCACTTGAGAAGGATAAGAAAGCACTAGAACAACTCCTGGCGAGTGAGAGTGCCCGACCCTGCACCCTTCTCCCAACTGTAGAGGACTCTGGCGCCAAAAATCTTGAAGATGCAATCATTTGCGGCTGTTTGGCGATTTCCTTTGCAGCAGACAGCACCAACAGGATTCGCTCGGTTGAGTCCTCAAGGAAGAAGGAAGAAGAGCATAGCATCACGAGGATATCCAATACTTACGTATGGCTTGAGCACAACAGGCCTGCAGTAGGATGCACACCAGACACTCCAGCAGTGATGTTGCAGGAAGGTATTGCGCAGGCCAGACGCAAAAGCAAAAAAGGAGGAAAAAAAGGGCGCGCCTGAAGGTGGGCCCGAACGTGTACACGTTGGACAGCGCGCACGCATAGTACTCCGCATTCATCTGCCCGGACACGGTAAGGTAAGAGGGCCTGGCAAAGAAGTCTCCTGTGTAATCGATGCGGCCGTCCGGCAGCCGCTCGATGCCCCCCACCATCCGCGCCCTGCAGGGGAGTTAGTCAAGGGTCAGGAACAGGGTTTCATAACCGCGGAAAATAAGCAGATTAAGGCGCACGTCCAGACCATGGGAGAGACTCCTGATGAGGGTATCTGTAGGATTCCCCATGTCTGTCTCATGTCTCAAAGACAGCTGGTCTGCAGAAGAGATGAGGATCCCTTCCAAACAGATGGCACAAGTCTGTGACTGCAAGAGAGAAGCCCTGGAATTGAGGGCAGCCTCTGGCCCCGATCCCTCTCTTTGACATGAAGCTATGTGACCAATTCATTATACAGTCCGTGCTCAATAGATTCTGTGTGACCCAAATTGAGGCATGGGAGGGATTAGGGACTCACTGCAGCTCGGCCCTCTCCTTCTTGGCGGCCAGCGCGGCCTTGGCCTTCTGCAGCTTGTTGACCTCTGCGCTCAGCGCCTTCTGCAGCGCCTTGTCAGCCTTGTCCTCCGCTGCCTTCTGCGCTCACAGCACAAAACCATTTTGTCACCAATATCCTTCCCCGTTAAGGGCAACCATGTTTTCCTGCCGGCTTCTAGCAAATATAAAAATCGAGCTAGCAGCGGCATGCGCCCTTGCGGTTCATCTACCATAAATGTTAGGAGCCTGTCATAGCCATGCATCGTATGCGCCACATGTTGGCAAAAGTAACTTTTAGCTATTCTCACGTATGCCTTCCACGCATGCCCTACCGGATGTTCCTTCCAAGGTTCTTGTGACTCTTGCCACTGACCCGCCAGGACAGATAAGCATGCACTGAGAGTCAAATCACATACACATGTTGTTTTGCAATGCAGGTTATGCATGCTGGCAGGACCATAAAGGGCAATAGAGAATTTGGAGAAACTCACTGCCTTGGCAGCAGCTACGGCCTGCCCCTGCGCAGAAACATTGGCCTCCAGCGCTTGAACTTCCTCCTCTGTCACCTTGGGCTCCTTGTCAGCCTGCTCCGCCTTTGACAGCAGGGTCGTCACCTGTGCACCGCAATTTCTCCCATCAACCCCCATCATTACCATTATTACACGCTCCTGCCAGAAGCAAGGTGTCAGACAAAGATGCAGTTGAAGGCTGCCAAAATTCTACCCCTCGTTGGACTCGCCAGATCAAAGCAAGACCCAATCAGCCGCGGGCAATGAACCCATTCCATGCACAAAAAAGTCCCGAGCATATGCCCAAGCCAGGCCTGCAAATTATGCATCCCTGCTATGCATGCTGTAATAGGGTTCCCCACGTAGAGGGCATCTGGGCACTAATGACCAGAGGAATGCGCATAAAAGTGTCTATCATATCAATCTTTCCCTTTAATTTTGCGTTGCCCCATACTAGGCATTCTTCTCAGCCCACGACTTCCCCCGTCCAGGCCTTCCAGAGAGCAAGCTTTATTTCAGCGCAGCAGGCCCCCTTGGGATGACAAAGTATTTCAGTGCAAAAACATGGAATGCAATACAAAATATGGCTGGTGCAGGTGGTTTGTGCATGGGATTGGGTGTGCCTCGCAATGACAATCACGGCGCAGCAACACAGTCAGTCGACAGCGCCAGCGACGGACGAGGCTTTGCTTTTGCATCTCCTCTCATTACGCCACAGCCCTGGATTGGGTGGTTCTGCAACGCGATTTTTGGGTGCATTCCGGCCTTCTTCATGGCCAACTTTCTCCTGTTTATCGAGCTCATCTGGGACTCCAGAACAGGCACAGAGACACACCCATAAGTGCCTCAGGCGCCGCACAGCCTTCAAGTACCCAAATTCCCCTCTGCATGAATAAGCACAACACCAAAAAAGTTCACCTTTATGCTAGAGGTGGTGTGCCTGGTACAGCACACAGACACACGGCCCATGGCATGAGAAAGACCGCTATACCCAACTGCATGCACTGGTGCCCATGCCTGCAAAGAAATGCCTGTGTCCCTGTGAGGTTCCAGCGCACTGTTGCATGCCCCTGGCGTATCTGCCTTCTGGCCTACATTTTCATGCTCTTAAGTGCTGCAGCAGTGTGAAACTGGACGAAAGTCAGAGCTTGGTACGGTACGGTACGGTAGGTACGGTAGGGTAGAATGTATGGTCTCATCTACTTGTGCATTCTGATGAATGTGTGTGTGACTTGTGCATTCATCAGATTCTGCATGGAAGGGATCTCGTGCCTGGAACATCTCTCCGGCGCCCTCGCAGTCAGAGCAGGTGATGAGTGGCGTGTGCACGTACAGGAAGCCATGTGACTGGAAGAAATCGTGCGTCGCAACCGCCAGCGCGTTGCGTATGCGCGCGACCGCCCCGATAGTGTTGGTGCGGGGCCGCAGATGCATGAGGCCGCGCAGAAACTCCATCGTCATCTTCTTCTTCGCGAGCGCGTAGTTCCCCGCGCTGTTGTCGCAGGCCCCCACGTGCACCACCTTGGAGACCTTCAGCTCCACTTTCTGCGCGCATGCATGGAGACAGCATCAGACGCTGCGAAGCTCCCTCAGAGTGGTTTCAATCCTTATTAGACGCATTTCCTGCCAGAAGCAAGGTGCGTCTGCAAACAAGTTGCATGTGCAGGCTGGCAAAACCCCTGCCCCTAGATTGGCTCGCAACATCCAAGCAAGACCCAATCAACCGTGGACACGTGCTTACTGTCTCTAGTGCATCCCACCAGCCGGGGTCAGAACTCTCAATATTTCAACTGTGAGAACTCCTGCTTTGCATGACATCGGCGTATTACTGCCCCAAGGCATGTGTGTGCAGAATTTGCTTGGCCCCATATACTGCAACACTGAGGGTCCATCTAGTTGCCCCAATCCAGGAACAACGAAGCATATTAATGTAGGTTCATGTTTGCGAAAGAAAGCGTATTGTGCAACAGCCTGGCATGCAAAAATGCAGGATGAAGCAAACATTAGTGATGTTTTGATCAAGCACGTGCAGACCTGCTTGGCGTTCTCTGGGGCCTTCACGAGCTGGCCTTCAAGCAGCACGCTCGTACCCGAGGGAGTCAGTGCGGTGAAACCTCCCACAGCCTCTGCAACCTCCAAGGTGACTAATGCCTGCAGAAAGGGATGTGACCTTTACTCGTGTATACAAGTGCAAGCCATGCATGCTGATGTTGGTATCTGAGCTTTGTGCCTTTGCTCATGTGGTGCAACTCAGAGGACACCAGCATGTGCACATGCAAAAATTGACAGCAGTGCAGGTATATGGACACATTGCTCGCATTATGAAGAGTAAGAGGTACTAGCAGGCGAGTGGAAAGGATGGGGTTCTGCACCTGCATGCTGTTGAAGCAAGACCCATCGTTGACTTCCAAGAAGACCCACTCACCGCCCCCAGCGCCGCGGCCAGTCTTCACCCAGCCGCCTATTCTCAGCGATTGCCCGACCTGCAGAACAACATTTCTGGATCCTCATGCAATCCTCGCAATACACAGGGATCAGCTTGCTGGGGCTCCAATTCATATCATGGCGAATACTTCAAAACTTCACATGGTCCATTTTGCATGTAGCGACATATGCAGATCAATCTGTTGAACTTCTTACCGCATGCAAGCCACCATCCTCTGAGTCGATGATGGTGCTAATCAAGCTCCTGTCATACGATTTAGAGTATGGAGCAACTGTGCTTGCACTCTCCTTCTGCTTCAATTGCACCTGCATTGCAAATATCCTCTATGATCGTAATGGGCTGCGACAGTAGTTGTATGGGGCCCTCCCATCCATGTGCACCACCCTACTGAATGCAAATTCCATGCAATTCCTAGATCCTGTCTTTTCGAATTACAATAGGAGTTAGCTCTTTTTGGAGCTATCGAAGCACCTGCAGGTCTGCGATTTGTTTCCTCAGTGCTTCGACTTCAGCATCAGCTGCGCCGTTCTCTGCAGCGGGGGCCGGTGCTGCCTCGGTCATGCTGCAAAACGTCTTTGATCTGCCAAGACCTTTAGTAGGTGTCCAGGAAGACGAGGGAGATCGCTGGCTGTGAGAGCTACTGTCCAACACTCTGTACAAAGGGGATTGCCCCTGGCGGGCACCCACAGAAACTCTGCTGGCGAAGGTCCGCAGAGCACTTTTCTGAAGCAGCAGCCTTTTGAAGTCACAGGGACAGATCATTTGTGTCAGGCCAGCAGCATTTGCAGATTGCAAATTCTAAGGCAGAGAGCTGCAGGAACCTGGTGGGTCGGCAGCTCATCGAAAGGGTGGACCCACCGGGCCGCCGCTGCATCGCTGTCCGTTGTCCGATGTTTTTGCACGCCGCACAGAGCTGCCTGCAGACGCAAGAGAGGCCAGATTTCGTTGATGAGAGACATCATACATATCAAAAAGCGGTTTATAGTGAAGCGTTCGAATATCTATTAAATTGGGAGGGCAGCAGGTCTGGAACCGTAACGTCCGATGGCATCAGCATCGACTGTTCATCTGTCGATCGGCAGGCCCCGCCTTGGAAACCGTCACTCCTCCCCAGGTAAATTTTTCTCATTCCTGAACCCCAGGGCTCCTGTGCCTGGTGCTGCTGGCATGGGATCGCCGCAAACCTCCATTGGAAGGTGCCAGATGACTTTCCTTTGCAAGCAGTGGGGCAGACGTGCGCGGCGCAATCTCAAATTAAACAGCCCCTGGGCTCATATCATAGTTTTTATCCCCTTGCCAAGCCACATTAAAGGTGAAAGGCAGACGTGTGTGTGACTCAGCTGTGGAGCCTTGCGGTAGGAATCCTGGGTCAAAGTTGACAAGTGAGCTGTGTCTGCAGTCTCCTCCGAGCGAGACGATTGGATGCGGATGGCTGCACGTCCGGCCTCCTGCACGGCGTGCGCTTCGCAGCTGCCCTGCCCCAAAGCACGGTCGTCCGCCCTCTTCCAGCGGCACAAGGGAATGAGGGTTGCCCAAAGCGCGTCTCTGCGCATCAGGTACATCCCAAGCTCATAAACTTCCTCCAGAGTCTGCCTTACGCTCGGATCGAATGCTTCCTCTGACACCTTGACGGTCGAAGGGTTGTTCGGCAAGAAAGACAAGTGCTGCTGCGTTTCAGGCCGACAAAGCACAGGAGTCAGAGCAGGCAGCTGCCGCTCCACCCACCCAGTCTGACCGTGGCCGCGGCGGCTGCTGCAGCAGTGGCGCCTGTACCGGCCTATGATGTCAGCAGCCACAGCAAGGAGCACCTCACCATAGGCACCATTGGGCACGTCGACCACGGCAAGACCACCCTCACAGCGGCCATCACGCGGGTGAGCCTCCCGCTGTTGTTGGTTGCAGTACATCTCTGTGCCCCCGCACCGCTACCAAATACCTCATTCCAGCGTTGCTGCCTGGACACATGCCCACTTTTTGGACACCACAAGAAAACGTAATTTTTTTTGCTTTCTGCGCAAAATTCGAGCACCACATTTCACATCAGCTTTCATCACAAACTTCAGACGGCCCAGATTCCACTATGCACATGTTCCAGCTGGTTCAAGCTCATTATGCCGCAGCCAACTTCGGGCATGCCATGCCCTGCCAGACTTCGGGAAGCACGGGGAGCAATCCTTCTAAGGGCTCGCAAATCACTGCATACAGAAAGCTTGCCATTCTCTTGCAGGTGTTGGCCGAGGAGGGCGGCGGCAGTGCGGTGGCGTTTGATGCGATAGACAAGGCGCCGGAGGAGCGCGCCCGCGGCATCACCATCAACTCAACCTGCGTCGAGTACCAGACCGCGCACCGGCACTACGCGCACGTGGACTGCCCGGGCCACGCTGACTATGTCAAGAACATGGTCACCGGTGAGGCATGAGATCGAGGATGCTATGGCATGTCCGCAATAAGAATTCTGGAAGGGAACTGATGCTGGTCATTCATAAGGTTGAAAGCAAAATGCACTTCCAGCCTGGTGTCAGGGCAAGCCGTAAGGTGCAGAATCTGATTCTTTGAGAGCTGGAGAATCGGAGAAGCAGAATCTGATACTTGGGAGACCTGATTGCCAGTAAGGCATGCAAACAAGTTGCTGATGAGATAAGGTTAGAAGTGCAGTGTGACTGTCCTTGGCGGGGCCAAGGAAGAAGTTATTGGTTGCTAGAGAATGCAGGGATGAGGCATGGTTGCTTCAGGGCATTGCCCCAGAGTTGCACCCCAAAGCAACAGGGACAATGCATTCAGGAAAATGTGAAGAACGTTGGAATGCTGCGTTTGCTGGCAGGTGCTGCGTCGATGGATGGGGCGATCCTGGTGGTGTCGGCAGCGGATGGGCCGATGCCACAGACGCGCGAACACATTTTGCTGGCTCGTCAAGTCGGCGTCAGCAGCCTCGTTTGCTACCTCAACAAGGTCCGTGCCTCCCTTTCTGTCATTCACACTTGCTCTTGGGAAGTCAGTTCAATACATTGTTGTTCAGGGTTTGACAGGGGATGGCCAGATCCCTGGGTTTGCCCCGGGGATCTGGCCAAAAAGGTCAGGGGATACGCCCCGGACTTTATAACAGCCAAGTCGTGATTTGCCGGGGAGACCCCTTGCCACCTATGTGGCTTGAAGCCTTCAGCCTCAGCCCTTGCAAGTCGTGCATGAAAGGCATGCCGCAAAAAACTGCTGCGAGATCAGCATTCTCAGCCTGCCAATGCTCAACGCAGCCACTTATCTGGCGGCTACCTTGAGCTGGCAGTGCTGCAGGGATAAGCATGGACTTCCTACTTCCCGAAATGGGCATCTTGGGTGTATCAGTGCCCCTAGATGGCCCAATGCCGGAGGGTGAAGTGCTCGTTTGCCGCTGTGGAACCAGTCTATCTGCGGCCTGTCATGCACCGGGATCCATGGTTTCAGAGTGCTGACGAAGAAATTCCTTGTGCTTCCCTACTCCTTCGATCTTCGGGACAGCCCAAGACCATATGGTTGTCCCTTCACGAAACAGTCCTCTTTGTCCTCAGTCATCTTCCTCTGTGATCTATGCTTGCAGATGGTTGGCAAAAGGGTTAGTCACGCGTGCAGGTTGACCTGGTGGATGATGCTGAGCTGCTGGAGGTGGTTGAGTTGGAGTTACGGGACCTGCTCTCCTTCTACGGATTCCCAGGCGACGACATCCCCATCGTCCAGGCAAGTCGCATGCATTTCAGCGAACATTAATAAGATCTCTTACATAATTCACCCAGTACACTGGTTGACCCTAAAATAAAAGCCAAAGGCGCAGCTGCTCTCGTAAGGCTTCCCAGTGGACGACCTTCCCATCAGCCAGGCAAGGCGCTAGGTTTTGAGTCGAAAGCTTGATGGATTGATCGGGCAGTGGCATGCTTAATGTGTCGGTGAGCAAAACCCACTAGAAGGAGAGTGTCTCTAGTGTGCCAGCCACCTTTGCATCACACTGCACAGCTGGTTGTTAATATTCTTCTTTCTTCTCTGGCCTGTAGCATCAGGATACGACATGAGCATGACAAAGAAGGCGAGTATGGTGCTGTGATCGTCTGGCTATTGAGCAAGGCCCATGCTTGCGTTCCGCATGCCTCCGGATTCTTCTTAGCACCTTGATAACAACTCCCGGTGCCAGCAGCATGTGAAACAAATCCAAACACGCAGATGAGAAAGCCATGCAGGAGTTCTTTGCCACATGATCACAACTTTCATTTCTTCTAACAGGGATCGGCGCTCGCCGCTCTGAAGGGAGAGCAGTCGCCGATCGGTGCGGAATCAGTGCGGCAGCTGATGGCGGCAGTCGACAGCAGCGTGCCGGCCCCGGAGCGGCCCATCGACCTTCCCTTTGCCATGCCCATCGAGGACGTGTTCAACATCCAGGTAGATCTATTGAATCATGTGCATGAAGTGCCGAAGATTTTGTATTTTAGAGAGAGCGCATGCAGTAGAACGCACGGAGTTTGCCTAGGAATTAGAGGGCCAAGACATCCTGGCCCTGCCAGTGAACAACTCTTATGCTTGCATCTAGTCCTCGCGATGCGGACATTCTCTTGGAGCCAGGCTTCCTCTCCAACTGTTTCCCTTAGTCGAGGATTGTCATGACCAAATCCTGCTTGCCTAATGTGATGGTTCTCCTCTCCAGGGGATATGGGAGGTGCATGCACACCTAAGCTACGGCGTGTACTTGATTCTTTCACATACCAGGAGAGCAGGATCACAGATATGTGTGCAGGTGTTGTCAGCACTAACATTGTCCCCCAGTACTCAAAACTGTAACATCTCATATAGATCCTCTATACCAAGAGTTGCACCAAGCAGCAACTAGTTCTGTCCTCTGGTGTGCGCAGGGGAGGGGCACAGTGGTGACTGGGCGGATTGAAGCGGGCACAGTGAAGGTGGGCGACGAGATAGAGGTGGTGGGCCTTGCGTCAGGGGGAGTTTCCCGCAAAAGCATAGTCACCGGCGTCGAGATGTTCCACCGGGCCATGACTCAGGCGCAGGCCGGCGACAACGTGGGCCTTCTGCTGCGCGGCATCCGCAAGGGCGACGTCGAACGCGGCCAGGTTCGATTCTCTGCAGAAGCATGTATTGTTTTTCATTTTCTAGTTTTTGCGTGAAGTTGTAAGGCAGGCGTGGGCCTGCGGCTGCGCGGCATTCCAAAAGCGACGTCAATCGCGGCCAGGTCCGATACCTTGCAGCAGCATGCTTATTACTTCTCCTTTTTTCTTTCCATTTTGATTTATTTTGAACACATGCATGTCCTAGGATGCTGCAGGCGGAAAGACACCGGTGTTGCCAGGTCATATCTCATCCAATCGGCAGAATGTTCTAGAGTGGGGGGCACTCTGAGACTGCTAATGATTTATTAGCTCCATGGATGATGTGATCGCTAGCCTAGCACATTCGTGTCAATCACGAGGTCTTTCTCCACCGGAGAAGGACCCTTCCAATTAGCACACATGTGTGAAGTCTCATATGAATGAGCACGCCTGATGCTCGACTAGAACAAATTGTGTGACTGGCGCTGCTGCGTTTCTTTTTAGTAAGGAGCGAGCTCCAGATATTGTAGGTGCCAGCATGAGTACGTAGCGTTGACAACATGTGCGCATGTGCGTGCAGGTGCTGTGCAGCCCCGGCAGCATGCGCGCGCGCAGCCGCTTTGAGGTGGAGCTGTACGTGCTGAACAAGGAGGAGGGCGGCCGCCACAAGCCCTTCTTCAGCAACTACTCCCCACAATTTTTCATCCGCACCGCTGATGTCACCGGTGAGTCACCCCCGTGTGAATTGTCTGTCTTCGTCACGAGCCCAAACCAAGCTGATCACCTCAGCTCGACCCCAAATGTTGCAATCTCGCATCTTCACCGTGCATTGCAGGAGGTTTTTGAGACAGGACTGGGTCTAGAGGGAACATCAGCATGCATGCATGCAATTCTGCACTGGCAGGAAAGGTGCTCTGCAGAGGCTTCCAGGCAGCATGTTCATTGCAGTGAGGTCACGAAACCAGCAATCCAGATTGTGCAATGCTGCTCACAAATGTGGATTCACTGCCTTGGAACAGATACCATCCAACTGATGCTGTGAGGGAGTGTGATGGCTGGCAATTGTGTCTGCCCGTGCAGGGACGCTGACCCTGCCGGATGACATCAGCATGGCGATGCCGGGGGACAACGTGCGCGTGACGGTGCAGCTGCAGCAGCCGCTAGCGCTGCATGCCGGCCTCAGGTTTGCTCTGCGCGAGGGTGGGCGCACCGTTGGAGCAGGCCTGGTCTCCAAGGTTCTGGAGTCGAAGTAAAATGCAGGTCATCAGCTGAAGCCTGTGGTAGAATTAGTAAGTCATCTGTTTTTTTACTCCGACCGGCAGGCAACTCTGCAGGAACAATTTCTGTGGGCAGCCCTTTTAAGTTGGTTGGAGGCGGCCTGGTCTCTGAAATGCTGGACTAGCCCAGGAAAGGCAGCATTCGCCATTGTGCTGGCCCTGGATTTTTTGGAGTTCAAAAGCCCAGAGTTGTTTGCTTCTGCTCTTAGATTTCGGGTTGTCTATCCTGCTCTGAGTTGTGAGGTTGTGGTTCTATATATGAGGGGGACTGCTCATGCATGTGTGCTCTTTGTACCTGCACTCTGGGACCTGTATTCAAACGTCCCATTGCATGCATGCCCTGACGCTGCTTGGGCAACAACCTCAGGAAAAATTGCTGGGTGACAGAGGTGGTTACACTCTTTACAACCGCCATCATCGATGGAAATCTGGACACACTGTAAGTCTGAAATTTCTCAAGAGAGTCATGGAAATTCACTGAGAGTCAGCCTTGAAGATGTTGGGCTCTAACACACAGATTAGTTGGGAGAAAGCAAGTGACGCAATGAGAAAGGTTCTCAGAGTCTGCAGTATGACAGTGCGCAGTATCCACATGCATTGCGGAACAATCAGAGAAAACGTTCTCTTGCATAGGCAAACACCCTATAAAATAACTCTGGCAATGCCAAATGCTGCACTCACTCAACACCGGTATAAATCGACCCTTCATTTCTACAATTGACATTTGACCCCTGGCCCAAAACTTCAGCGACTGGCATCAAACGCCCGGGCAAGCTCCCGCAGGAACATCGGCACAAGCTTTGGACCGTTGGCAGCAGCTGCCGCCTCACTTGAGAAGTCCACAGGCCAGTAGCGCATCATGACCCCGGCAGAGTTAAACCAGTCCATTTCGTTGATCAGCATCTGGACATACATCCGGCCGTCCTCGCCCCAGTACACCCCGAGCACTACATCCATGCGGGCGTACATGTGGCGCACCTGCATTTGTAAATGATTAGTGATATTCTTAGTAAGTGCCCCTGACATTGAGAGTGATAGTAATAGAAATAGAGTAATAGGGCAGAAAAAATTGAATAAACCCAACTCAGCGCAGAATGTGAGTAATTGAATTACTAAGCCTATCCTAGGAGCCACTCCGCAGACCAAAATGAGGCTGCATCATTTGGTCCCCCTAGATGCTAGACATAAGGCGGACAACAGTGTTCAAGCAACTGAAGCTGGTGATTTCATGTTGGCAGATTTTGTCAATGGCATGCATGCGCATCTCAAGTTGAAAATCCCAACAGAGTACATGACACCAGGATACGCTGAAACTGCACAATCCCCGCGACACAGTTCTGGCTGCTATGTAATGTCGCGCCAGTGCCATGCATGCAGAAGCCACCTTTAAAGCAGTAACAGAGTAAATGCAGGGAAATAAAGGCACACTGTTGAGAGAGGGACGTCTTGGAATGCGGCCATAGCACGAGCGCCGCTGAGAGCAGCGTCCACGATTTTCCTGTACAGCCGGTGGTTCTCCCAGGGAGCCCGCTCCTGACCCAGCTTTGCTGACAACCCCTCCACATCAGCATCTATCTCCTCATGTGGCCCCCCTGAAACAGTACAGTTTTCTGTGTAATTAAAAATAAGCGCTATTGTAGACCCAAGGCATAGCCGACCCATCAGAAAAGGTTTCTGTATTACCCAAAGAAAAGGCGCTATTTCAAAGACCCAATGGTCAACCTATCCGTCAACAAATGCTCAACATAATCCCCGAGAACTACAAGATGCCCCAGGGTTCCACGTCGCCAATGACTCAGCAGAAGATGTTGTGCAAAGAAATGAAATAAAATGAAGTGCAGGAAAATGAGAAAGTCACATGCATGCTGACCTGGAGCCTGAATGATGTCACTCCAGAAATGTCCCTCTGGCAGTGTCAGATTGGCAAGGTACAGCCCCTCGTCCAGGATGGAAGGGGTGTACACCACAACAGAGTCCTTGCTGGTCCCGCTTGACTCGGCTCCTCCAAAGAGATACACCCTGCACGGCAAGTTAGCCCCTCAGACACAGACTTATTGCACCCCTACCCAAGCCCTTTGGAGGTTCATTTTAAATAAACCAGCACACTCTATCTCCATTTTTTGAAGCGAAAGACAGCTAGGTCATAAGTCAAAGACATCATCTCTCTCATGCCATAGAGCCGAGTCACAGGCATAGAAGCACCGTCCTGTTTTGTGCTTGAAACCACAAGGCAGCATGACAAATAATGGGCGATCAGATTGTGCCGGCAACAAGGACAACTCTGAAAAAGAACGCAGGAGGATCCTGCCATTATGAGGTGGGACCTACACCTCTCAGCCATTATTGTAACCCCCATGTCTCAACTTGAAGCGCCCTCGCCAATACCAGGTGTGCGTGCTGAGAGAGAGATGGACTTTACGAGGAAGCATGAATGTGGCAGTTCACAAATTGGGTTCGATGTAGTACAAGGAGGAAAAGACATACCTGTACTCGAGATCTGGCATGTCCACGATGTGCGGCTGGAGCAGCCACCCTTCTCCACAGCTCCTGGACGATACCAGCTGTGCAGCTTCCAACAGGTATGGCTCTCTTGTGACCAGTCCAGATGCTCTGACCTCTTCCGACACTCTTTCTGGCAGCGGCGGCCGAGCCCTCCAAGGATGATCACCCCTGGCATACACCGAGGAAACATTTCTGTATCGATGCTGGTCAGGGTGTAGGATTTAGGGATTTTTTTCCTGAAAGAGGCCTTCACAAGGAATAATATTTCATGGGGACTGCAATGGAAATTGTAGGGTTCAGAGTTGATGCAGGGTGGAAATTATACAGTCATCAACATTATTGCAATACTAGTTTCTGCGATGCATGCATACCTTGAAGTTCAGCACGGCAAACACAAGGAGGAAAAACCAATATGATAACATAACCAGACTTGTCTTTGCTGCCAGAACCCCTGCTAAAAGGTCCATGAAGGCTGACTTTGCAGATAATATTATGTTTGGTGTATAGTTTTGCTTGCCTGCAGCTGCAAGGCAAGGCATGCAGGTCCAAATTGTTCACTAAACACATGCAACTGCTAATTCCATCTCTGGAGTTTCGCAGGCCTGTGCCCTGTGACACTCTTGCTGTGCAATGCACAATTCTCCGCACTAACAGTACCAAGGTGGCCACACTCTGTATCAGTTTAACCTGTGGCGTACTGCCATGTGGAGTTTCAGACCTCAACAGGAGTGGCATCGCGCACCTGTACAGTGCTGGAGCAGACTTGTTTGCTGTGGGCAGAGCTTCTGAAGGGAATTTGACCTTCTTGACGAGGATTGCCCCCTCTGCAAATTCCCTCTTTATGATGAAGTGGCGCAAGGCTCCCTCCTCTTCATTGTTTGTCACCACTGCGGACACAAACGGCAATCTCCAGTGCAAGTTTCGGATAGTATTCTTATTAGTACTGTTCACGCATTTCCTGCCAGCGGACAGGTGCATCTGCAAACAAGCTGAAGGAAGTTTAAATCGAGTTTTTTTCTCGGCCACTCTAAACATCATGAAAGACAGCAGCGGTGCTTTCGGGTAGATTTGCAAGATGCAAAGCAACTATGTAAGAATGCTGATCCTGAGGTTCAAAGGGGAAACAGGCTTACATGAGATGCGGTCAACTTTGGCTCCAAGCTCCTGCACCCGTTGCTGCTCTTTTTGTAGGTCCAACATCGCTTCATAGATCAGCCGCATCGTGGCATCAGTGTGTGCCTCGCTGCTTTTCAGCGAGCTGCTATGGCACAATGCCAACATATCTGCAGGGATAAAAATCCCAATGTTTATGAGGAGTGAAAGAGCCTCACAAGAGAGTGTGCAGATCAAAGGCAGGTGTTTCAGAATGGGACACAGCTGTCAACAGCAAATACATCACAGCACACTACCACATCTCTGCAACACTCGCATCATCTCTTGGCATGCATTTTGTTAAGCACAGACACAGAGCAGTTCTCCCAAACAGAAAGAGTGTTTTCCACATCATTGCATCATGTCTAAGCAGGCAGGTGCGTGTAAACAGAGGCTAGAGTTTTGCACATTTTCATGCTGTCCTCAAATAACATATGCATGCATGCAGCTCCAGCTCAAAGTGGGGCACCCCACCTGCTTCCGAGCCCGGGGGGTCCAAAAACACCGTTGGTATCGGTGGGGTGCGCGTCGAGGGGTCTGCCTCGTAATAGTCCATGTACATGCTGTGCAGCCGTTTCTGCAAGCATGCCAATTTACATCATAAATCAGGCAAGACACACTCCTTTAGAATCATGCAGAAACGGAGAGCTATGCAAGATGATCAGCACATCGATTTTGGAACCATCATGTGTGCTAAATGGCCACCGCAGACACGTTGCGGTAGAAAGACGCTGCTGCAACGTGTTGTGTCTTGGATGGATTTACACTGACAGAGTCGGCTCAGCTCAGCTCACTTCAGCTAATGTAATTGCCAGTAAGTGAATATGGACACACCTTATCTGGCAGCACAGACCACTCTGCCAGGCTGGGCAGAGTGGACGCGCCTGTGAGGCTGCAGAAGTGCTGCACCAGTCCAGTCAGCTTTGCCATATCCCAGACTCTGAAATCTTCGGTGGGTGTGCGGTCCGGATCGAGGCTACGGACTTGCGGGACAATCCGGGGCAGCACAATCACCGTCTCTGCAAGACCTGCAAAATGTGCCAAGCTTCCGTGGTGCACCCCAACCCAAATGCACATACAAGGTGACCTGTATGGTCAGCTCTTATGAAGCCTGTTTAGTTGTCTGACCCCAGCAGGCATGCATGCAGGGGCTTAGTAATGACAAATACAACGGCTTGCAGGGCTCTTGCAGAGGAACCATATGTGACATGAACAGTGCATGTCAAGATGAGTCATGTATGGGTAAGGATCAGCATCTCACTGGGGATGTGTTGAAGCGGGTCGTGATTCTTGCTTCCAGTCAAGCTGGCAAGGACCGCTCCCAACCCAGACTTCACCTCCTGCTGTCAATGCAAAGCCCAATACCATAATCAACGCCAACTTTCTTCAGCAGTGCAGCAGCAGGGCTGTCTGAGGAGCAGTAGCCATGGGCAACATGCCACAAATGCATGCTCTTCTACCGATATTGCATGTAAAGAAATAAGGGACAAGGGAGTGAGTTACTCCGAGCTGGCAGCCTGCAAGACAGAAGAAGCTGCAGAAATGGCAGCCAGCAGCCGCGGACATGCAGCCACCAGAAGCTAGACATGCACATGCAGAAAGCATGAAAAAAATGCGGAGCACGCTGCAGAGCCGCACACCTTTGTAGCAGTCTGCACTTCCAGCATTGTGGACCAGAAGTTATCCTCGCTCGTGACCCTCAGCCGGGTTGTGGTAAGGTGCAGCTGCTTCTGTGCAGATGCATGGCTGCCATCCACAAGACCCAATTCTGCAAGTCCATGGTTTGACCTGCTCACAGAAACATAACATATCATTTTGTCTGCACGCACGGCATTTAATGTCAAGCTCGAGAAGGTTTGCTCCGGATATGAGCCTGCACACAAATGAGGAATCTACAATGGCGACTTTCATGGCTGCATAATGCTGTACTCAAACTCATTAAACGGCAAATATCCTGCAAAATTTGCACTGCCAGTGTTTATAGTCGAACATATGAAGGAGGAAGGGTCTCACGTGACAGCTTGGTACATGAGCAGAAGATTTGATGGCAGGGGAATGGAGCTGCTATTCTCTATCAGCGCGGCTTTAGCAAGCTCCGTGAAGGTAGCGAAATCGCTGTCTCGCAATTCCTTCGCCGCGTGATGTTCGTCTGGGATCTGCTGGCAACACCACCTCCTTGAGCCAACCCAGTAGCAGGGTCCTGTGACTGCAATTCGAGATGAGCTGGTGTGGCAAGCGAACCTTGAGATCGAGGCCTTGGGGTTGCCCCGCCGTCGCAGTGAGGGCGTCTTTCAAGCTGGCCACCCACGGAATGAGGGATTGCCTGGCGTTTTCATCAATTGGGACGGTTTCCCAGCACCTAGTAAAAGGGCAGGTTGGCTGGTAAGAGGGCTTAATCATATAATAGATTAGCAATCTGAGAACATGAAAAGGTATTCCTACTCAAGATGTTTAAAGGCAGTGCCTCACAGGTAAAAATTGGGGTCCAGGACAAAGAGGATGTCCACATCGATGAGCTGATCAGGGTTCCGGAGCTGTCTTCCAGGCTGCAGGCTGCCAGTCAAGATGGCATCTTTGCCCTCAGGATGTACTGCAAAATTAACATTTGCATCGTCTGAGTTATGTACGCTATCACTGGTGGGTTTGCTCAACAGGGATGAGGATTGCCGGAAAAGATGGGGCGTCGCAGCCAAAGCGAGAACTGCACTGGCGCACAGTAGAAGAGCGTGCCGTCCAATCATATTGCTTACGTCTAAATACTTCAAGATTTATCAATGGCAGACGACCATGTTCCGCTCGGAAGCTGATGACTCGTACATCTATCTATATTTAGAGGATAAGGGTCCATGCATAATCATCGATCTATAGACCTTGTCACGGAGCGTCAAAAATTTCCAAATCGCATTGACATCAAGATCGCTTCGACACCTGCCAGCCCAAAGCTCTCCACTACCCCCACAAGGTATGCAAATTCATTGCAATGGCTCTTAGGACTCCTGCACACAGAAGAAGGGTCCTGTTTCGACGTTCCCGACACGAGGCCGCATGTGAGCGGTTGTCTAGCATCTGGTACCACATGTCGTCCTGATGAGCTTGCATCTTTCCGAATATGCAATTTCTTGTCGTACAACTAGAGCTTAAAGGAGAGATCTTGATCATCGCTTCCACTGACACTGTGCAGATCGCATTGACCAAGGCCGCGTCGCAATGAAGTGGACCCAAGTTCTCGCCTTTCTGGCAGCTCTGCTACTCTTCGCATTTGTGACAGGTGATATCATGGCAAAATTCGATGTCACCCACCTCATCGGGGCTCTCGTGCTTGTCTTCCAGAATCCACGTGTTGCGATCGCACAAAAGCCGATCATGTCGTGGTCAAGATTGCCTACTGGCTGATGTTGCCAACATGGTCTGGTTTACCTAAAGCAAGAAACACACTATAAGGCTTGTACCATCGTTCAGGTGCCCGCTACCCGGTGCCGAGCGAATCTCTGGCCATGAGTGGACAGGTGAGCTCTCTTTTGTCTGGGCTGAGTTGTTTCTTGTAAATTGCGTGAAGTAGCCATAAGTACATGTGGTTTTCACATAGTGTAACTCAAACTGTTTGTACGCTGGTTTGGTAGGTTTGTGCAATCCGACACTCTAGACGATCGGGATGCTGATTCAAGTTGTCACGTTTTCTGTACAGGAAGCCGGAGAGGGCTTCGACCTGCTGAGGCGCACTCTGAAGCAAGGCACCGGTGCCTCCGGAGCCTCGACCTCCGGCTCTAGCGGTGACGGTGGCTCTGGCGGTGCCGGCGGCTCTAGCGGTGCCGGCGACTCTGGCGGTGCCGGCAGCAGTGGATACGACGGTGCGTAGTCCTCATACTCGTGCAAAATTTGTTACTTTTCGAAACATGACAGCATAACGCGTTCGTTTGGGTTTCATAGGTCGCTGTGCCTAGACCTGTCGCCTTCTAGTTGTAAATTTCAGAGAAGCGTCTGAACACTCACCGATTTCGTATTTCGTATTGTCTTTTAAATCATCAATTTAGCTATTGGGACTCCTGCCTTGTGGCAGGCTTATTCACAGAATACTCATGGCGCATAATGTGATGGCAGGCAAGAAGAAGGAGGAGCCCAAGAAGAAGGAGGAGCCCAAGAAGAAGGAGGAGCCCAAGAAGGAGGAGCCCAAGAAGAAGGAGGAGCCTAAGAAGGAGGAGCCCAAGAAGAAGGAGGAGCCCAAGAAGAAGGAGCAGCCACCGCCCAAGAAGGAGGAGCCCAAGAAGAAGGAGGAGCCCAAGAAGAAGGAGCAGCCACCGCCCAAGAAGGAGGAGCCCAAGAAGAAGGAGGAGCCCAAGAAGAAGGGTATGCACTAATCTTTGTAAATTGATTTATTCAACCAGATGGAGTCCCTCTGCAATTGCCTGGCAGTCTCACAACATGCATCTGCACTGGCATTGCTATGAATGCATGGGATTGATCAATAAGACCAACACCAGCAAGCCTCAAGTTCCATTTGAAAGAGCTGTATTGATGTATTCTGGCACTGCTTGCAACGAAGTGCATGCTTATAGAATGAATTCTGCTCTGTGTGCAGATTACGGCGGCAAGAAGGGCATCTGAAGGCTGTACCAGCTGATCTGCCATGGGAAACAAAGTGACTTTGCCTTGCTCAGTGCTCAGCCGGATTGTCAAGTGAGTATAACTTGTGGCCAAGCAGCGAGCATGCTGCAGTCGGACTGTCTTGAATTGTTCTGTGAACTCGAAATGGATGTGAAGTACGAAGTACGCGACTTTGTACAGAATGACAATGACAATACTGTGTCCGTCTGCAACTCCCGTAGTGTTGATCATAGGAACCTATGCTCCTGAACCCACGTAGGTACTATTTGAGAGCCATTGCACAGCACTTCTTATCTGAAGAAGGGCTGTACTGCAATGTCCACACATGTATATACCATCTTCTGACGCAGATGTAATGCTTCTTTTCTACTTGCGTGATGAAATCATATCAAAATGTCAGCCAATCTCGCAAGCCCCAAACTTTGAAACATTCTGACATGTTCATGTCAACAACTTCTTACATTCTTATTCAGTTCTCGCCATTGGACAGTACTGGCTGAGTGAGACCACCTCCATATATTATGTTGGTCTTGCATGCACAAAACACCTAGATGGGCAACAGTAATATATCCTGGCAGACACTGCTGCCTTAATGACGACAAATGCAAGGCAGAGATCCAGTTTGCATACCGTCCATCCAGACAAAAGACATGCATGCATGCAGAACCCACAATGCAAGAAATTTGATTGACACAGCTCCAAAAAGGTCCAATCCAAACCCCAGACAAGACCTTTGAGGTGCAGCAGGCTTGACGCAGAATCAGAGCCACTGCTTTGAAATTTCTACACTGCGCCAATGCTGCATTGGAACAAGATGAATGCCATGACGTACTATTTTGCGTCATTGAGTAAGCTTCAGTAAAACCACCCTACTCCTTTTCATACTCCTGACATATGTCCAACTTCTGATACATTGCCCACAGGACACAGGGACAGTCCTGGGCCCCTCACACACAACAAAAAAACAGCTGCACCCAAACCGCTGCTGGCCACAGTGCACAGCAGACAATAATCCGGATGGATAGGTTGAGGAACAAGCCTTCTGCAAGGTCACAAGCCCGCCCCTGCTTGACTCGCACACTCATTGGTATATTTCAGACGCCTCACACTCTCATAACAATTATGTTAGTCTGTGTACACTCAATGCACACCATTATCACATAATGCTGTTTGCATGCATGCATTTCCAATGCAGTCCTCTTCATCACTTGCTTCACCCTGCGCTGCTCTTGCTGCTGCAGCTATAAACCACTCAATAATGCCCCTCAGAAAAGAAGCACATTGCAAAAGTGCTGCAGCCACAGGCAGGCAATAATGCAAAAATCCACTCTCCAGAACCCCAGGTGCAGGAGGGAAGACTCAGGAACCACCCAATACTGTAAAAATTCACTGTGGCTTGAGCAGACGCTTCTGGGGAGACCTGAAGCCTTGTGCACTTGAGAGGCATGACGCGCCTCACAGCAATCACAACCTGCCCACTGACCTGATCTTGAGATTCTGAGCTGATCACCTTACGACGGCCCTCCCGGGGTGGATGCCAAAAGCAGACCGACCATCCCTTGAAGCTGCCAGAAGGTGGAGAGAATTCAGACGTGCTCATTTTCTCTATGCAAAGCAAGCGAAGCGCTTGACTTCAAGCACCGATGGGGAGCTGGTCCAAGACACTCTCCTCCAGGAACTCGTCCATGAGGCGGTGCATGCAGCGGAGGTACAGCGGTTCTGCGGAGACCATGGACCCGGCTGCAGCTGCCTGCGCAGTGGCGCGCGAGTGCAGCTTCTCGAGGGGAGATTTTCCCATGCCCTCCCTGCAGCACAGTCAGCGTGATCAAAAGCCAATCAATGGAATCCAACCCAGCGTGCCGAAATCTGCTGAGCGAGGGCAAAGTCCAGCACTCCCATGAAGCGTATTCATTATTTTCCCTGCCATCAAGCGTATGGATGAAAGGCAGGACTTTAGCAGTGCGCAAGGCAGCCAGTGGCCGTCAAAGAAAGAATAAAGAACAAGCCCGAGCAGCACTGAGCGAGGGACACAATTCAACATCATGCTTGCAGCCTTGGTTGGTCCCATTCTGAACCCATTGGAGCTTGCCCATCAGTTAATATCATGCCGCAAAATTGCGTAAGCATGCAGCATCTGCAAACATGAAGCATGCAACACCATGCAGACCTACTGTTCACCTGCACATGATGGAGCCGATGTCAAAGGGAGACAGGCCGCGAGGAGCAGCCTTCTTCAGCAGCGCGGTGAGGACGCGCAGAATGCGCGCACACTCAGGGCGGATGCCCAACCCGTGCTGCGCCAGGATCGCCAGATCCCGCTCCGCGTCCAGAGCCTCTATGTACGCCAGCGAGCGCTCGTCTACAAAGAGGGAGAAGATATTATTGTGAGCATTATAGATCATGATGGTAAAGTAAGCACAACATCTTGTCTGACATTCAACGCCTTTGGTAGAGGTTCAAAGAGTCGAGTGATTTGCTGTACCCCAGCAGCGAGGCAAGAAACGCCAGGCATAAGCTTTGAGGGGAATTTATAAAACATCTGTACGTGGAGATCCCAGAGTCCTAACAAGTCAGGAGGCTAGCGCAAGTATATGTCGGACATGTCTCAACTTCAGATCAGGATCAGCAAGTACAATGGCTTGCTGAGCCTATTATATGTGCAGGACATGTCAGACACTAAAAAGGTCAGCAGGAGGCACATAAGCGTTTGCATGATGATCCCCCTGATCGCAAACTGTCAGAAGTAAAGCTGCAGCCAGTAGCACTGAGCAATGCAAGGAAGTGGTGGTCACGAGGGTGCGCACCAAAGGGGGAGCGGGCCTGGGGCCAGTAGAGCCATTCAAAGGAGATGTCCTGGAAAGAGTCGGGCAGAATGTAGCCGTGGTCAATGGGCACCAGCTGCCTGTCTCCCTCCGCCCCCTTCCTCACCAAAATGTTGCCTGCCGCAGCACCACACCCCTCATCAGCACACGTGACATGACAATTCAATACCGAGAGCCTGCTTCGCACTGTCAAAAAGACAGTCAGAAAGCAGGCATTTTGTACAGGCCTAGATTATGTGGTGCATGGTGACACTGCCGGTGTCTGATCATCAACAGTCCTGACCGATTGCACGACACTCTCCTTGCATAAAATCAATATACATGTACAGCACGCTGCATCCGGTCGTGCTGCTGAGCCATGCACACTTGCACTCTGATTCTGCGAGCAGCCATCGGCAGCGCATGCGGAAGCAGTGCAGCAAGGCACCCTGGTACAAGAGTTCAAAGGGCACGGACGTCTGCAAAATTCACATGCATTGTGGGACAACAGAGCGTTTGGAAGAGGCTGGTGCCGAAAAGCACCTCCGTTGCGGTCGCAGTTGCCCAGGCGCATGTCGAGCAGCGCAATCTTGTGCACCTCATGCGCCGGGAACGCGCTGATGCCGCGCTCCTCACAATCTCCCTCCGCCTCCACGTACGCCTGAGGCAACAACTCAGGCCATCCAATAAGTAACAGAAGGCAAGTATTGGTGCTGTCAAGGGCACAACCTTTGCACACAAAAGAACGGCACCGGATGATTGCTGATGCAACTCCAGCTGCTTGCTTGCATGTTGAAGAGAAGCAGACAAGCAGGCTGTAAGGTTTCCAGCAAATTTCTCGCAGAAAACGAAGGTCAGGTGAGCAATGATGCAGTGTCATGGCGAGCTTAAATGCACATCAAAGGATTATAGCAACAAAAATAATGTGCCAGTAAAAAGTTCAGGTCGCACACCTGCAGGCTGCCAACTTTGGCGCCCTGAGAGGCGTCTTCGCTGCCGGCGTGGCAGCTGACTAGCGCGGTCGGCGGCACGCCCGCAAAGTGGTCATGGTCCAATAGGAATGCGGCCACCTCGCGCATGGCGCCCTCTCCAGGGCGGATGCCCCGGCGCAGCCCGTGATCGCTGGAGCCCGATGAGTCACCCTGCAGCGCACATCAGCGAGTGCAAGTCTCAGCAACTCTTTCAGTGCACACTCATTAGAGCAAAGACTCCTTCTCAGAGCGCTTTGCTTGCACTTGAGAGGGGGCATTGTCAAGCATGCAAAACATCAGTGGCCTTGTTCGGAGCTTGCTGGGAACAGCGTGGAAATGTGGCGTTCCAGACAAGCTCCAAAATAGGCTCCTCATATGTTCTGCATATCATAGCGCATTGCAACACCCTGTGCATTAGATCCATTGGAGTAGATTAAGATTTAATAATGCTGTATAAGAAGGCTATACAGGGTAATGAGTCACACCTTGTGCATCTTGGGATTGTTGATCGCCAGCGGCTCTTCATCCAGGGGTTTGAACACGGCAACCGGCTTGCCGTCAGCGCCGGCAATGAAGTAGGACCCCCCAGTGCCGGAGGTGGCCAGTTTTGGCGCGTGGCCGTTCTTCAGGCCAGCCCTTGCCGCCTGGAAGCCGTCAAACTGCGCACAAAACACAGCACATGCAGATCAGCATCACTGAGTTTTGTTAGGTGCTGATATACTAGTTTAGATTTATCCCTGCAGCTTACAGGATGCAAGTATGGTGAACACAGTGGGCATGGTATACGTGCATGCCCAGGACGAATCCAGAGGACGTCATTGCAAGTATCTCTGGAGGGGGAAAGATGCACAAAACGAATTTCCGTTCAAAAGATGAATAATGACTGGTCAGCAAGGTACGTGCGGCTCACCAGCTCATGGGCGGGGGAGGACAGCAGGGGAGAGCCCTCAGGCATGGGCTCGTGCACGAAAGGCTCGTAGGGGACCAGCTCCAACACGCTGCCCTTTTGCACGCCGTACTCTGCCAGAGACTTGCCGCTGAGAACCTCGCCATTGTGCACCAGCTGATGAGAGTCAAACACCAGCCCGCTCACCGCCTCTGCGCGCCTGCATCATCGCATCGGACACCGTCAGGGGTGAGCTGTAATTTGATGCTCGCAAAAAAATATTTACGTGCAGGGCATGCATGCCTGTCCGGTCACCTATATGACAAAGGGACACTCAGTACAATGTGGATGCAATTGACAATCCACCCATTGCAGCCATACCATGGCGGTGAATTTCTGCCAGCCCTCTCCAGTCACATGAAACGCAGTATGCTGGCAGGGACTTGCACAACCTGGGTATGGCAACAATGAATGAGGAGGTGTTCCAACACTAATGGAAAATTTGCCCCAAAATAAAATCCTTGCAAACAGCACTGAGGCACTCACCGCTTGACGGTCTCGGCAGAGTCGGAGGCGGAGATGGAGAGCTCAAACTCGTTGCCGTGCGCGGACCAGCTGACTTTGGCGGTGCGGCGCACGACCAGGTGCACGACGGCGTTGTCATCCAGCGGCCCCTTGCGCGCCAGCTCCTTGCTCAGCTGCTCTCCCTTTCCCAGCACCAGGCCCCGCACCACCAGGCTGCACCACAAAATCAGCATGTAAGGATTACTGTATTATATTACACGCTTTTCCTGCCAAAAGGCAAGGTATGTCCTGCAGACAAGCTGCACATAGAGGCTGCCACAATCCTACCCCCTATCTGAGTCGCCAGATCCAAGCAAGACCCAATCAAGCGTGGGCACAGTGCTCAGCATTCATACCGTCCCCCGGCCAGTTAGGGCACACAACAAGTGCATGTAAGCAGTGTACTTTATATCAAGGACGTCTAGTATTGTTCATGCGAGGCTGGGAGATGGAAAGGGATGTACACATGCGGCGCCGGGGCGGACTTGCAGTGAGGGAGCAGGCACATGCATGCATGACAGAGCACACGAGAACGATCCATTGCAGTGCAGGAGTATTCGGCCCGCTTGTCGTGTCTCCAACGAGTGTGAGGTGCCAAGATGCCCCAAATCACCGCATGCAATGTCAAGCACTACTACTGACTGGGAAGTCTTGATGCTTCTGGCATGCATGACAGGGGTGCAGCACATGACGGCACATGCGCACCTAGTGCTGTCTACAGGGGCGTCCTCCCTGCGCGGGCTGGTGGCCAGGGCGGCAGTCAGCGCGCTGCGGGGCCGCTGGTCGGTCTCCTGGTCAAATTGCAGCTTGCGGCCGGAGGCGGTGTTGAAGTAGACACTCTCGATGTCCGCCAGCTTGACCACGATGTGCAAAAATTTTGGGCCCAACTCTGCATCTGCCGCGTTTGCCAGCTCGTCCTGCACTTCCTGCCTCAGCAGCTCCCTCTCCCCCAGCACCTAAAAGTGCCCAGTGACTTGGCTCACACTAGCTGTCTTCCTTGAGTGAAGTACTTAAAATAATGTGCAAATGCGTTTGCGAGGGCCTCCCAACCAACTTAGCAGGTTTTATGAGTGCGTCTTAGTGGTCAGGATGCATATGGCACAGAATAGACAGAATCGCAGGGTGCAGAATTTCAACGAATCTTGCAAGCTGGAAGGAAACGGCGAAACATGACAAAATATAGCGCTGATGCAGCTTCTCACATCAGGGGAGGGATACTCACCAGCGTCTGGTTGGTGGTGAACCATCCCTTCAGCTTGAGCTTGAGGGTCACATCGTTCAGGGCCTCCTCAGTCAAGACATGCAGCCTGTCAGGCGGGTCTGACGTCTCGACGAGCACATTAATCTCGCCGCTGAGGGGACCACGCTTGGCAACCGATGCACTCCTGGTCCGAAGACCTGCACAGCAAACGTATCTCTAAGAACGGTTGAAAGAAGCGACAAATCTATTCTTAACAGACATGTAGCCCTGTACAGGTTTTCATGGCTGCAAAGACCCATCCACCAACTCAATAAGTCATGGAAGACCCCAGAACATTTCACCAAGACCAACTTTTATTTTGTTCAGCCGGAGAGGATAAGTATGCGTTGCATGTAGACAACCAAAAACATGAGTCTAATCGACTACTTTTGGCAAGGTAGCATGACGCCCTACGATACCTGGAGGGATGCCAACTGTACGGTGCTTGCTGAAGGCCACAGGGCTCCATTGCTCCACTGCCGGCTGCGCCATTTACTCGAGCGAAAACAAAATCTGAATCTCGGAAGAAGCGTGCGAGCATGCTTTGGAGTCAAAGATATATTTCCTGGGCAGACGAAGCTATGGGTGGAGCCATCTTCCAAATCCCTGTACGAATGACGCTGTCTGTGTAGCCCGGGCCCGTCAAACCACCCTATGGATGTCTAGAAAGACCTTTGCCCCGAATGCCGCGTCGGCACGGACGCCCAGGCGCTGCCTGAATTCCAACTTCCCAAATCCCCTAGGCCCCTGAAACAATGTACTAAACTTGCCAACCCGCGCCCGGCGACCTTTCGCTTCAGACCTATAATTGCCTATGTCAGAGTCCAGTGTGTAACAGGTTGAAAATCGTCCGACCTTTACGCAGCTTCTGGTGGCCCTGCAAAACTACGACAGTTGGTCAGATATTCTCTGACGGGGCATGAAGCAGGCAACGCGCTTGCGGAGTTCCCTCCCAGCTTCCACTCCCTTCCTGATCCCCTCTGCCGAGAGATTTGCTTCGTTTAATTCAGCGATACGATCTGTTGGTGTTACAAAAGTGTTTAAGAGAATTTCAACGTCATGCTGGGCGTTGATCTGAAAAATCGCACACATGCAGTGGATAAGCTCTGAGATGGCTGATTTAATAAACATGAATTTCCAGAAGCGATGTAAATTGTTCGACTGATTTGCCCTGAAGATCCTGCATTACAATTCCAGAGACGCTTGCTTTCACATCTCTGCTACGTATACATTTTGTGCTACTTACCGTTCCAAGGCCAGTGCTGGTTGCAATCGCAACCCTAAATTTAGCTCAAGCTTCCATTTTCGAGGTAGTATCAAGTTTTATACTGTGCGTTGAGCCTCGAGGCATCTCTATAAATGCATGCGTTTGGGTCCTACTATGACAGTCCAGCACTCTCCTTCTCATTCACTGATGTAACCTCCCAATGTCGCCACACCAACACCAAAAAACACATACACTGTTGCTATCGTACATCAAATTCAAAATTTCAGCTTAAGAGCCTAGTCTCTTCTGCCAGACCTCTTCCACCAAACCAGCCCCCATCGCTCGCATGTCCTCCAGAGCTGCCGATCTGTCGAGCTCCACAGCACTCACGACTGCTGCTGCGGCCTCTATTCCATTACTGACCGCAGAGCCGTTGCGCTCAGATTTCTTGGCCTTCTTGGCGGAAGGCTCTGCTGCTGTGGAGACTGCAGAAGTCGGCCGCACTGCGTGGCTGATCTGGACCACCAACTGATGAGGTGCCGACACCTGCAGGAGCAGTGCATGCATGCAGGTCAGCCTCCCAGCCTGGCAGGTTTGCATGCTTGCAGTGAATCCTGAGCCATTGCAATCTGGAATTTCCACATCCCAAGACATGCTAGGAACCCTCAAATATCAGTGCCTCATCTCAATGCAGATACCGTCTCTTCCTGGGAAGCACGAGACGGGCTCACATGCGACAGATCCTTTTCTTTTAGCTGGCATTCATGCAATAAAATTCCCCGCCAAAGACAGCATTATAAAAGTCGAGTCACCCCACCTGAGCGCTCCACTTGACCCCAACGAGTGGGCCGCCCAGAATATCTGCGCAGAAGGTGGCAACGCCGTCGAACCGCCGCTGCAGGCCGGCCAGGTAGATGCTGACTGGATCGAAGCCCACCAGCAAATCCTTTGCCACCCTCTCCGGGCCCCGCTTCCTCAACACCTCTGTTGACAGCCACAACCAGCAGAAGTCAGCAATCAAGAGCCTGCAACAAAATGTCACCCCAAGCAAAGTCTCTCTAGCACTTGAACTCTCCAAAGCTCCAGCAGACTGCTCTACGTTTTGGACAGCTCCGCATTTGAGGCTAGCAGCAACTGCATGCAGTGTCAAGAATGCTGCAACAGCATGCAGGATGACGCTATTCTCATAACTTGATATTGCATAGGTCTTGGCGTGGGTACATTGAGGGTTGTACATGAGGTGAACCATCAAAAAAATGGTGTCCCAGACACTGCAATCACCCACGCTGACGTGCAGCTAAAAGCAAAGTCTTGAAAGTGGCTCTGCAACACCAGAAGAATACAGACTTATACAGCGTGTGAGCTCGAAATTCACACACGAGCGGTGACTCACCTTCCGGCACAGCACGCAGCACAGCGCGGGCGCGCGCGTCCGGCTGTTCGCTGCGCGACCCTTCCATCGGCGCAAAGCCCCTTTTCCGCGCGGCATCTGCCAGCGCCTTCGCTCCCTGGGCCGCCCTGTCGGCCGAGGGAAGCGCGTCGCGCCGAAGCATTAGTAACGCATCAAAATCCGCGATGGCCGGGCCGAAGACGGCCGCGCGCACAGCCGCGGATGTGTGACGCCCGAGCTCTATGTGCTCCTGCGCACAGCCACACAAAGAACATTTGGAATATTTTCAATGAAACGTGTCCTATACGCTTTGCAGCATTAGGGCAACATCACCTCAGTTACAAGTACCACCTTCACCAGAACTTTATCTACATTACAGAAGGGGCTTTGGCCGCCGCGTGTCCAGGGCATAACATTATACACGCTCCAGACTGGAACACAACGTTGCCTGCCAAACTATCGGCCACCTTCAGTGCAGCTTCACGCATCCAACCCATCCTAAGGCTTGCAGACCAGAAATATATGATACATGATGCATGCTGCACGCTTATACCTGTATAAATACAGCAAAAACATCAATATTACCTGGAGTACGGTGAGTGACCGGCCCGCCAGAGCAGCGGCCCTCCGCACAATTGCGGCGCTCGGCCGCTGTCGGGTCCACGCCTCAGAGAGCGGGTCATAGGGGGTCACCAGTGCCAGGGACGGCGCCGTTCCCTCGCGAGCAGCCTGTGCAGATGAGTCAGCCTTTAGTCACCGGCCCAGTCAGCAGCTACACTAGATCCTGAGAGCTGCTCATGGGCTGCGCATTATACAAGTAAACGTAAGGAGCGCTCAGCACATGGAAGACAGCGTTCTAGATTTCTCTTGATGCACGGCATGGATTATTGGGTCCTTCGAAGGCATCTCTATTTTCTCAGTGAGAGCACAAACTCTCTGTTCCAAAGAAGGGCCCGTCCAATGACTGCATCAAGAGACGTCCAGACGCAGCCAGGCATAGGAGCGGCCAATGTGCACATACTTCACGCAAGACCAGAGAGGCCTTACACTTGTCACACATTACCATCTGTGCTCTAGAAAGCAATTCCATGTTCGTACCTTTGAAAGAGATGTCAGTGCAGCTGCGCGGTCGGCCTCTTTCATGCTGCTGTCAGGATCTACTACAACGGCGCGCGCCCCCCGCTCGCCCAAAGAGGCAACCAGGTGCAGAAACCGCATGAAGCCGCCCAGACGCGTGCCTGATCAGGCAACACAGAGGGATACTAATTAGGCGCGACAATCTTTTTGGCATGCATTCATGTTGGCCTGGCCAGGATTTCATTTTGAGTCTAACTCTGGTAGGGGTGCGGGTGGCTCAGGTCAAGAAATTCAACCATTTTTATCCTTGTCGTCACTGGAAATCTCAGTAGCGCGGATAACTTTGTCATCATTGCCGACAGCACCCTTCAGTTCCATAGACAGCGCGTGCACAGGACTCCTCAATCATACCTTTCCATAATATAACATTCCTTGCTTAGACCGCAGTGACAATGTGACCAGACAAGCAACCTTTCATCTGCCTATGGTTGCTTTCACATGGTAACATTAAGACCCGTCTCAAGGGTCATGCAATTTCGCTCACATCCAAAAGAAACCTCAACATGCCATGCATTGAAGTGCCACCATTGCAGGGAGGCAATCAGCAAGCGGTCTAAGCGGCTTGCCTGGCACTGGGAGACCGCGATCTGGGGAGAAGGCAGCCGCGGTGAGCAGCTCGCCGGCTTCCGGGCAGAAGTGGTTACTAAGCATCTGCGCGCCCAGCCAACGCTGCGCCAGGCGGGCGACTGCAGGTAACGCTGGTGCAGACCCGGCCAGCGCTGCACACACAGAATTACCAGTCACATTCAACATCCAGTCTGACAATGGACAATGAGAGAGGATATGCCCAATTCCTTTTGACACTGCTTAGAAGGGAAGGGACTTTCAGGCATTGAACAGGACACACCAAAACAAGGCCTTCAGCCGATGAGGATGGTTGAAACAGGATACATAAGGGTCTGCGAAACACTAATCAGCCACCGCCGATGAAATTTTCCAAATCTCCAAGAGAACTTCACGTGATTGGCAAATCCAGCCATTCGTCCTGTCCTAGCGCTCGCGTTGCCCTGAGTCTTGCATGCTCCCTGGAATTTTTCAAATCCCTAAAGCACGATAATTGAACAGACCTGACATGAGCCCGTGGTGCGCCGCTCGCCGCTGCAAAGTTGTGTGACTGGCGGCAGCCGCCAGTTGAGCGGCCGGCCCGTCCGGGAACGCATCCTCCCGGCTGCCCAGCTTGGCTGCCATCGCCTGGTCCCTGCAAGCCAGACAGACAGCAGCGCCTCTCTCAGTCACAAAGATCCCCTTCAGCACCCAACTTATCAATAGAGAAGTGTGTAAGGGATTACCAATTGACAGCTGTTATTTTTTCACGGGCCGTGTCCAGCAGACATATTCCCTCAATACAGCTGCAATTTTATTGACAGGCCCCTGCCAACACCTTCGGGGAAAATAATATTCATACTCACTGCTATCCGAATCGGCAAGTAGAGCTTCGGCTTTCTGAGAAGAGCAACTGCATGCTACCCTTCCTTCCTGCATTTGAAGCAGCGCACAGTGCCCCCCACCTTGGGGGAAAACAAGGCATGCTTGCAAGACCTGCAGCCGCTGCTTCTCAGAAGTCATATCATCCCTGCATGCACAGCAGAGCGCAAGCCCACCTGTCGCTGGAGAGGTACAGGCGGAAGGCGTAGCCCTCAGCAAAGACGTCCACGCAGTGCTGGGATGCCGACGCGCGCATGCCAAAGCCGGACGCCAGCTCATCCGCCAGCTGGCACCCCATGGCCGCCTTGGCCTTCAGGAACGCCTCTGGATGGTCAGGCCACCGCCCTGCTCACAACCACAAACTGTCATGCCGGATCTTTCATATATATATCATCCATTATCAATTCAACGAATTGTCTTTATATTGCTGAACAATTGTTGGGGACCTTACTGAGCACATATCCAGTAAAGAAGGCGGAAAATCCCATTGTCGCAGACTGCAGGGTGAGAGTCAGACTGTGAATGGTATCCCGCACAACATGCCTCCCTGATAGGGTAAAGTTTGTTGTCAGCCAGGACATCACAAGAGTCTAGACTAGCATGCACTGGATTGGTATAGAGTATGATAGCCAGGAATAGAGTATGAGGCAAGGCAGAGCATAATATAAAATAGCAGACTGGGGCGCTGGGGTCAGAAGCCAAGCGTTCAAATGGAACTTAGTTTCAGCGCGCGCCGCGGTTTGATCCATTGCGACGCGCTCAAACAGGCATTTCTCTCATCACTCCCCGCGCCCTAGTACTCAAATTCTACTACCTAATCTTACACTCGCCTGGGATGGCACTATGCAGGCTCACATGTTTTGACACTGCAGCTGAAGATCACACGCCCAAATGCCCGACACGATTTTGGGTTCTAAAATGTTGGCAATATTGGGGCAGTCCATCTAACAATCTAAAACCAATGTACACCTTCTTTTCATCCAGGATTTCCTCTCGATGTATATTTATATACAGCGGTCAGGGGAAGTAAGCAAATCCTACCTGAGCCCTCCAGCTGCACGAGCAGCTCCAGGGGTTCCAGGCAGCGGGGGACACGGCCGAGGTCCCCCCGGTCGGCGCCACTGCTGAGCTTTGCTGTGGCGAGCGGGTGGACCAGCGGGGGGAACGCCGCAGTGTCGCGCAGCGCAGCCGACAGCGGCTGCACCGACACGACGCGCAGCGGCAGCGCGGAAGCCGCGCGAAGCTTCGTCGTCAGGTTCCTCGCAGCCGCCGTGATCGTCCTGCCACATACACACCTCGCATCACTCCAGTTTGAGTGTGAGGGAAAAATTTCCCTTCCTCATCCATTTTCTCTTCCTCCTTTTTTGTCAATACAAAACAATGAGACTCAAGCTCAGTAGCATTGAAAAAACTGCCTCTGCCCTGGCAGCAAACATGAGGCCAGTGCCTTCCCAACCCCTAGACCCCTGGCAGGATAGATGCATGCAATATCTTGAAACTCAAGGCACACCCTCTCACAGTGCACAGCAGAGGCCACGCCATATCTTACAGCTTGCATGCAATGTGCAATACGGCGTAGATGGCAAAGTCCCGCACCTGTGGGCGCCGGCCAGGGCGTCCGGGGGCGTGCCCTTCTGCGTCAGCGCCTCGTCCAGCAGATCTGCGTGGCCGCTGACCTGTGCTTCCGGCCCGAGGTGCCTGGTTACGGCGTGGGCCACCGCCCTGTCTGCGATGGCGTGCCTGGTCGCAGACGCCGCCCCTGGCTGCTCCCAGGTGACTGCGTACGCCATGTAGCCATCCTGTTGGGGGAAAACAACAATCGATGATTGAAATTATTATTATTTGGTTTTAGATACCTGTTGGGAGCCACCTGAGGCTCATCGGTCTTGCGGGCAGTCTGTCACTGCCCATCTTCACATCACAAAACTTCTCGTGTGTCTGCATTCCGTCAGAAGAAGGGCAATTGTAATACTGTTCTGGCCCAAAAATGATAAGATCAAGAAAGGGGTCAGTCACAGAGGCAAAGGTGAGACACCTAGGGGCAGCGGCACAGCACACCCATGACAAGACTCCTGAGAAAATATGACGAGACGTGCAAAAAGCCAGTGTGCAAAATTAGCGACAGGGCTGGTGTGCAAACAAAGACTATGCGAAAGTGCCCATTCCCATGTCCTGGGAAAAGGTCATAGAATGGCCAGATACTATACAGTCACAGCTTGAGACCTTGGTAGCGACAGGCCTCTCCAGTTCTGTGAGGTGAAAAAATAAGAAACAATCAGCCGCACACCTGAAAGCGGGTCTTGTCAGCGATGTCTTCGCCCCAGAAGTCCAGGAAGGCGGCTGCTTTGGGGCTGTCCAGAGGCGGGCCCACGTCCTGTGCCCTCTGGGCAGTCGCAGGATCCATCTGCACTCGACACATAAATCATTTTTTTTTTTTGCAAAAAAAGCCGACAAATATTGTCATGTCATTGGTGTCACACTAAAATCATACGCCCTTCCTGCCAGATACAAGGTGCCAGAGGGCCCCATGCAGGATGCATGTTGTGCTTTGAACACCCAACACCTGCCAAAAGCAGGAGCATTGTTGACAGGCACTAAATCACGTGATCTCCGCAAAAGAACAGGTACTGCCCGGCTAATACCTCTCCCTAGTTCTGCCAGGATCATGCGTTTAAGTGTCAGAAAACGAAGGGGCAACATAGCAACTGCAAAAAGAGGCTGATGGCCCAAACAAGTTGCCATGAATCAGCTCTGACAAATTTGCTACCCTGACAAAGCACGATATTCTAAGCGTCGCCGGTGGAGTACCTGAGCAGCCAGTAGGATCTCCATCTTGTCGCCAGCTGGCACATCCCCTGCCAGACAAGGCGCGCCCTGCAGCCGCCGCCGAAATGCGCGCACCGCAGTTGCCCGTGCGCCCAGTGCTTGAGCGACTAACGACTCCACTCGTGACTCCAACTCCCTGTGAGGGAAAATATTCACTCAATATCTCATTACTGTTTTCTGCTTTTATTTCTGAGGGTATTTGCTTAGATTGCTGAAATGGACCTTCCGAGGGCCACTCCCATCATAAGAAGCATGTCACGATGTGGAATGGGGCAATCGTTCTCATCAGAATGACTTGCATAATATACCAGCCTTGCGGCAAGTGTTGCTCTTCTCTTTGCCAGGCAGCACACTGACTGCTCAGGGCGATACCAAGGGCAACGGTGTGATCCCATTGAGTCACAAAGGAGGTCGTAGAAGTCAGATAAGCCATTGCGCATACCTCCAAGGCGGGCTGTCATATTCACGGGATGCTGCGCTCTCCGGCAGGGGTGATGAAACGCGCCAGAACGCTTCATAGGGCGCGCCTCTTGCCTGAGGGGTGAGGAATACGGCCTCGAAAACGTCCACCGCGTCCGTCGGATGATCCAGCAGCGCCACTGCCCGCTTGGCCGCCTGCTGCGCCTGATCAGGCGCAGAAACAACACATGCATCAGCAAAGAGGGGCATTTCAAGTCTGATGACAGGGGATGTCACACCGCATCTCGGGAGGTGCACTTACTAGCCACATCTTGTGCTGAGCACCAGACATATCCAGTGAGGTCTGCCATCACGTCATTCCTGGTGCATGTCACACGTGACACTACATCTTGCAAGACGTGACAGGTGTTCAGCTCAAGATGGTTGTAGCCCAAACTGACATTGACAGGCTGCACATTCACCTGTCAAGAACAATCTTTAAATGGAAATCGTCATAACAAATACATCCAACCTGCCTGAAAGTGGTCGCTCACCTGTGCAAGGCCGCTCTGCGACACACGGGCAGCCAGATTGAGGAAGCCGCTGGGGTCGACAAAGACCGTCCCGTGCTGTTCCCTCCACACAGCGGCCGCCGGCGGCTGGCCGGCCGCAGCGCAATCCCGGCGCTGCATAGCAACGCCGCGTGAGAACGTGGCCGGGTTACTCAGCGCTTGCATCACCGCCCGCGCTGCCTGCAGCGGGCTCATTGCCTGCGTCTGCGCTGGCAGCACAACACAAGTCTCGCTACACATCACAATTGGCATTCACAACGTTTTTAAATTTTCAAGTTTCCCTGCAAACGCCAGCACACAAGCCTCATGAGGATGTGCGGCATGCGGGTGTTTGTGTGTCAGCCTACAAGACACCCTCATGGCTGCACCCCTCAGTCAGCTTGTGTGCTTTGAGATGGCACACACATATTGCACCCTTATCAGACACCTACAGTGAATATGGTGCCAGCATACATACAAGTTTTTGACAGCATCAGCGCCTGCCTATGAGGATTGCAAGACCAGCGTTGTTTTCGATTGCTTGGATAGAGATTATTGCAATGCGAGAAGACCGCACCATGGTGCCATTGTTGGCCAGTTGGGCGGCCAGCATCGACAGCAGGAAGCCATTGAAGGTGTCTGGCTCCTGCTCCAGTCCCTGCGCCCTTGCCCACACCTGCCGGCACCAAACAAATTTAAACAAAGTCCTCCATAGGATTCAGGGTAATAATCTCTAGCACACCTCAAGCATCGACAAACCCTTCTCCTTTTATGTATTCTCCCCTAAAACTGTCTACCTGGGGACGACGTCACTGGAAATGTCCAGCACAACAGACTCGGCTCTGGTGGCCAGCTGCCAGCACGACGAGAGCTGCTTCTCAAATATCCCCTGAACCACATGATAATTATATGCAGAGTATGCCACAAGAGCTTGTGTCTCCAAGTGGAAATGTACCTTCAGGAGTATGATGGCGTCTGCAAGCTGCGGCAGTGCTGTGATGGCCTCCTGGAGCGCTGCCTGGTGCACATCCGCTAGCATGTCCTGCCATGTAACATTACACCTGTTTAGTCAAGTTCCTGCCATGCAACAATATGGCACCAGGCAGATCTCTACAGCCGACACTGCCTCACAAGCCACGTTCCATTGCACAGCTGGCCTCACAGTAGATAGCCCAATTTCCTTTGGGACAAGCCATAAAGAGAGGCAACATTTACTTGCAGTCAAGCTGCCTCATATCCTACCCCTAGATAGACTCGGTGAGTCCTACCAATCACCCAATCAAAGCATGCATTATTGTGGCCAGAATAAGTTGAAGGGACAAACCTGCAGCAGAGCGGTGTTGTACAGCGGCGTGGGTGGCAGCTCTTTAGCGCGTTCCTCATCCGGGGCGGCCGCGTCGCCGTTTGTCGGCCGGAGGCAGTTGCGATCGGGCGCCAGTTTCTGCAGGGTGAACATCCCGGGGGCAACGGTGGGGATCAAGCGAATGGAAAAATGTAGAGGTTTGTCGTGCCCCTTGGGCTGCGGCCTGATTAGAAGCACTGGCTTCCTGCACACACCAAATATCACCCCTCAGACTCACAGAACTCTGCTGAGCTGTAGGATATGAACACTTGCATATGAACGGATGACATTTACATCCAATTCTGCATGAAGAAGAGCCTGACCTTCCGTTCCATTCAGGTGTGCTCACACAGCTAAGATGGCAAATGTTTGGCAGCAGCACAGAACAAGGAATTGCAGCGAGCATGTGGCAAAGGGCAGCACCCGCTATCCTCACAGCAATTTAACTTCGTGGAGTAAAGACAACGTCGCTCTACTCCTGCCACATGCAATCACAACATTCCCCGGACTTGTCCTCTCAACTTGACAAAGCTCATGATGATGCCCACAATGTCCGGTCCCTTCGCCCCATGCAGTCGGGCTACTCTACATTAGCTCTAAATCATTTTATCACAGTCTCCTGATATTGTGTAATGTCCAAGAAAAAGCCGCCTCGCACCTGGCGTCGTGGCCCAGGAACTCCCAGGAGACCTGCCGGAAACTGGGCTTCTTTCGCAGCGCGGCCGCCAGCTCTCCAAGGTACTGAGCGCGCCGCGCAAAGTAGCGGCCGTTCAGATGGTCCTTCTCGTCAAAGCAGGCCCGTGGCATCTCCACGGCAACATCCACTGTGGCGCTCGGCTGCGCCATTGTGCGCGCAGCCCAGCTGCCGATGGGGACGACTGAAGTTGGTGGTTGGAATCGCAGCGGCCGCTGCGGGCAAAAAGCTTCACATTATTACTCCATTTAATAAAACATTTCAGAGACCTGTTGGGAGCCACCCGAGGCTCATTGGTTGTAGGCAGTCTGTCACTGCCCATCTTCATATCAAAAACTTCTCATGTGTCTGCATTCCGTCAAACATTTGGCAATCCTGATACTGATCACTATGAGGCAGAATGCAAAGAGCCATGTGCGTGTGACGCGCTGGCGGCTAACAGCTTGGGATATATTTGTAAGATTTGTGTCCTGATGATCCACAGGACGTCAAAAAGGGAGATATTCAAATGCTAAGAAAGAAAACAACGATCTGCTGGAGCTGTCGAGCACAGGGATGTCCTGTTTGGGAGGGAGCCAGATGGATACATGGGTCTCTTTGTCTGAACATTGCACGCCTCAAAAGGTACACAGTTTCGCTTGTTGTATGCTTGTATCTAAGTTTCAGATGATGGATGATAATAAGGATGCGGTGACACCTTTGTGTCAGGGCAGGCCCACCTGAGGCATGCCATGAAGCTCTAGATATTGTTTCACTTCCTTGGTCGGCTCTGCGACGGTGCGCTGATCAATTTTGGCGAGTGTGGTCTGAAGCCTCCTCAGCACGGTTTCAAGGGCATCCTCCCGTGCATATTCCACCACACGCGCTGCCACAAGCTCCTTGGCCTGTCAGATGGAGCAACGCATTTTCTTCAAAGGCGGCCATTACTACTCACGTCGATTGACAGATGCTCATGAGTGCCTCTAGGAATTACCAATTCAATATGTAAGCGCTGTACAAATCTCACCACACGCTCCAGATCAACAAAGTGAGGAGATGGCAATATTAGAGAGATCTGTGCGTTAGCGATTGCAACCTTTTACTTGGATAACCTGATATACATAAATACAAAACTCATACAGGTAAGAAATATTCTGCAGCCCTCCCCACCTGCAGTTGCAAGAAGCCGCCTTCTGTGTGTGGGCCAGCATGGAGCAGCTGAGCCTCCTCCTCAGCGGTGAGGCCCGCCTCCTCCCGCGAGCGTTTTCTAGACATGGCTATCCACTTAGAACCATGGGCACGCAGCCGCCAGAACAAGCCTGGCAATCAAGTGTGACACCTTCGGACTTGGAGTCTGGCTGCTTGGATGCCAAAAGGGCAGCGACGTATCTGGAAGGGAAGTAATGGAATGCTGCAGCATGCAAGATTGCACCCAAATTTATGCAACTTTTCAAGGGCTGGAATGATGTTCTGTGACAGTGTACCTGTCTCAACTTGCAGAGACTTTCAAGTTGAAGGAACAGATATGGCAATTGTGTATCTCACATTTATGTCTCATATACGTCTACAGGGCAACCGGGCCGGCACTACCGCATAGTATATACCCGTACGGTGGTGTGATTACACTTCCCTTCTGCATATCATGATCATGACTAGCCATGGATAGACCCAGATTCAACCTACATCTACAGTTCAGCAAAGCCGTCTTGCATCTGCATACAAACAATAAGATAGCCCAATGACTTCACCAATGGCAAGTCATACTGATAGACATAAGCACCTTTCTGGTAGTCATGACCTGTCAGATGCACTTCCAAAAACGCACTCTAACACGGGTCTTAAGCACTTGTTTGGGATGAAATGTAAAATAAAATATGAACTGAACACTCTCGGCTACAGATCTAAGTCAAATCTACCACTTCAAAGCAACAATGCTTCTTTCTGCAGTGCTGATCCATGCGGCAGGAGGTCATGCCTGATCAGTATCAAATGCAAACGTCTGCAATCGTTGCTTGGAACATTCATTAAGGATGATGCAGCCCGGAGAGCACAACACAGCTGTCCAGACGAGGAGAGATTATGTAGTTCTAGAAGCCAGCATGCAGACCAGTGTCCGATGCATAGAAAGGTATAACACAGCAAGATTGGTTAGCTGTGATAAACAATGATGGATAATTGCTTGTTAGCAATCTCAGCATGCCTTTGCGCGATGTCAACATTGGATATGCACAAGCACTGTACACATCCAATGCTGGCATCACCATTCAGCAGAAAGACAGCAGTAATTTTCTGAAAAGGTTTGTGGTGGCAAATGCCTTCCCATAAAGGAGCATGTGGGTCTCAAAGTGACTTCCAGAGCAGCTCCCAAACCCTCAGTACAGCCACACAAAGAAATATCTTGAGTCCTAAGAATCAATTTCAAAATGGAGTTAAAATAAACGTCCAACAGACCACCTGGTTTCTACCAGCTATGCGCATCAAGAGAGGTTCATCACCCCAGTGCAGCCGTGCAAGCAAACAACTGGTTTCTTTAAAATCACTTTGAAAATGAACTCAAAACCAGCCCGCTGCTAACCATCTGAATGCACCCAGCATCCTTGGTTGTCAGAGAGGCTCCTCAGAACAGCTGCAGAGCATTGCTTCCTGGCAGCATCCTTGGGTGTCAAAGGGATCCTAGAAGAGCCACTCTACAGCCCAGCACAGCACCGGAAGGAATCAATTCATGCAGCCGCAGATCATCTGGTTCTTGGTTTTGTCGCCCGGGTACTGGTACAGAGTTCCAATCAGATCGCCTGCGACTGGGCGAGACGTGCCCGAGTAGCACATGCCCCCGTTGAGACCCTGCTTGAAGCAGTAGGGGTTGAGCGGGGTGCATGCATTCGGTGCATCATCCCGCTCAGCCGGCGCGTTGCACTTGCAGCATGATCTATCGGGGTTGCTGGTAGGAGGCGCAAAGTAGCTGCCAAAGACGCTCGCACTGTTGGTCGTTGACACGTAGCAGAGCGTGTCCAGCCTGCAGTCAGAAAAAGTCTTTCTCAGCCTTGCAGCTGTGAGAAGGTTTTGCCAACCCAAGGGGAATCCCCCCCTGGAGTTGGGCTCATGCTTTTGGGTTGTAGGGAGGAGATCTGGTCCGCCCAGGACTGTCTGCTGGTGACTTTCTGGCAAACATTTGAATCTAGCAGTCAACATAATTGACTGCCAGACTTACTAGGCAGATCAGAACTCCCTGGCATTGCCTAGGACCGTTGAATAGCGCTATCCGGGCAGCCCTTGATCTTTTCAAATCGGTGAGGCACTGTCAACCCCTGCTTATGAGCCAATGCGGCTGCGCTCATGCATGCATGAACAGAGCGGCTGAAGCCACAAAATTGGCTCAGTTCTCATGCAGGGACAACTTCTGACATACAGGCGGTGTCTTGAGGGTCCGCATCTGTGGAGCTCAGAAAGGGGTGGGATGCTGCTTCTTCCTGCAGTGTGTCCATAAGACAAACGGTGGCTGTCCAAGTCCTCACAGATGACCATAACTCCGCAAAATTGGCTACCTTCATATGTATTTGTTTATGGCTACGTTGCCATCAGGAAGTTGACAGTGTAGCTTTGAAGATCTGAACTGAGCCGCAAAAACAAGCAGGAAGCCTTTGCAAGAAAACCTACGTGGTATCGTTGAATAGCACCGAGAGGTCGGTTGGAAAGCGAGTCAGGTTGAACAATGCGCCGTCGGCATTGCTTGGATTGCTGCAATACTCCGCTGGTGGGCCGGGGGGACCGGCGGGGCCGGGGGGACCTGCGCAGAATTGAAATACAAATCTTTAAATCCCAACCAACTGTGCTGTCAGCATTCTTTTTTCACAGCATCCTCCTGACAACGTCCTAGCCTGGCATTAAGCCTGCATTGCATGTCAGCACAAGAATCCAGCTGCTTTGCAGACCTGTAAGCTTCCGTCTAAAATGCCGATACACACTTTCTGCAAGGCTGCATGCCACACAAGTTCCTGTCCCTGGCACCTTCTGCCAATCCGGTGTAACAGTTTTCAAGCGTGTGTTTCTGTTTGACATGGTCTCTGTGTCCAGAGCTCAGAATGTGCGGTGCAAGGAACAGTTGCATTAGTACAAGCAACAGCGGCAAAGGTGTCCAGAAGATGGATCCAGGCAAGCACCTGTCACAAAGAGCCCAGGTGCTCCAGTAGCGCCACCAAGACCTGTGCCACACATGCAGCATCATAGCACCGCTGATCGCATCTAATCAGGCATTTGCTCTGCGGACATTGGGTTCTTAAAAGGGCTCAACCCCAAGATCCCACTCGTCTCATGCCTATAAAAGCAGGATGTGTCACAGCCGACACAGCAGACTTTAGCAGAATCCAATGGCACCCACGGATGAACAATCTACATGTGCTGGATGAAGATAGCCCAGCCAAAGAGCAAGTAGGCAGCAGCACGTCCTATGAAGCCATGCAAAATATCACAAGCAGCAGCAAACAGCTGTATATGCTGACCAGCATGCCCTGAATACAGACCACTCTAGGCCACAGATGAAAAGACTTTCAGTGAAAGAAACACTGCTTGCTGTGCATGTTGCTCAGTCAGTAGAATCTTTTGAGTACTAAATTCATGAATTTATTATTACGGTAGTATCAATATATTTCACGCTTTTCCTGCCTAGAGGCAAGAAGCGTCCTGCAGACAGGCTGCAGTTAAAGGCTGCCACGATCCTAACCCTTGTTGGACTCGCCAAATCCAAGCAAGACTGCTCACTATTTATATGCCCCCTGCCAGCCGGGCCCTTGGGCAGGTGCTGTTCTTACCTGGGGTGCCTGGGGGCCCTGCAGGGCCAGTCGGACCTGCACGATGACAAAGTATTTTACTAATGTTACTATGCTGTGAATAATCATGGCCTGTTCAGGCTCTTCACTGGCAACTCCCTGTGAGAGTTGCAAATGCAAACAGCATCTCCAGGGGGACAAACAAAAACCAATCTCGCACCCCGTATGATAACAGAACGTGCTTTGCAGAATTTAAAAAAGCCAAAAGAGCACATGCATTTTTACCGCCCTTTATTCAGTAAGTGCTACAGAAGCAAGCTTAGCAACATTGCTCTCTGTGCAAGGTGTGCACATGCAGTGGGATGACAACACTCCTGGTACCCATTGACTGGGTTGCTGACCGCTGATATGAGCTGTGCAGAGCGGACTAATAGAGAAAAAACCAGAGACGTATTTATTGAACAGGAGACTCAATGAAGGACAGGAAGTGTCGGTATTCTGGTTGTGCAGCGATTCACAAATGTAGAGGGGTCTATGATGGTGCACACCTGCTTTCGACCCTGCACTGAAGGCGCCGGTGCCATTGGTCTGCGAGGGTGGCAAAAGGTTTAAGAGTATTTCTCTTGGGTGATCCGGACGGTTCAAACCCCTGGTGAAAGTATCTATAGACGTGCCATGCAAGATTCAATTTATGTCATGCATGACCAGGCACATATTGGTGTCAGACCTGCAAAGGACACTGAGCATCCTGAAGCCAACATGCCACCAGTAGTAAGTTTAGGGCTGTCAAATCCTCTTTGCATGCCATGCCTGGCAACTAGAAGGCATGTCGGCAGGACTCCAGACAGCATCTTGCGATTGAGATTTTGAGCTCAAGAAGCACACACGCTTGTGATCAGAGCTATATCAAAGCTGCTACTGGAGTTCAAGGCGACTCACCACCAGAAGAACCAATTGGTTGACGACTGCCTGCAGGCCGGTCAGCTTGAGCTGAATACTTGTGACATTCGTTTCCAGGGCTCCAATTCTGGAGTCCTGGATCGCCTCCATCTGGCTGCTAGTCAGCAGGCTGATTGTGTCGACCGATGAGCCACCTGCGCGCATGTGCAGGCATGACTGAGCTGGTGACCACGGTATGTGTCATGCCGTGAAGATGCCTCGTGATTCTTTCATCTGGTGAAGACGGCACTCTTATCCGGTCTTGACAAGGGCTTCTGAGTAAAATGCCTCGCTCAGTGGGTGTCTCGGATGGTGCTCTCTGGCATCCTAGGAATTCCCAGAGTTTCCACACTGTTTGGGCACAAAACTGGACTTTGTTTTGGACGGAGCAGAAGGCCATCCTCTAAACTAAGTCTCACCTCTGTACTGTCTGTCGACAGCGAAGTGCTCGTTGCCAACGGCATTTGACCCCGTTAAGGGGTTCAGGGGTTACTGAAGACCACCAGGCCCCTTCTTTGAAAACAGAGGTAGAAAAAGTGGGATTTCCCATATGGATATTAATAAGATGTCTATTTTGACTCTGATCCCATTCCAAAAAGTCCTTCGTCTGGTGAAGACAAAATTAACGATGGGGCAAACACATAAATTGCCTGCACCACTCGCAGAGGGCTGTGCTATAGGTATTCATCCAGCGTCAAAAGCGAAAACTTCTGATACAATAGGTTGCTTGACGCTCTTCCACTCTATCAGATGCCAACCGAGAAACTGCTAGGGCTAGAGACCCTCTGGAGTCGCATTCCCAAGTTCTTGTGGTATGAGACAAAAATTCTTGAAAGAGCACCGAAAAGAGGAGTCATACCTGCAGCCGTGTTTATCACTTGCTCGGCTTGGGCGGTTGCAGCCATGAGCACGGCGCAGAAGAGCGCCGCTCCTTTGAGCAGCCGAAACCCAGAATGGAACCTGTTCAACGAAACTTTCACTTTCAGAGAAATCTCACTGTAGAGCTTCCGGCACGCTTGCCGTCCAACAGTCCGTCTTGTCATGACATCGGAAACACACTGTTCTGCACAGCACTCTCAGTGGCTGCATACGGACGCTTTTTCGGATGGTCTCATGCAAAAATATCTCAATTTACTATTGTACGAATCAGGCGTGCGTTGTTTAGCTCATGTTGTTGCAAGCACAGAAGCACCGAGAGCGATGAGAAGCGGTCACCTTGCTGATGCCACCATGCTTGCTTTTGCTCGAGCGTGCTTCCCTTCAGGCGCAGCACGTACACCGTGAGATGTTAGGTACAGAAGTCGGTAAATTGTTCTGCGTTCAGCTTCTGTTAAATTGTCTTTTGAGAAAAAAGGGCGGTCGCCCGCGCGGCCGTGAAGTTCTGACGGACAAATTGTGTTACGTGTTGTCCCGGACAACACGTAAATCGTCTGAATAGAATGTAACATACATCTTGGGCTTCGTGCTGCTGTAGATTCGTGCAGACTTCGCATAGATCGCCTAAAAACATGCTTTGCTAGCAACCGCCGCAACCAGCTCCGGTTCTCTGCCAGTCCTTTCTTCCTTCAAGACCAGCGAATCCACGCCAGTCGCATTTATATCAAGCGGTGCGAGAATTTGTAACAGGAGACAGTCCTATTCGCCCTCCTGTGGACTCCCAGCTGCAGATGAATTTCGTCGACAGATGGGGCGATCATTCGTTTGCTTCTCTACAACGAGGGGAGGATGGACAGTACAGAGGCATAACCCTAAATTTTGTTGATAGCTGTGGCACTGCTTGCGTTGTTGATGTCGATTTACAACATTTTAAAGCACATGAGCTTCAGAAGCTCATATCCAGAGGTTGCGCAAGTGTTATCCTCACTGTGTGACTCCGAGTCACACAGAGTATCTGCAACGACTCAAGAGGTCGTTGCAGGCACATACAAAGTGCTGCAGTTCTCAGCTCTTTGCATATGCATGCAGCGGCAGTGTGCATGCAACATGCAGCACACTGTCCAGATCGATCCTAATCCTTTCTCCCTACATACCAAGGAGTCCAATTGTGCTGGGCATAGAAAACGCTTATTGTACCATCCGCCTCTCCAAGGAAGGAAGGCATGCATAACAGCAACAACAACAAAAACAGACAAGTTGAAAACAAGGCAATCACAAATAACCTTTGATCTCATAAGCAATGCCAGTTGCCAGCATGGAAAGCCGGTTGAAACATGTTGGAGATGCACTGGTCTCCGAGTCGTCTCTTTTAACAAAAGTAATTTTGCACCCAAAAGCCTTTGTTGGGGCTGGGGCATCTCACGCATGTCATTGAAGATGCTGTTAAAGATAAGGCCATGGTAGGGGTGGGGAATCGCTACAGTGTTTGGCGCAACAAGCACCTCCACATCGATATAATTAAATGTGATCTGCACACAGTCATTGTTGTAGCTATTCTGCTGGGAGGAGGCAGAGGCTGCCAAACAAGCACCTGAAAGGAGCCTCGTACCTGCAGTCTTATCGTCTTGTGCCTTGGCTTGGAAAGCTGCAGCTAAAAGCAGTGCACAGAAGAGTGCTGCTCCGTTGTATGACCCAAATCCAGCAGGGGCCCTGTGACCAACAACGTTCCATTCAGACACCTGTACCGGAGTAGTCCCCGTAGGCAATACAAGAGAGGGGCCCTTACCTCTTGCACAGCAATTATGGGATGTTGGCAGCAACAGGCAGGATTGGAGGCAGACAGATATTCTCTCAAGAGACACCATGGCACAGAGGAAGACCAAGAGCGAGAATGAGATTAAATCATGCTGAATCACAAGTCGTGTCGAGCTCAACGTTGAGCCTTGATATGAATACTTTGCTGCGACCACCATGCTTGCTGTTGCTCGAGTGCCACTCCATTTAGATGCAGCACCTGCACCTTCAAGCTGTCCACTACGGATGTGAAGGACCTATACAACATTTCTCATTTTTGTCGATGTTACCCTCATTGTGGGACGCCTGATGCAGTACATCATTGCAAACTGCAACCTGCATGTCCGCTGGCAGCAGTTTTGACCAGTTCATTGTGAAACTAGTTTTCCCGTAGTCTTCGAACGTCTGGTGCGTTTGTGCTGAGTTATTGTGCTTTACGGCAAAAGCCGCATTGCAAGCCACGATTGCCGGCAAACATGTCTCCACCACAAAGGGTGTGATGATCACTGTAGAGAAATTGCTGCGCATACCCCTCCACATGTACGGACCAGAGCACGCCAGATAACGCTCCGCGAAGCCCGGTCCTTGCAGTTTGCGGGCACAGCTCTTCTGAAAACACAGCAGGAAACACTTTCCAGGCTAGAAAATCGTGCATTCGCAGTGTTGGGCTGAGCCTCAGCCGCTGAGGTAGGCGTCGTTTAAAGATTTGAATTCGGTGTCCATATTTAAGGACCCTGGCGCAGGGCAAGTACGAGGGTCCCAGGTTGTGGTAGGGGCTTGCACAATGCACACACTTGAGCCTTGCCACACACTGCACGTCGAGTATTGTCTGCTGGTCTCGCAATGAGCAGCTGAGCAAGACATTACCTGCAAGGGGGAAGCGAGGGGGGAGCCAATAACCCCTAACATCCACAAGAATCTCCCGAAGTTTCTGAGTTTGGCACGCCCCAGCCTGCACGGCAATCCTCTTGTGGTGTAAGGAAATTAATATCCAGAACTCTCGTAGGTAAATGCTTTCCGCCTGCACGTTGCAATGTCTTGCTTGCACAAGGTGCAGATCTAGTAGAGGTGGCAGAATACAAAGTCCTGCACCTACCATGTAACCCACTGGTACACATTGGTACATCCCGTGCGCTTTTCAAGCTTTTATTTTGCTGGTGGCACTGCGCACAAAATTGTTGGTGTTCTAGGGACGTGGGATGGGCTGGTCAGAAGAAGTCCATGCTCGTCGACTTCTTGACCTGAAGGAGAGGAGAAAGAAGGAGAAGAGCGCTGGGAAATATGCAGTGGCGGAAATAAGAGGCAACTCAGGCAGCCTTCCAGTGGCCATCCTTGTTGGTGAACTCTCTTCCTTGGCACCTCCAGTCATGCAGATTGTTAGATCACCAGTGTTCCTTGTCACTCCATGAGCTCAAGAGTCCCTTCCTACAGTAACAATCGGAAGGCCATACGTAAGTCCTTGAAACGACTGCTCTTTATGCCCGACTGAGCACAACGCAATGTCCTAATGGAGTTGACTCAATGCAGGCACTGTGGCGTCAGTCGTGGCGTGGCGGAAAGAAGGGCGCTTTCTGCGTGGGAGGGACGTGAGGCGGATACCATACATTGGCAGCTGGTTGGCAGAACATGTGCCCAGGTGGCGAGATGACTCGCCCAGGAAGAAAGCTGCAGCAGCTGCCGCCAGGCGAGCCAAGGTGTGCACCTGCACCTCTTGTACCAATACCAAGAGCAACAATTGCTCACAAGGCAGTAGGCATGGAAGAAGAAGGACTTTTACTTAAGTGTCTACTAGGAAGTGCCAGAAGAGGCAGCTGCTGGCCTAGTGTTTGCATCTGGGGCATTTTTCATACGCATGCTGTCTTGAGCAGCAAAACATCTGCACTGCAATGACATCACTCAATGCAGGCCACTACAGTATTGTCCGGAATTGAAATGCTTGGTGCATGAGTGCCTTCATTTAGGCATGCATGATGCCATGTCACAGCTGCCTCCGCCGTGCTGCACCAAATTGCAGACATTCACCTCGCATAGAGGATGTTGCAACTGCAGTGGTGGTCACTACGGTTCCAGAGGAAGGAGCAAGGGTCTGCAGGGCTGCAGGTTCCGCTCATCCTCTTCATAAGTGGATAGGATGACACGTTCATTTGGGAGAGAGGGAGCAACAAGACCAACGGCTTTGTCAAGGTCATAAATGTCGTCTAAATGTCTGCTGCAGGCGCAGAGCAGCTCTGGCAGATCAGAGGCGACGGCGGCATTTGAGGCAGTCAGTGCGCTGCATGCGCAGCAGCCGACAGCGCCTGTTCAGGCTGCAGCCCAGTCAGCATCTGCTGCCACCAGCAGTAGTAACCCCCGCGCCGACTTCCTGCCGGCCTCCGCGCAGCAGGGCACCCCCAAAAAGCCGCGCAACCGCAAAAAGACAAAGAGGAAATAGGTGCTCTCTTTCTGGATTCTGAGCGGCATTATTAGAGAAACTTTCTGACGTAATGAGAATTATAGCACACAAGCGGCAACGGAGAGCATTGCCGGCCAAAGAGCCTGTGTAGCAAAAGAGTATCACCTCCTGCAAATTATTACCTGCCTCTTGCAGGCGAGAGGTGACCGCAACGCTTCGATAATGGTTGTGAGCACGATCAAAGAATTGTGCAAAATCAGTATAAACTATTGGAGGAACACCTCAAGTTTAGGCAACAAGGATGGCCTTTAGAATTTGGTGAAACTGATTGACCGGCAAACTGGTCAGCTTGGTTGGAGGCATGTATGCAAATTTCACCCCCAGCTCTGCTCTAAACAGACCAAACTGCGACCTCTACCAACCTTTCTTGCAGCGCTGCGAAGGTGGGACCTCTAATTGCAGTTACTAAGATCCACAGTAGTCCAGAAAAAAATGTCCTACTAGTACTGTCTGATATCATGATATCACTATCAAGTTGATAGTATCAACATGGCCGCTCATTGGCGTTTTTCCAAGTCTTTGAGTCCAATGTAATGCCGCACAATCTCAGCATGCCTCAAACTTGTTGAGACAGAGACCCTGGGAAGATATCAAATCATCCTGATATGATATCTTCATCGATGCGGATCCATATCTTCACTAGTGTGCTGGACTGGGTACCCACTCTCAATAAAGGTACAGGCTTGAGCTCTTCATCATTCTTACAGTACTATTCTTCTTTTTGCACCAGCAGAGTTCTTCGAAGCTCAAGATTACATCCATAGCGTGCGCTTGACTGCACCCCATGCAATCGTGATGTGATTTCGGTCTTAGCAGCCGAGCTGCTTGCCTGCTGTTCTGAGGGCATGGCAAAATATTGATGCAGTTGTGGGGTGGTTGCATGTTGTTGTGTTAGTGTCATGCAATTCTAAATCACGCCTGCAGCAACACAGTATGTGGAAAGGCGTGGGCCGCATTAACAACATCTTCAGATACACATGTATACACTACGTAGGAGTGAGAACATTTGAAAATCTTGGTTAACAACCATCATCACGACATGGCGTGATGTTTCACGAGTCCTTGCATGATCCCGGGATAACAGGCTCAGGCTCTCAAGATATCAATAAACACCCTAATTGCAACCGGTATACCAATATTACGTAATAAGAATGAGACCATGTCTGACTGTGCACACATGATTCATGTGCTTCTCATAAGTTAAAGGGGTCTTGAGGCTGTCAGACCTCAACAGCGGCCTGAACAAGCGCTGCCTGCTCCTGTGCATGCACCTGCAAGGCAGCAGAGCACAATCAGCACACTTGGGATTAAATATTATATTACCGCTGACACAAGCCCTCACACTCTCCTGCTGTCTACAAGCCAATGCGGCAACGTTCAGTTGAGGGCCTGGATTCCAGTATACGAGCAAAGAGCTTGGACAATTCATTGCCGAGGAGAACAAGTAGTGCATGACAGCACCACGGAAGCTGCAAAAATGCAGGGATCGGGCAACAGCATGTGCTGTGACTGATCTCCACATGCACCGGGCAGAGTCACTAGCACAACCTGCACTTTTCGTAGTCCAACACAGGGAAAAGGAGAACTTCATATGCATACACAAGAATCCAGAGAGAAGGAGCCGCAATCTGTCCCTTTGAAGCTGCCAATCCTTCACACCTGGCCTCTGTTAGGAAAGCGTGCGATGGTTACTGAAAGAGAAGTTCTACTTAGGGGCCCCCCACCTTGCCGAAGCCGGTGGCGGTCGATGCGCAGGGGGGTCTGCCAGCATACTGCAGCTGCATGGGGATGGGGCGGTTCTCCTCGCTCATGCATGTCTTGATGCGCTGGGCCACGTGGAAGTAGGCGCCCATGTTCATCGGCTCCTCCTGAGCCCTGTGCACAGCAGAAGACAATACATCAATGCCTAGTTCTCCCAGGAATTTCACGCCAAACAACGCCGCCTGTGGTGCAGGGGACTGCTGACTGCGTGTGGCTGTGTGGGGCAGCTGCAGGTAGCAGAGCTCACAGGACTTGACATTCAATGGTCACAATGAGCAGTGCAAGTAGAAGCGGCACCACCAGGAAATACTGTGCATGACTGTTCCTCGCACACTTTTGTTCAGGGGAACACCCATCTGGCCAATACCTCTTCAAGGCATGGCTTCCCACAATTTTAATAAAGGACGATTGCACGGCATAGGAGCGGCCGTAGACAATGGCTTTTGACACAACTTCAGCAGCAGTCGTGACATCAGCGGCGCGGTCAGCGGTGACTCACCAGAGAATCTCGGCATTGGGGTAGCGGCGCAGCTCGCGCATGACCAGGTCGAACGGGAACGGCGCCAGCTGCTCCAGACGCACCAGAGCCACCTCTTTCTCTGTGCCTGCCTTCTCCCGGCCCGCCTTGAGCTCATAGTACAGCTGCAGGCACACCGCAGCACTGCTGATATTTTATCAAATTTATTATATTATGTTATGTTTATATTTCATATTCATTACATTATATTTTTTGCCCTAAAACCCAGGTCACCGTCTTGCCTGAGACAGTTCTGATGAAGACTCAGGGACAGAATCTGCTGCCCAAAGCTGCTCAGGTCCAGGGACATTTTCGTGCGCACATGCAGCGCGGATCTAACAATCCGACATATGCACAATCTCCATGCTTCAGTCGACTGCCCTTGAGAGGCCCCTGGCACAACGCTGGCCCAGCGAAACAGAGGGGACAATTCTGAAGCACATGAAGGCACCGAGCATTTGCTGGTAGACTTTCAACAACAGCCAGCCATGTTCCCTACCAGTGCAAACCACATTGCTTGGCACTTGCTTGCAGCGGCAGGAATGCGGTCATACATTGAGTGTCAACTTGCAAGCGCACCTTTCCAGAGCAGAAGACGAGGCGCTTGAAGCCTTCTTCTTTCGGCGGGTGGGGGTGGCGGTCAGAGGCGCTCTCATCCATGATCAGCCGCTTGAAGCGCACACCCTGGATGCCCTGCACGTCCCCGGCAATATATACCCTAAGGGTAACGCCAAGATGCAATATTTTGAATCCCGCAGGGCCACTCCCTGTGGCGGTTATTAAGGTGTATTTGAACGCTTTTCCTGCCAAGAGGCGCGGATATATTATAAGAAATCTTCCTTCTGTGTGCTACCCTGTATTTCTGGACAGGACGCAGGGCGCCATCAGAATCCAGTTTCAAGAGGCCTGCACGTGGCTGAGGTGCATGCAAAAAGGACAGTACATAAGCACGAGCACACAATTTCTGCACTATGTCCTTCAGCCAGATCCCAAGACGAGGCCCTCATATGAGCCTTAGCTCATCTCCGTCCTTCTAGCTCAAAAGGATAGTGACCAGCCCTGTAAGCTGGGTGGAGGCTGCCTCCTCTGAAGAAAGCATGCGCATACCCATAGCCCTTCTGACACATGACACAAGGGGCTGTTTCCTCAGAACGCATACCTTGTCGTCGGGGATCTCGTCGAACTCCCAGAGGCCGGACTTGGCCTGCGGGTGGCGCAGCAAATTCTTGGGGGACATCACGATGAGGGGCTTGCGGAACTGCCGGTGGATCTGCCTCCGGAGCAGGTGGAAGTAGTTGGCCGGCGTCGTGCAGTTGGCAATCTGCGCACACATGCAGCCACAGAATTCAATATAATGACAAGCAAGCAGTCTCTCTCATTTTCTAGCGAGCTGCGGAGACTTCAGATGACATGCTTTGCTGACATGGCGCTGAGAACCTCTGAGGTTCTCCAAAATTCCAAACCCCTAGAAGGAACTTTTGCTTTGTATGTAGAGGCTAATTGCGCGTGTGCATGCGTGCAAACACCTCAGAACAATGGCCATAAAAAAAATGGCAAATCTGGGTGGCGTCAGGGTGTTTGCACACAGTTGACTGTCAATAACTCCTGCACATGACGCGCTGCGTGCATGTGCGCAGCTTCTGGCAACGAATTAACCAGAGGTCCAGTCAGACGTGTGACACAGGTGACGATGCATCATATGCCAAGCAAAGGCAGCCACTGCTGGGAATATATGGAGCCTGGATAAGAGTCCAGTCGAGGTCTTGGAGAGATGACTCAGATGTTCGTGCAGCTCTCTGGCTGGTCTCACATGCTGTCCTGACCTCTAACCTGTGTGCCCGTGTCGGTTTCATGCTATTATATGCAGCTCATCATTGCCAGGCATGCATGCGCGCGCGATTAGTCACCTGCCAGTTGATCTTTTGGATCTGGCCGCCCAGGTGGCCGCCGGAGAACCACTTGGACTCGTCCACCTTGGGGACCTCGTAGGGATTTTCGTCCACCATCTGCAGGTACCGCTCCAGCCGCGCACTGCTGTGCTCCGGGCCCTGCGCCAGATATCATGTTCTTTCATGATTCCATTACGGTTATTTCTACTGAGATGCTATTCCTGCAGGAAAACGCAAGGTGCACTTGTACGCAAGCTGCAGGCTGCCATATATCCTATTGCTGGACTCGCCAGACCCAAGCAAGACCCGCTACACTGTGGGCGCAATGCTTAGTACATGCATTGGTCCCTGTTAGCGGGGCAGCAGGCATGCAGGTCGTGCAACTCACTGCCTGCATCATGTGGGGAAAGTTCAAGAGGAGGGGCAAACATAAGACAAGCAAGCACTGCAAGCCATGGCAAGCAAGCACCTTAAGGGACGTCCTAGCTTGCCCCTGGGTGAGCTACTCAGTAGGGGGCCTGGCAATTCTGACTTCAGAGTAAAGATCAACGCACGAGACACACTTAATCTGCCTGCGCACTCAGAGGGAAAGGATGCGCGCCTGGCCGTCGTAGCCGTGGGGTAGGAGCACGGTAAGGCCGTTCTGGCGCAGCCACTTGGTCTCGCCCGACGACATGAACTGGTCAAATATCACCTGCGCGCGCGCACACAAGACTCTCGAAGGTATGCTCTCTGTTTGAACGGAATGTGGCCGTGAGAGCATTCAAAAAGACATGCAGCAACCTGGGTCTGCTAAAAAACCTGCGCCATGTGGAGCAGCTGTCAGAAAGGCTGTACTTGGTCTGCAATGGAAACCCAGGAGACCATGGCAAGCCCATACAGCCTTGACGACAAGCCACAGATGGATTGGGACTCTTCTTGCAACCCAGGTTCCCGCCGCAAAAACTTTTGCAGCAAGTAAACAGCCACCCCATGCTTAAGGTCATCCTACTTCTGTTGGAATACAACCCTGCATACCTAGAACTGCATCTATCGCGCAACGTGCAAGCAGTGACATCTGCCTCGTACAGTAATTGTGCCCTCAGCTGCATTCAGACAGAAGCAGGGCTGTGAATAAAGCAGAACTGACAGCAGAGAACTCATGCACATGATGCCATCAGGCGCGCACCTGGGCGCCATTGGCAAAGTCGCCGAACTGGGCTTCCCAGAGGACGAGCGAGTTGGGGTTCTCCAGCGCGTAGCCCAGCTCAAAACCCAGGATGCCGAACTCGGAGAGTGAGCTGTTGGACACCGTGAACTGGCCCGGCTTCTGCCCGCTGAACACGTGGCTCAGCGGCGTGAATGACTCCCCCGTCACCTGCGCGGCGACTCACCCTTAGTCATGCATTCAATGGCGCATGACCTGCCTTTGCATGCATGCTCTAAGCCATGTGCACTGTAATCGAAAACTCCATTGATCCCTGACAGTCCAGCGGAAGTAAGAAATCTCCTGACATCTCCAACAGGCACCGGTCAGTCCGCAATCGCAAGGTACTGCTATGGCAAACCTTACGCAAGCTGACGGACGCTGCCAGCTGGAATTGCCCCTCTTAACAGAAATGGTGGCGTCGTTCGCATTAAGGATGAGCAAGTCGCTTTAGAGGCCATGCGGCGTCATTGCAGCCCGCTTATGTGTCATGTGCATTGGAACTTGTGAGGCAATGTTGGCATTGCAACAGGTAACCTGGGCATCACGGCAGGAACTTGTGGAACCCAGCCAATTTGTTCCATCGAACTTGGAATGCCATGTATGGGTTCCCAAGCCGACAAGAGCCTGCTAACTTGCTCCTGACACACCTGATCACCCCGCTAGCACCAGACAAAACATCTGCAGGGAGCAAGTACAGCTGACTAGGAAGTTGTGTGAGCGCCCACCTGGTCATGCACGACTGCATGGCGGTGGCTGAAGGTGCCTCGCTCAACATCCTGGCCACTCAGCCGCACGTGATTTCCTGGACACGCAACCAATATATGTGACCAACCTCCAATACGGCCCTGGGAATCCTCCACTATTCCAACCTTCCGAATGCCATAGAGAATGCGCCCAAGAACGTGTCCCAGGTAACATGCACACAGACTCGTACAATGCAGCACTCGAGGACCACAAAGCAGGTCACAGCTCACACCCAGCAGAACCTGCCGTACAAATGCACACAGAACATAAGAATCCCAGGCAAGTGTGACGCTCCCGCGATGACAAAGCAAACAGAGCCCACCTCCGCTAAGGAAGGTGCCGAGTCATTATTGACCAGAACCTGGCATGTAGAGACAAGCATGCTCCTGCAACAGTGTGGAGGATTGCGGCACAAACATGACGACACGTTGCTTGGCTTAAAAACTAGCGTACAGAGCCCACCTTCAGAGAGCAGGGTGCCGAAGGCGAGTGCTTCGGCTGTGCCCCAGTCAATGCCCTCCCCAGTGTCAATCATCTGGCGCCGCTGCTCGTACACTCGCTTGACGCCCTTGTGCAGCGTGAATCCCTCTGGCACATTCGTCAGCGCGTAGCCCACCTACGCGCGCATTTCACAATGTATTTAGGGCATAAGGACGATCCCGCTATGTTGCGTCCACCCAAATTGCAATGTTTTTGAATCGCCACATGCATACAAGGTTGATCTCTTTTCACTGCCACACCTTTGCATAGTCAGTATGCCAGGCTACAGAAGACCCTGAATGAAACAGCAAGCCGCGTAGGTTGCGAGAAGTTTCCTTTCTTTATCTCGAACCCATGCAGACTTTCCGCTGCATGACACCATTCTGTGGCATGCAGTTTGCAGCAGCATGATGCGGTGCACCCGTCAGATAAAGAATTCTGGCAGGAGATATGAAGGATTGGTTTCTTAGAAGTGCAGGGGCAGCAGGGTGTCTTTTAGTGGCGTTCTGAAACCAATGTGGCTTTTAACAAATAAACAGGACAATTTTTGTGGCGCATGAAGCACCTGAGGGTGTCCCACTTTGAAGCCACGATTTGGCTTCTGAAGATTCATTCACCGTTGCAGGAAGCCACATTTCAGCCCTTCCAAGCAAAATTACGCCCCAAAACACCAATTTTTGGAGAAAACTCCTCAAAATTCCAGCTTTCGTGGCTTAAATCTTTCAATTCAGGCATATGTCTGTAGCCACATTGGCTTCCAGCCAACATCCTTAAAAAGAAACATTGGGGCCCCTGGGGCAGAGGGGGCCGGACCTCCTTGAGGATTTGGAGGGGCATGCACTGTGCGAAAGCATGATCCAAAATACTGGTACATACAGGATCGTGCCAGGAGAGAAGAAGAATGATCCCACGGGAGTGGAAGGGGCAGAAGGGCGCGCACCTCCTTGAGGACACCGAGAGGCATGCCGGTGTTTCGGATGCGCGACATCTGGCTGGGCGAGTTGTAGCCCGACCAGTAAGACGACAGCCAATCCTTCGCCTGCAGAGCACGGATCAACTCAAGTCAGATATCTGACATCCTGGGATATACTGAGGGGTGAAGGAGAGCGCATTTGCAGCGCACAGGCTTGGCTGTCCGGCTTTCACAGCTCCTATATTGCTGTGATAGCCATGAAGTGTCACCTTGCCCCGAGGCAATGCACCCTCCTGCCAGCAAGGGTGATTGAGTTCTCGCTAAAGAGCACCACCAATCTGGTGGAAACTTATCAACACGAGCCACAGGAAGCCAGTAATTCGCTTCACTGCCCTACCCAGAGAGCCTGCAAACCTCTCTACCTCTCATATTCGTGCAAGCTCCTATTTGAACGGAAGTGCACCCTTAACTTTAGTTATTGCTTCAACAGCGGCCACACAATTCCAGTGGCTGTAGAGCTGCCATATAGAGGATCCAAAGTGCCCATCTAAATCCCTGGCTATTGCAAGCCCAAATCCGAAATATATATAACATTTAGGTGGTCCCTCACCTCAGGCTTGTAGGTGCGGGCGGCCTCGAATTCGGCGCCCATGATGCCGGACACATGGTCTTGCAGCTGTTTCAGGTCCTCCTGCTTCACAATCCCCTCCTCCAGCAGCTGCTTCTGGTAGATCTTATACACGTTCTCCAGCTTCTTGATTTTCTGCGAGCATCCATTGTAACACCATCAACCCAGCAGCATGCATGCATGGCAGCGAATCTTGAGGGGGTGCTGACGCATGCAACAAGGACCCCAATCCCTATATCAATGTCCCAATACAAGTAAACCAGAGTCCTGCTTGCTTGCATACCTCCCGCTATCTCTCCTAATCATCGTTTACTTGACTTCAACAGTCTCCCATTTTGACGGTTTGGCATACAGTGGAAAAGCTACAAATTTGAGGTGGGCATACGCTCGACACGTGCAAGTTCATCGGGGGTGAATCCACCAGAGAACCGAGGGGGCGTGACAACAGAGCAGTGGCTAATCAGCAGCCAGAGAACAAACCTTGTACATGAGGGGCTGCGTGAAGGAGGGTTCGTCGATCTCGTTGTGCCCATAGCGGCGGTAGCACACGATGTCCACGACCACATCACTTTTCCAGCGCTGCCGCCACTCGCCCGCCAGCTCGCACGCGCGAGTCACGGCCTCCACGTCATCGCCGTTGACATGCAGGATCGGCGCGTTGAGGGACTTGGCCACGTCCGTGCAGTACGGGGAGGATCGCGACTTGCGCGGATCCGTCGTGAACGCCACCTGACAGACAGCGGAGCCTGCTATAAATTACCCAGTACTGAATACTGGTCAAGATATCAGAGGAAGGACGTTCTCCCATAGCACCAGACATTTATTAAAAAACAGTTGTAAGATCAAGGGGATATTTGAATCCTCGCTATCTTACTTAGATCACTTGGTGCACTTGGAAACCAAGTGCACCAAGTGCACTTTTTTTTTATTTAAAACGAATCTTGAGAACAAAGAAGGCCATGTAGCAACCACATGGCTAGAAAAATCCCCGCATGCACACCCGTGGGAAAAAGGCACCCTGGCAGCTGACTTGCATGCAGCTCCACACACCTAGTCTCAGCCCGTGTGAGAGAATCTCATGCCACAATGCAGCAATATTACCACATGCATGCCGTTCAAGCCACACAACCCCATGCCCTGTGCCTGGCTCTAGTTACTCACTGTGCAGCGACAAAAATAAGCACCTGGTTGTTGACCACGATGTGGATGACGCCGCCGACGGTGTAGTCAGGCAGGGCGCTCATGTCGAGGGTCTCATAGACAACGCCCTGCCCCGAGAAGCTGCCGTCTCCGTGCAGCAGAATGCCCATGTTGCGGTCGCGGCTGGCGTCGTCGCTGTAGTACTGCTTCGCGCGCACCTTGCCCACCAGCACCGGGTCCACCGCCTGTGCAGAGCCAAAAAGCACAAAACTCAGCGCCAAACCAGGCAACATGCCCGCATAGGACTAGCAGGGGGCGTGTGACGTAGAATTCTATTTACCGCGATCCAGCTCAGCCATTATTGGCTCTGCACAAAGCATGTGAGGGGTCTCCTACGGGGTTCCCTGTAGTGCCTTCAAGTTTTCTTTCTACCGCGCCGGAAATGGCCCAAGAAAGAGGCCCAATGCCTCAGTCGGCAACAGCGCCAGAACACCCTCAAAGACAGCTGGTGGTGCGCTTGCAAACAGTAGATCGGACTTTGAGGGAAATACTGGTGTGCTGCCCGAACAGGCCTCAGCATCAAAATAGGCGTCATGCCAAAACAGGCGTCCTGCCCTCCTGAATCAGCTGCCACTTGAAAAACACAATTTTTTAATCAAGCCAACTTTGAAGTTCCAAGGCACGCATGCCATTGCTGATTGCCTTCAAGTGGCACCACCAAACAAAGGTTATGCAGCGAGATACAGGACAAATTAATGCAAATAGGCCCAGGGTAGTTCAGGTGCCCATGCATCCAGGGAGCTAAAAACACCCCAGCCTGATCACATACATGGATCCCGTCCACAACCACACAACAATTGTTTATCGGTACCGCACTCATTCTAGTCTCCAGACCAGTGCACCATAACCAGTGCACCATAACCTTGAGACCCAAAATCCAATAGCCAGCCCAAAACCCGGACCTAAAACTTCCCAAGGGGATGCAGCCGCACCGAGGCATCTACCTGCCCGCTATTTGAATCCTGGCCAATGCTGCCAGGGGCCAAGAAATCATGCTTACCTCGAGATGAGAGGGGTTGGCGAGGAGGGACAGATGCACGCGCTTGCCGGAGGTGGTAGGGCGGTCATAGGAGGTGCCCAGGTGGTACTTCACATCGCCGGTGCCGGACCACTCGCCGCCCCCGGACTCGGGGGTCACTCCGGCAAACTCGCTGAAGATCTGACGCAGCGGCTTTCGCACCACGTTCGCCAGCACATTCAGCCGGCCTGCGCGCAGGAGCGGGACCCAGGCTCAGGCAAAAGTTTGGGTGCGAGGCAAGGAGATAGGGCGCAACAAGTGCAGAACCAGGTTTTCCACCCATTCCGGCCTGGCACTCTTGACAGCAACTGAGGAAATGACCTTGGAAGCGTCGTCTGCCAAGCAGATGCATCCGCCCATCTGCCCAACCACAAACTGTGCAAGGACATCTCGCAGTTCCCACCGAGAGCGCCAGCCCACATTCAACGGTATCTCTAGTGAGAGGGTAGGGGTACATGCAAGAGGTCCCCGTGATGATTGCAAACGAGACAAGTAGATTCAATGCAGGACAACCTTGGTTGCATGCAGTCTTGTATTCTACTGTTATATTCTGCGGTCAATTGCATTGCGGCTGGGGTGCAGTACATCAGTGCAGACACCTCACCTTGGTGAGGCATGCATGCAAGAACTTCCAGGGCTGACCCCACATTCCATCAGCAAGTCACAGTTCTCTCATTTTAACCACTGACTGTACTATGCACCAACAGAAAGTGGGGCATTCCCATGGCTGCAACATGCAAGGCACGTGACAGGCACATGCTTGAACCAAAGCGTGCATGTAAGAACTCAGATTGTGATTATCTCTGCTTGAATGGGAGGGCGGAGGCCTCACCTCGGTGGGGCATGCCCATGACAATGGACTCGACGCCCTGCTCGGTGCTGCGGTCGATGAGCGCCTTCATGCCGGGGATGAGCGTCTCGCAGCCCTCCAGGCCAAACCGCTTGGCCGCCGCAAACTTGTTCGCCAGAAAGCTCTCGAACATCTCGCTCCATGCCAGCCGGTCCAGGATCTGCAGCTTGCGCTCCGGAGTGTACTTGAACTGCGCAGGGCGTACACACCGGGTTTATTGTACAATACAGCGCCAAACTATGCCCATTCAACTCCCGGCCATTGGGTTTCTGGGGATTATGTGTACTGTGATATTACTTGTGCCCAGGCTGTGTTCGCAAATGCTTTCCAGATAAAGCACGCAACAGGATGCCTGATCCTCAGGATCCAGTTGCGTCATGCACTGAACCAACAAAAGGAGTCTGGAGGCAGTCAATCTGTGTTATGCCCTGCTGTGTGGACCAAAACCACACTCCGCCGGCGCTGCCTGCCCTTGCTAAGTCTGTATGTGACAGCCCCAGGAACGAACCAGAGTATTGCCCATGCCGCCATTCCTTTAGCAGTCCCACAACCGGCAAGGGCTCCCAAAGCCAGCAGATGTGGTTATGGTCCCCTTTGCAGTGAATTTCCCAATGAGCTGTGTACAGAGGCGCTCACCTCCTCGGCGGTCTCGATACGATCCCTCAGCCAATTGCAGTGCTCCCGGTCCGGAATGTGCATGTACTGCGCAGCACATGCAGCGCCTCACGCGACTTATCTTGGCAGAATTATGGACAACTGACTATAAAGTGATAGGCTGATGTATGCATCTTGCTGTGGAATGCCGCTTCCCAGGTGCTGCAACCCTTAGCAGTGGACTCCGGAGCCATATTCCCTCAGTCGAGCACTTGCATGAGGGTGCATTGCAGCACAGAATACACCAGTCACAGCACAGAGTGGACGGGTGGTGTTTGAGGAATGCATAGTTGCACCATACGCATCCGACCATTTGGCAAACGGTGAAGATTCGGTCGTATGTTCGGTGTTTTGGGCCAAATTAGGCCGTTTTTGACCGTATTCCGTATATTTTAATACCGTATGACCGTATTTTCGGCCGTATATACGGTCCCCAAAAAGTGTTCTGACCGTCAGAGTCCCTTGTCAACCAGCGCGCGTGTGACAAGACCGGCCTCCTTAGAGCCCTCACACAAACACAAACACATGGTGCAACTATGGAGGAATGGTAAGGTGCAAGAAGCGCGCCTCGTAGCCGATGGTGCCACAGTATGCCTCGCGAAGGCGCTGCAGCACTTCGCGCAGCGTGCGGATGGGGCGCTCCTCGCTCAGAAACCCCTTCATATTCCAGGTGCCCAGAAAGAACCTGCGCGCCCCCCAAAACCCTGCTTAATGCCCCTTGAAGTAAAATTCCCCTCATCCTCTTTGAAAATCCTCCGTGCACTTCCTGCCTTCCCACAGTACGCGTGCACTCCTTAGCTCAAGGCATTGGCGTGCAAAATAAAGTCCTTGAAGAGAGTGCCAGCAAAGACTGTCGTGTACGCTTCCTGTACTGCAGACTGCATGTTTTTTGGAACACAGCGAGAATGGTGGGAACATGTCATGTTTAGTGTGCTGCTACGGTTTGGTCCAGCATATGGGGCGTGAAGCAAGGAGGCTGTAAAGTCCTCATCAGGGTACACGGCATGTGTTGCGCGCCGATGTGTGCATGAGCACAGCAGCATGTGCGTGGCTCACTCTCTGTCGAGGTCCTTGTCTGAGAAACCGTACAGCGCCGGGTCCAGCTCGATGGGCATCGGCCGCTTGTCCAGTCCTAGGGGGTCCAGATTCGCCATGAAGTGCCCGTTCACCTGCACAGATGGTAAAACAAAATTGACTCACATGCCACTCGATGAGAGATTTTTATATGTTACTCCTGTGCCGCTTTATGGCAGCCGTTTGAAGCAGAAAAGCACAAGCGAGAGGCGCCTGCCCTCTGATCCCTGCTGTCAAACATGCCTCGCATGCCGGCACATAGAGGTCATGCATGTTTAGGTAGAGTTAATACTGGGCAAGGGATCGCCTGGGGAACTGACAGGTATAGCATGTGCGTCTCTGGGCCAGGAAGTGAGAGCACTTGTGAGGCGAGGAATGCCAACAATCAGTGTACACATGGAAAGCAGTGAGGTCCAAAAAATTGGCACGAGGTAAGGGATATGCCTGGTATGCGCGGACAAGCAGCAGCAGGCGCTGGCTCTCCTGGATGGTCTGGTTGGAGACTGCCGCTGCTGACAGGGGGGACACCTTGCTGCCCTGCTCGTACGCATGGTACGCCTCGGCCACTGCCTCGGGCGCCACCCCTTGCTCTGCAGATGGCAAGGAACATGTGAGGGACGCAACAATTCTTGAACGATCAGTGCTTGCCGCAGCAGATGCATCACGTGTCATCATGTGTCATTCTGCGAAGTTGGCCTGTCAGATGGTGATATCGCCAGGAAAGACTATGCAACAGGGTGACAGGACAGGACAGTAGTGAGCTTGGTGTGCTGCACAATAAGGCAGAGCAAAGCAAGTCGTCCCATACCCAGGCTGTTGAAAAAGCTGGCCCATGTCTTGTCCACGCTGCTGGGATCGGCCCGGTACCGCTCTTCAAGCTCCTCCAAGTATGTGCTAGATGTACCATCCAGGAAGCTGCACGTTGCATGAAGGCAAATTAGCTCAGAATATTGATTACCAGCATTTGCTAAGATAAGGAGCCTGTCTAATGTCACTATGCACAGCAAGAGCAATAGAAATAATATCCAAAAGCTATTTCCGAGATCAAAATATACCTGTCTTTGAGCTTCGGCAGCGGCACCGGCTTGGGATCCGGTATCGCTCCGGCAACCGCAGAAGTATGCAATACTTTTTCGGTGGCAGTCAGACATAAGGGCGACACATATCTGAGGCGCCCAGTCACCTGGGTCGCTAGTTTGCGGTAAAAACCGCTGAGGGCCATTCTTGCTACTTTGACGTTTATTCACTGGAACTTGCACATACCACCGCAACCCCACAAGGGGTCATCTGGGTCGGTGAGACTCGATTGCGAAGCTTTTTGTCAAGTCCAAATTGGTTAGGTCATGATGTTTGTTAATGCGCACCACGCCGACGGCGTTCTTCAGCGGTTACGTCACTTTTAAGGGCGTTGAAATATCTACATCTGGAGGGAGAGTCTTGCTGAGTTTATGAACAGCCTCACTCTGAGTGCGTTTCATGGCCTGCTTCACCTCGCCCGGGACAAGTCCTTTTTCCAAATCCACCAGAAAGCGCCTGACTGCTACTAAAGGGGCACGGCCAGCCGTCCGGCACGCTCTAGAACGAGAAAGAAGCCTTTTTCTGGTGAGCACTTGTTTGACAGCTGATCTGTTTTCTTTGTTTGGTGCACCTTCAACGGCCCCTGCGCCCTCTCCCTTTTTTCCAAAACTTTCTTTGTTACATTTAATAAAGGTTTGCTTCACGCCAGTGCACATGCGTGCGATTCTGGGCCCTCAATAAAGTGTTTAAAGTTCCAGTGTCAACTTAAGAGCATCGAAACTTTGAAGTTTGGGCGCTTTGCCTGGTGTTTCATTGCTTGCCGATCTTTTTCTATTTGTTATTTTGCTTGATTGTTCTTCTGAGAACAGAAATGCCACAGCAAAATGGTTAACGAAGGCCTGGGCATAGAGTTGGAGTCCTGGTGTATACTGTTACATCGAGTTCCAGTGGTGGGGGTTACCTTTGGCAGATCCTCGCTTGGTATGATCATGCCATCGTGGTATGCTGATTTAAAGATCAAGGTCATATCTTTTCTTGTCGCGCTTTGGCTGCAGAAGACCCGAGTTTGCTTGTCGGGATCTGAGCTGTCGGTCTTGAGTTTTCAATGCCTCTGGCCGCGATCTTACTTGGTCTACTTTTGCGCACATCGGGTGGCTTGGATTGCTTCCTGTCGTTTTAGATCCCGAGTTCTCGTCAGAAAATTTCGACGTGCTGTCGGTTCTTGATCATCTCGATGAATAGAATCCGTACACCTCCCATGCTTCTGTGCGCCTTGTGTCCCCTGTGCGAAGAGGGTGGTCTGCTCTTCTCTGTTCAACTGGCGTTACCTTCATTGTTTCTTTGAGGTCGCACTGTAGCAAGATCGCGGATCGGCGTGTTGGCAATCGCGACTGACACTTATGTGCATGTGATCCAGGAAAGATGAATCAGGAAGGGAGTGACATCTTCCTGCTCCGAAACAACACCAACGTATCGTCTCCATCGCATGCATAGATCGTTGGAGTGCTGCAGGGCAGCTTGAGGCTGCCTTGGGGAGTGTCAAACTGATTCCCATGGGACAGAACAGGCGGCCCAGCTCTGGGTCGCAGCAGCAGATGCCCCGAGGGCCAAATGGCATCATTGCGCCACCTGGAGACAAGGCTGGTGGGTCTCATGAAGGAGGAAAAAATCAGCTTCCTTATACATCTGAGATCTGCTTGTAATCTGTAGCGCTACATGGCTGGACTGTGCGCAGAGGGCGTGCATGATGCGGATGAGCAGTGTGTGCTTCCTCTTGTGCCAAGAGCTCCGCAGGAATGTGGCATTGAGAAGCGCATGCATGCATGCAGGTGTGGACATCACAGGCCTGCCTGCCAACGGAGCAGTGTCTTTGAAGCTGGAGGCCGTCAAAAAGATGGTGCAGAGGAAGGCGGACACTCCGCCACCCAATGATCGCCAGCCCTCCCCGGTGCGCCTGCCATGGAAGTCAATGCTATTTAGCTGCGCTGCAACACCTGAGTCTCACGTGTACTCATACTTAATTGGGACATCCCGCTGGTCCCTCTGTATGTCTGGCACATGTCCTTCCGCACCTTTGTGCGTATACAATGTGCAGGCGGAACTTCTCGTCAAGTGTTCCATCCCATCAAGGCCGACCAAATATATAAAACAATAGAAGATGTGTGCAGCACTGACCACAATAAGTTTTGAGCCCAATTGGCATGGACTCACGGGGTGGGGCATGCGCGCAGGCGGACAGCAAAGGCGAGGGTGTGCGGGGCGCATCTGAGGGGCGGGAGGGCACGCCACAGGAGACGGACGCGCAGCGGCGCAAGCGCGAGGAGACGTTGCTGGCGAGCGCGGCGGCGATTCGAGCCCTGCGCGCGACGCTTTCTTTGGCTTTCCAGCGGCCGCACCCGGAGCCGGCCGCGCCGCCGACCGGCCATGACTACATCCTGCAGGAGATGCGCTGGCTGGCAAACGACTTTGGGCAGGTGCGCGTGGTTTCCTGTTGCACTGCAAACATGCACATGTAAGCTCTCAGTGCCTAGTCAATCGCTAATGAATATTTGAGCACCTTTCTAGACATGCCACCTTCGTGACAGGCTGCCCCATACTCATCGGTCAGCACATCTCCTTCTCTTCGAGTTTCTGTCACATGACAGACATGCTACGGCGTGCACAACTGAGTGGTGGCAGTAGCTACAAGCCTGTATTTTGACAGAAATTCAAGGGTAGCAGATGTGCTGATTGATTTGACACATCGAACAACTGGTACTTGAGCGGCCTAAAGTCAAACACCACCTAAACTGACACCGGCGGTTGTGCTCGCAGGAGCGGCTGTGGAAGAGGACTGCAGCGCGCGCATTCGCGCACGCCGCCGCAGCCGTGGCGAAAAAGGGCAGCCTTAAAACGACGCCCTTGGGCGATCAACTTCGAGCCGAGGCCGCCAAGGCAATGGCGCAGGTGGGGAATGCCTTTGTTAACATGCGATACGGTGTCTCACATTTTGAAATTTCTGTTGGTAAAATCGGTCAGTCCTTGGTGCTTTTGGGGTTGGTCTGCCCGATGCCACAATGCTGGTAGCACCAGGGTTGACCGATACCACCAGCAGGAATTAGAGGGATTGTGAGATGTATCCTCATTCCCAAACTCTATTTTCATAGAGCACCTGCTGGACTAAGGCGGTTTGGCACTGATCATTGCTGGGGAAAAACAGCACCACCGGAATTTTACAATCAAGAAATTCCAGCATCATTTGAGCCTGCCGCGATGTTTCGACATGTCTCTCAATTTATTTGTCTCCTGCCCAGGAGGAGTCACTGAAGTCTAGGAAGGAGCGCATGGCCAGCAACCGCAACGCTGGCACCTCTGGCACCAATAGCCTTGCCACCAACGGTATGACAATTTTTTAGATTGATTATGTCTTGCGTCTTTAGAATTTCTCCCTGCCTACTGGCGGGAGAATTGTATATGCAATGTTCTGCCCAGAGTTCCACTTTCAAAGCCACTTTTCTGCCTGGTGCATTACTCATGCGCACACGCAGGGACCGTAACCTCTCCGCTGCATGCCTGCTTGAGTTCAGCCTGTTTCAAATGCACAGATACTTATAGCGCAGATCTCACATTGTCGGGCCTCAGATTCTGCTGACAATCTCAATGACCAGAGTGTGTGTCCATGGTGCAGGCCTGCTGCATGGTCCGGCGTCGTTTGGGGACCTGATGCTGACCTACAAGGCGGCGGAGAGCCTGCCAGAGCTCCTGGAGCGCCACATCACCGAGCTGGCCGAGGCAGATGTCATCCTGCGCCTGCAGGTGCGCTCTTATGACATGCTTTTCCGCTCGCTTTTGTTAGGAACATGTTCCACCAAAGAAAGTCCTATGGGAGCCACAATTTAAGCCTGTTCTGGCTGGTTAACTCTCAGTGCATTGCTACTTCAACTGTCCCTCTGGCATTGCTTAGCACGGAACCGGAGTCTCATTCCAGTGCCATATATATGACGCCACGGGAAGATGAAAACCGAGGAGATCTTCCTGACACGCTGGTGGCTGATGTGCGTGTTGCTGACAATGTGCAGAAGTAAAGAATTGCACACAACTGCCCTGCCTTAGTAATCGTGTGTTCTGGTGCAACAGGAGGAGCGGGAGTGGGAAGAAGAGGTTGATGCGGCGCGGCGCGCGGCGGCCGAGAGCGCGGAGATAAAGCGGCAGGAGAGGGAGGCCGCCGAGGACGCCGCAGACGGCGCCACCACCGTCGACGAAGAGGACAAGCCGCTCGGTGCGTGTCCTTCTGCTCCAATATGAAGTCAAGCTGATTGCCTTAGTGGTTTAGTTTGATGCAGACTCTGAGGACTGTAGACTCATATGCTTGTGGAATCTCAGAGGGAATGAAGCTGTGCGTGTTTGTCTGCACCTCTTGGATACCATTTTGATACTGACCTACTTTACAGCTCCTGAGCATGCATGCCACCTTTCTTGAGAGTCTCAATGAACGCTGTTCGAGACATCCTTGCTCGATATTGCGCGGTGCAGGGCTGACAGCCAAGCGGCGGAAGAAGGGTCGGCTGGCGCCGCACATTCTGAAGGACTATGTGGAGCTGGATGATGTGACGGACGTGGGAACTCCCCTCGGCAGACGCCTCGGCCCCGGCCGGCGGCCCACCAGTAGCCTGCGCCCCTCCTCCGGCCTCTCGGACCGCCAGTGCGCCCCCGCGCCCCTGATTACTCATGATGACCTGGCATGCCTGCTCCCAATCACTGATGGTCGTCTCGCATGCGTGCCCCTAATTTCTTTTGTTGCCCTGGCGTGCATGGCATTGCGAGCCTACTGTGAAGTTAGCGCAGATGTGCGCCTTCGTTTGAAGCATAGATCTATACAACTTGACTGGACGAGGCCCACTCTGCAGTGCCTTGCACACCGATGGTTGCATGCTGTCCCCTTGCGGAGCTGCTCATCTGGGTGAGCAGCACTTGCATTGATGCGCATTGCTGACGGAGAGCTTTTCACAGCCGCACATATGGCCCTGGTTCCCGCTCTGTATGCTTGAGCTTGTGTAGCTGGCAATCTTCTCAGCGCACAGTCTGGAAGACACTCTCATGCAGCAGCCCGAACTGCAGGATATGGATTCAAATTCAAGTTTTGAATTGTGGCATGCTCGGCAGGCTGTCGGACGCGGAGCAGCGTGTGCGCAAGCGCCGGCGGCGGGACTTGGACGACGAGGACTACGAGGAGCCCGTGCAGCCGCGCCGAATCTCCGCGCGCAAGGCCTCCCAGGTGCGGCCTTACATTCTGAGCTTTGTACCATGCTATTTTCAGGGCCGAGACAGATTAACAACAACATCACCCTGCAGCACAGTGCCTAGGATTGTGACACAAGATGACCTCCCGTATGGAGAAAGCTGCGGCCATGGCCAGTCTACAGCCGTAAAGCCACGGGTTGCTTATAGGCAGGGATGCAACAAGCCTGGTGTGCAAAGCGAGCTGCGCATGAGGAACGAGACAACCTCCTTTTGTATAATTTTATGTGCAATGATACTGTCTAAAGAGTGATTTGGGAGATAAGCAGACTTTGTGGGAGGGAAAGTGAGATGTGTTCGACGTTTTGCTGCCAGGTGGCGGCCAGCCTGGACCGCCAGCGTGGCGGCATGATGCGCCAGCCGGACAAGCGTGGCGCCACCGGGGGGCCCGCCAACAAGAAGGCCCTCAACCGCATGGACAGCATGGGCTACCAGGTTCGCCCTCCTGCAAAAAAGCAGCCAGATATTTGGGCCTGGCCTGTAGGGTGCATCGCACTTATAGAGATCAGGTCACTTTGACAGCCATCGCCACAGCCTTGTGTCACGCTTTAAACTTTAGCAGAAGCCAACATTAGCAGCCTGACGGATTGTACCCATGCAAGTCTTGCTGGCTCCATGAGGCCATCCTGAATCGTCAATTTTGCTCCGCATAGATTGGCCGGCGCGGCAGCGGCGCTGCGGGCAGCGGGCAGACGATACCGTGGAGCCCAGAGGAGGAGCGGCTGCTGTGCGCGATCGTGCACGAGTTTGGCAGCAACTGGTTCCTGGTGGCCGACGTGCTCGCGGCATCCTGCTCCATGCAGGGCATCTACCGCAGCCCCCATAACTGCCGCCAGCGCTTCCGAGCCATCACGGTGGGGGCCTCTCACTGCTGACCCCCTTGGGAGCTTCAGGGGGGTGTTCTATGGAGCCCATGCACCCTTGGGGAAATAGTCCTTCAGCACAATTTGTTGGGCATGGGCATTGTGCTGCGCTAGGATGTGGTGTTGAGGGCTTGGCAATCACCTGTGCAGCTGTCATGCAGTGGGAGCAGGTGGGTAGAGTAAATTTGAGTGACACAGTAGGCGACATGGTCAGTCATCGTCACTTCAGGCTATGCGGATGTTCCCTTCTTTGTCGAGGTTGTACCCCAGCGCAAGTCACAGCCTTCGATGATGATGGCAACCTCTGCAGAGCCACGGAAGGGCGCACCTCCTAGAGACATCTGACCTTACCCTTGGTAGATCCTGCCAAGGTGCAAGGCTTGTGGGTTTTGATTCAATAAGTTGAGCTGCTGGCGCGCGCAGATGAGCGGGCAGGGCGACGCGGAGCCGACGGAGGAGAGCGCGCTGGCGGCAATGCAGATCGACAAGATGAGCGCGCGGCAGATGATCCACCAGTCGCTGCCGATGCCCTCTGACATCCTGCGCACGCATCAGAGCGCGCTCGCCAACGTGGGCCAGAAGGCGCGCCAGAACAGGCAGCAGGACGAAATGCGCGCGCGGAATGCCGCATCTCAGCGGATCGAGGCGCACCCCTCTTACGCGCTCGTTGTCGCCGGCGTGCTCGCCACCGCGCAGGGCACCTACCGCAACCCCATGGAGCTTGCCGACATGGCCGAGGCCGCCGCGTCCGCCCAGGTGTGAAACTTGTGCTCTCTCTCCATTGAAGAGTCCTGGCATGTGGCGCGCTGAACATAGGTGTGCAGGGCAGTATTCTAGCGAAGGAATAAGATTGAGGGGGTGGCTTGGAGTGCAGGCTGCTCAAGCGGCAGCTGCAGCCGCGGCGGCACAGGCGGCCAACATCGCGCCGCCGCCAGGGGCGGCCATGGCGCCGGGCCTGGCCGGGCCGCCCATGCCGGGCGCGGGGCCGATGTCGCCAGCGCAGGCGTTCCCTCCAGCGCTCAACGCGCCGATGCCGCCCATGCACCCGCCGCCCCCGGGCTTCCCTGCCGGCCCCGGCCAGCCGCCGCCGTCCCCCGGCGGCGGCGCCGCGCCAGCCGGCCCGGCCGGGCCGGCTCCCGGCGCCGATCAGCAGCTGCAGCAGCCGCCAATGGCCGGCGGCATGCCAGGCATGCCGCCCGCGCTGCCTCCGGCGAGCCAGCAGCAGCCGCCGCAGGGGCAGGCGGCTCCGCCAAACGGCGCGGCGCTGCCGATGAGCGCGGCGCTGGGCGGCGGCGGCCCCGCACAGGTGGCGTCACCTGGGCCGCTCCAGCAGCAGCCAGCGGCCGGCGGCATCCCCGGCAGCCCGGCTGGCATGTCCTTTGGCATGCCCATGGCACCCGGCCCTGGCACACCCGGCGGCACACCCCAGGTACTTATCCAGTTGTCTGCACCTGAAGGAGTCAGACCTTCAGTTTCTGCCCGTTCCTTTGGCTGAAAAAAAAATGCAAGTAGAATATTGTCTGAAGAACAATTGCCATGCCGCGTGCAGCAGCAACAGCAGCAGCAGCGGGGCCAGATCACCAACGCGCAGCTGCAGCAAATACTGCGCACCAACCAGCTGCCGGACGGGCGCGAGCTGACGGCGCAGATGCGCAATGCACTCATCCAGCGCATCCAGGGCCAGCAACGGCAGGCCCTTCCAAAAGGTGCCTGTTTTGCTGCATTTTGTGACATTGTTATGTTTGTTCCTGCCTGCGCAGAAGTGTTGGCCAAAAATACTACTTTCTGAACATGCCTTATTATTGTGCATGCCAGGGGTGTGCTACTGTGCTATTGTAGCTCACACAGTATTAAGACTGGTGAGCTGCTACTGACAAGTGTGCAATGTGGTGCAGCGGGTATGCCGCCGAGCATGCAGCCGCAAGCGATGCAGATGCAGGCGGCTCAGAACCTGGTGGCGCATCAGCAGGCGGCGGCCGCGCGCATGCAGCAGCCGATGCAGCAGGGGCAGCCGGGCATGCAGCTGCCGCCGCAGCCGGGGCAGCAGCCCGGGGGCGTTCCCGGGCAACACCTGCCGCCCGGCATGCTGCCCAATGGGCTGCCCGGAATGCGCCCCCCGGGCGGCTATGGCCTGCCTGTCGGCGGGCCCCTCGCCGGCGGCGGACCCCCCGCCATGATGGCCGGCGGTGGCCAGCCGCGGCCGCCGCAGCCGGGGGGGCTCCCACCTATGGCCCCCGGCCAGATGATCGCCGGCGGCATGGCTCCACCCCAGGTGACCCCTCAGGTTCACCCTTTCCAATGCATGTGGTTCAGATCAGGGTTCAGCGTTCTTACCCTTCTCTGAGGCGGGCTAGTGGGAATGATTTTTCTCAGGCGGACTTCAGTCAAGTTTACCAAATCTCTCAAGAGGTGGTAGGAGACATGTGGGTTCCGGCAGGAAAGAAAGTGCATCGGTTCTCTGCAAGTCTGGTGAAAGGCAGTGTGTGGCAAATGTTTCTATCTTGCTTCATTGCCGTCTCTGAGAAGGAGCTGCGTTTCTTTCCTCACAGCTGTCATTTTCTATCGTAAGTGGGTAAGATTCTTCAGACGGCGATGGGAAGAGATGTCACACATTTGGCTTGCGACACACGGACATGCACATTTGCAGTCCAAGAACATTGACCTGAGCACTTCGTTGCATTTGCAGATGCCTGGATCCAATTTGGGCGCCATGCCAAACCTCCTCGCGCAGTCGGTTGCGGCCGCCAAGCCGCCCGGGACCAGCGGCTGATGTCAGCGCATTTTCCATCGCTGATGTCATGACCACATTGTTCATTTGGATGGACTCCTGGAGGGTTCTGGCTGTTGGATGAGCGATGACCTGTGGATAGGCTCTTGAAGGTGCTCATTTGATGCAGCGCTTTTGTGTCAGCTGGTAGGGCAGCCTTTGTAGATGCAGTGCGGACGGGATTACAGCAGAGAAGCTCTTTGTGCTTTTGCTGTGCGTATGCGGCCATGGATGGATGGACGTGGGTTTGAGATGCCTTCCTGCTTGCTGTGGATACCCTGCTTGCTGTGGATAGGCACTTGAGGCCCCATGTGTGCAGAGTGGGGTGTGTCTGACAAAATGCGGAGCTTTGCCAGATTGGTCACTGCTGTGGCACCAGATCAGCTTGTGGAGCTGCCATTTTTGCTGAGGAGCAACCATGCTTGGCATCTTTGTCCTGAGCAGTGTTTGCTGTGACTTCTCCGCGGAGGCGTCCCTTGAAAGGTGCTTCCATGTCAAGTGTTTGTCTGTCAAGGGACCCTTTTATTTGACAGGGGTATGAATTTATGGATAGGAGGTCAATAGTTTGGGATGAGGAATTGTCATGATCATGATCATGGCTGCGTGCAATTCATCTCATATGTTTTGGATGAGAAGATTATGCTCTGTCAAAACGGCTTTCCGAGAGGAGTGCCCTGCTTGGCCAATAAGTCTGTGACCAGCTGTACAATATGAGTTGTGGTCATTGGTAGCAGAGATGATGGGACCTCGTGCTTGCTTCAATTGTATCCAAGGCCCCTCCTATTTTTGTCACCGTTAGCAACTGTTCTGGCTATAGCCCTGCGCTTGGCACAATGGAAAAGGTTGCAATTTGAAGGCAATTGTAACAACGAGAAAATGGTCATCTGTCTCATCGCTCCAACAGCAAAAGTGCATGCCACTGGCAGGACACGTACCACAGCATAACTAAACGCTCTATCTTGCACAATGTCAAGTGACGGTTTAAATTTCGGATAAATAAAGACTGAACACCATTGAACTAACACAGACTTGCTCTTCTGATATCTCTATTAATTCCCCTGTTGCTCTTCTATCTGTGCTTCTGGAGCCTAGTTGTGTTTGGCCATTGTCGCCTCTTAATATATACGTTTGTACCTCAAAACATTACCTTGAAGGCGCCTAGATTGATAAAAACCTAATATTACATCATGAGCGCGGAAGCTAAAAGCACCATACAAGTGAGGATCACTCGATCACCATCTGAGCAACCTGAGCTGATCTGCCTCAACTGCAAAGTTCACATGTCCAGGAGGGGACATCGTACATAATAAAAAGGCTTGTGATTCTTTGTTAAACACATGTCAGACCGCTACAAAGGATTAAAGGAGACTGTACCTTGTCCTGCAGGACAGCAGCATGTCAGATCGTCAGGCAGAGCCCCAGCAGCCTGAGGAGGACCACAAAATAGACGAACAGATAGCGGAGGCCCTGGCGTGCCCCTGTGTGGACGATCTGAGGAGCGGGCCCTGTGGGAAGAGTTTTGAGGCAGCCTTCTCCTGCTTTCTCAGACATCAGGCCAAGCACAAGGTGCGCGGGCTGTTGCTCCTCCTGCTGCGCAAATAACGGTCATCCAGCTGTTATCGTTGCAGCGGTCTTTTTTAACATGCAGTCTCTGGGCTCTGCATCCAGCATGCACCAGCTCACGCGGCATAGCTGTGCTGTCTTGCCACTTGTTTTTGTCTTCACTGTCTCTTGCAACATTCGCTTGGCTGAGCATGAAGGTAGCCAAGGCCTCCCAGGTTGCTGCACTGAAAGAGATGAAGCACATGACGGCTGAGTAACAAGAGGATGCTGTCTTGCAGGACGATGAAGTGGACATGGATTGCTTGGGGCAGTTTGAGGCGATGCAGCAGTGCATGGTGCAGCATCCGCAGGCTTTCGCAGAGTTCAAACACTTTCAGACGAGCGGGGAAGCTGACCGGATGGCCAGGGATGCAGGTGGCAGGTAGCAGGAGCTTCAATTACAGGACAGCTGTGTATTCTTTCAAGAAATCGAGAGCATTAGTAGCCGTCTTTAGCTAGTGTCATCCAGGAGTCGTCCTTAAAATGTGAATTGTGATAGCCATTACTGCCGGCAGCCTTGACAGCATTCAGGGCAATAGACTTTTGACCTTAGCATTTAAAAAGCAGACAAGTGGATGCTTTGTACCCTCAAGGCCCAGGTTTGTGGATACATCTATGGCTGGATATTTTGCAAGCAAATCTGGGTTGTGAAATGCGTTTTTGCCTGTGCATGTAATCATGAGCACAGCTCTTATTGTAGACTGTAAGAGGCATGCTGCTGTTAGGTACTTCAGACATCGTGATAGGCCTGTAACTGATTTACACTTCGTGTCTGTTGCATTGACAGCTTCATGTCAAATCTGCATCAGACCAGCTGGGCTGGAACCATCTTGCTGCAACCCCCCAATTAGACTGCAAGACAGGAAAGTGACATTCTTGCCGCAAGATCCCGACTCCGCGGTGATATTGATTGGAGCGTTGCAAATTTTCCCTCGCTCGCATCTCACACCAAAGCCTGTGGTCGTGCATTCGGCTAAACGAGATACGTGCTATGACAGGAAATGAAAACTGCATCTAGCTCACTTGACCAATGCTAACATTGCTGCAGTGCTGCGAACAGACCAAGCCTGTAGGACAGATGAAGTCAAGACAGCCGGTGTAATCCTGCCAAGACAGGTCAAAATGAGGTCCAAACATCCAACACTAGAGATCATTGCCCACTTTGAAACATCCAGGAGAGCAAGTGCTCAAATGTGAGACCTCCTACCAACCTCCCACAAAGACTGCATCTCTGTGGCACCATCCAATCAGTCTTCTTTGCTACTAGTACACATCTCCAAGCAAGCTTCCATCGGCGGGAAGGTTGCTGTGACTGAGAGAAAAAGAACTTCCTTCCAGGCAAACTTCCTACTAACCTACCAATTTGGGCAAAAAAAGTCAATATTCTGTTCATGAGTGTTGGCTCGGTGGCAATTTCTGTGCAAGTCACAAGCATCCCCTGCCGCCAGTCAGAGGGGATGCATTTTCAAAGCATTGCTTCCTTGTCCTGGTCGTAGGATCGGTTCCTAAATTTTCATTCCTGTCAATTTTGCAACATGCGCCAACCCGGCGCAACTGCTAAAATCCTACAAAAGGTTGTGCCACAGAGTGGCTTCACAGTTCCAACTTCCCTTTGCCTTTGTTGCCACACCACATCCAATGCCCACGGCATGAACGCACCAGAGATCCTTCCAAACTGCCTGCCCCGCTGAGGACAGACCCACACCTATCCCAAGGGATCCTTGATCCATAAGGGGACACAACTTGCACTCTACTTCCTCAATCCTACCCCAAAAGAGTAGGCCGCGGCCTTGAGCCGTGGGCACCTGTGCATCTTCGGACTTCACATCAAGAAGAAACCAGCCGAGATGGCACGCCCCGAGACGGCCGCGCGCGCATGCAAAAATAGGGGATTACGTGCATGCATGCGCGCCGCTCACGAGTAGCCCTTGGCCATTTTGAGCTCCTTGCCGCCGAAGAAGTAGTGCTGCATGTAGTCCAGGTGCGTCCTGCATGGGAGTAGGGTTGTTAAGCATGTGAACAGAGAAATTCCTCACTCAATACCCTTACAGGAAGGAGTACTACACATCAACGCCAGATTCAATTCCGCTCATGCCTGATAGGATGTACTGACGGCATCCAATTGATCACAATACTCAAAGAAATTGAGCTAGTTTCATCAGGGACCTGGCATTGAGCCCAATCAGGCAACACCACCATTCCAATGACATCAGCATGGTCTTCTGAAGGTGTTTGCCCCGAGTGGCTGTGCAGCAGATGATCACCTGAAGTACTTGACATTGTCGTCGTGGGGAGCTTCCCACTGCAGAGGCATCTGCTTGAGCTCGTCGGCCACCAGCAGCCGAGCGAGCGCCTTCGCGTTTACGGAGCAGAAGAAGAGCTGGAAGTCAAGCTTGGGCGTGTTGTACGTCTGCCACGCCTGCAAGCACAGAGACACAAACATTGAACCATTTGTTCCTGGGGATTCGAGTCATTCGTCGACTTTTTGAGATTCTGACTCCTTGCAACTAGAATGGCAGGTGCCGACATAACTTCCACTGTGCTGTCACAATTGCTGAGCCGCTAACAGCAGAAATGATTCTGGATGCCAGAGCAGAAGACCCAGCGTGGGTTGTCATGTCTGAGCTTGCAAAGGGCATGCAGCTATAAACAGGAGGACAGCATTCTGGACGAGAGCCTGAACAGTAGAATATGGAGGACGAGCGCTCAGATGGAAATTCTGAGATAAGCAGATTTAGGGGCGCGCCAAATCACCTCCCTTGGATGTCATGCAATAAATCTGCCTCCACACAGGGGTTGTCTGGTTACTAAAGGTCATCTGGTTACTAAGGGTCAGAGAATCGGATATCACCTGCCAGCCGGCCCAGACTTTCTTGGCAAGTGCCGGGTAGCCGAGAGCGCGGATGATTCCGCACACAATCGTGAACTTTACGGCCCCCAGCCACTGGCGCGCGCGGAAGATTGCTGATCCCTCCTTCTGGTAGAAAGAGCACGGGCCGCTCGCATCATACCTGCAAAAAACATGCAACATATGAGCTCATTGGCTTTGTCCTGGCTTATCCCTTACTTGCAATGCAAGTCTGTATTGCTCTAAAGCAATCTCTTGCCGCCGAAAAGCGCCAGCAGACATGCGAGTCAGTCAGGCTAGGCAAATAGCTTGGCATACGCCAGTCCCCTTAGACGATGGACAGCAGAGGGAACATATGTCAGCGAGAGGGCCAACATGATACACCACAGAGCTGCACAGGTGGCAGCATGCGCAGAAAGATTCTCGGGAGCGTAGGCAAAGGCTGCCTTCAAGGAGGCAGTTCTAGGGATTGGGCTGAGAGGATTGTTCACCTCTGGTAGCCGCCAAAGTTGAAGCGGAACTTGGCCGGGTTGGCAGACCAGTAGGGGTAGACCACCTCCTTGTAGATGTTGAAGTGGCTCCAGGGGTGACTCGTCGATGACGCAGCGTGCACGATTAGCGGCTGGCTGCGGTCCCACGAGTTCTGCACATGCGAATCCGAAATCAGCCTTGGATTCAAAGCCACCTGTCATGCTGCGAGCCAACACGTCCTAACTAAAGACAATTAGCATTCATGGTGTGCCAACATGAGGATGAATGACTGCAAAACAGAGCATCATGCTGAGGTATATACGTCTGGAAGTAGAGGAAGTTTTGAAATGCTGCAAACCCTGCACATATTTATGATGGGGACAACCTACTGATATGGCAATGGTCATGTAGAGCTGACTGGTGGAAAGAACACATACAACAGCTGTGAGGAGCAAGGTGTGGGAAATGTGGTACCTGGACGGAAGCTGCTGAGGTGGCGAGGATGACTGATCCCACCACGTCACAGGGCACCAGGTCAAAGATGTTGTGCGGCCGGTGGCATGTCATCGTGGCAATGCCTGCACACATACATTACAATTGGCCCACCCTGATGATTTTTGGGGCATAACAGAAAAAAATGAGCCGTTGCTGAGCCATTCGGGAGGGTCTGCACTTGAGAAAGGTTCCTTTGTGAGGCTACAGTGCTGCCTGTGGTACAAGAGGCCGAAACATGCATGACAAGCAGGTAGCGCCGTCACTCAGATGTCTGAAATCTCGGAGAGGAGCAGCTAGTTTGTTAACACAGAGAATGTGAGAGGGTGACTCACCGCTGCCGAACGCCAGGAAGTAGGCTGTGGGCCCGGCGCTGTTGCCAAAGTAGCCGGGGTAGGGGTGCTTTGCAATGGCGCCCTGAATGCCACATCAACACCAGGTTCAATAAATGGCTGTAAAGAACCCTGTGCTTTGAAATGCTCAGGGGCTGATACAACAAGGCATGCCCCGTGCATGAAACACCACTTCAATGTGCACAGCATAGGGCCAGTGCCAGACTGCGGTGTACACAAGGCTCTTCCATGGATCGCAGGCAATAAATTTGTGCTATCTAATGCAGCATGCCCTGGCCAAACCATGTAAAAATTATGCACTCGCCCCGCACATCATTTTTAACTGCGCAGAGCCTGTAACAAGCGACCCCCTGAGAGGACAGCTCGCGAGCGAATTGCATTTGTGGTGAGCATTACATACCGATTAGTTGACCACGGGAGGGAACGCACCACGATGGAGGGCCGCACGATGGCGACGGGGAACGCGGTGTTGTTGAACTCGGCGATGGCCAGCTCAGTCAGCATCTTTGTGAACGTGTATGTGTTCACGTGCCCGCTCTGCCGCAGGTACTCCTTCGCCTGTTTCAACAATGACACACTGACCTTCAGTAATGCTATAAAACTCACTGACTTGCCAAATATCTGGCGGCCCAGATAGACAGGAGGGTGAATAAGCTCTTGTTGGTCCTGGTCAGAAGCCTGCAGGATTTTTTGTGAGCACTGCAGACACCACAAATATTGGCATGAGAGCTGCGTGCTCAATAATTAAAATGCATTGCAAGTTGGAGTGAGAGTCCCATCAGAGAAAATACCACCTCCCCAAAATTCCCAACCAACAGGAGTCAAAATTGCCACAAGAGTATCAAGCATGCAAAGCCTTTAAAACCCCAGCAAGGAAAGTGGGAGGCATATGAACATCCTCACCCGGCGCTCGGCGTCATCAGCGGGGAGCGCTGCCAGCTCAGCGATGATGTCAGCGTGCGCGACCGGGCGGCCGTCGACCGAGAACGGATATTGCCGCTCTTCCACGTGCACGTTGCGGCCCAGGTGGCAGTTCACGTAAGCGGTGCTGACGTGGAGGAAGCTCTTAATCTGGCGCATCTCCGACGCCAGCTGCGCCATGTTGCGCGTCGCCTGCGGGCACATGGGCGCGCGCTCCCGTCACATGCTTGCATCGTTTCTGCTTTGATCCCATGCTTCTTCAGCTGAGAGCCCGACAATCCGCACAGAAGATACAGCATTGCTTGCTCACTTGTTCATCTGGTGGTGGTCAGGAGCTTTGATGCCCCAGTACAAGTTTAGCACTGCTGATGCAGGCACACAGAAGTGCTCCACATTGCTGCATGCAACATGACTGCGAGCCGGGCCTTTGGAGGACACACAAGAGAGGATCTTGAAGGCAGTATTGGAGAGGTATGGTTGAAATAGGGCAAGATGGAACTCACGACGTAGTTGTGAGCGATGAGGCGGTGGATGTGGTCCACGAAGGAGATGGAGGCTGCAGAGTGGACGATGAATTGCACGTCCCGCACGAGGGCGTTCCTGTCGGCAGGCGCCAATCCCAGCCCCGGCAGGCCCAAATCCCCATTCACCACCACCAACTTATCCCTCACCTGCGCCACCACACATGCCACTTTTGAGTCTCTGTTTCTTGAATACAGCTGCCTGGATATGATTATTCCCCTTTCCGTAGAATGGAACTGTGTATGTGCCGACATGATGCTGATCTCTGGCTTGCTCTCGCATGCAGTCTGCATATCTTCTCATTCTCTGATTTGTATGCAATCCCTCCCATCAGCACTGCAGGATCAGCATTGCAGTAGATGCCAGCTGCAGATGAGTGCAGCAAGAGCGGGTGCGCGGCCCTGGCTACAACTCATCATGAGCTCAAGCTCTGCATGCACAGTTTGCATGCGGAGGGCTGAGGTCAGGAGGGGTGCCTCACCTCGCTGGGGAACTCCCCGGACTGTCTATGCAAATGGAAAAGAGGGCGCGCTAACAAGGCATCCAGCCGCTGCTCACCTGTTCATAGGGCAACAGAGGACACATCAGCGAAGACACTTGTGTGCAAAATCATAGCTGGCAATTGAGGAAAGCGAGGCATGTGCAAAGTCCAAGCACACAACTTGGTAATATTTGGACATTTGCTGGATGAGTTGGGACGGTCAGGTCTCAGCACAAAGCCTCAGCAGATAACCAGCACAGTGTCCAAATTTGTTGGGCAGATGGGACCCTGGTGCTCACCTGTGTTGCCACGTTTACCGCGTATGAGGAGATAGATTTTTGCGACGTCTGGACAGAACCTGAGCAGCTGTTCCAAGACCACGCTGCCAACGTAGCCTGATCCCCCGGTGATGAAGAGCGTCGCCCCACTGAAGGCTGACTTCACTGATATTCTGCCGTGGCCCAGCTGGCTGCTGTGCACACCCTCCAGACTGCAAGCTGGCATAGGGAAGGTCTGATCGCCAGAGGTGTACGTCGTTGGCATGCCCTGTGTCTTTGCTGGCGTCTTCGGCGTCCTGGGAATTTTCTGCGACTTCTCCACGAACCGCGTTTTGATGGGGCGGCCGCTGCGCAGGAAAGACTCTCCCAAGATTGTGTGGTGCGCCGCCGGGCCATCGCCTGCAACAAACGCACAAGATCGACACATGCTCCGACGGGCATAGGTTTGTACATCAACCGGGCAAGACGCACAGAGGCAATGCTCTCGATCACGCGATTGCTTCATTATACGTAACAACACGCGATCGTGCAATCGATCCTGGCTCTGGTATGCTCAGATGAACGAAAAAGACCTGCCACCGAGGATATCGTCAGCCTTGATGGCCGAGATCCTTGAGCTGGAAAACTGGATAGTGAAAGCGGATGCAGACTCACTTGTGGACACCTCCAGAGGGATGACCGATCCGACGCGCATGAAGTCTGATGGGCAGGACATCTGGTGTCTTAGAGTGGCCACCGACATCCTGGACCGCCTGGTGAGGTGCTGCCAACCGGCAGCCTCCCCTCTACACGCTCAGTCCCAGATTCAGCACTCTGCTTCCGTAGTCCACGAAGTAAAAGCCAGGTATCCGGGACAATCTGAGGCCACAAGAAATTACCTGCACAGAAAATGAAATATATCAGCAAGATGAACACTCTACACGCAGGTATCTAATAGCAGTGATCATGGAGACCTCCCGTGGCGACTAATCTTCTGATTTCAGAGAAAATACATGCTATTACGCGTTCATCTAGCAATACTGATAGGATGAGCAAGCCTTTGCAAGATGCATGCCGGGTTAGCAGAAGACGTCTCTTCCTGATCACTAGCTCGCTCGCATCTCGCAAAATCATACTAGACTACTTCAAAAACTCACACAAGGTGCAAAGGAACGGACTGCAACAGGGCCTCGGCCTAGGTACACCATGCCTGACGGTCATCCTGCTCCCCAAAAGAGGGACCCGGCCGTAATACTGGCTCGCCGAACCCATCCTGCTCGCGATCCTAGCTAATCTAAAGATCCCCAAACCATCCAGGCGAGCCAACAACGTGCAGCAGCGCCCGTTTCAGGTCGTGCACGCAAGGCACCATCTTTCGACCCCCAACTTGCCCTGTGACGTCTTCGACCAGTACAGAAACCAAGCACGCCCAAAACTTGTTGCTTGATATGTTCGTATTGCCCCAGCCCTGTCATAATTATTCTAGACCTCCAGAAAGACAATAAATGCCTTCCCTCTTGCCGCTCAGGCCCCATGTATGTTGAGCCAACCAAACAGAAAATGCAAAGTGTCCAACCTTTCCTTCCAGCACAATGCTCAAAAGATGTGTCTGAATAGCCTCAACAGTTCTAAGACCTCCAGGCAGCGCTTTAGAGCCCAGATACCTATAAAGAGGCCCAACAATCTGGCACACACAGCAGCAATTCCATACTGTTCAAAGTTTGTTGAAAGAAATTCACCGTTGCTGTCTTTTCTGCGGCGCCCCACTTAGGTCCCAGAGATACCCAATGCCACAATTAGCCTGCTGACTGCTTATTCGAAGGGCTCCTGCAGTGGCTGTCTTTCCTTTTCTTTTGCACAATGGGTCTTGTGACAGGGCAGGCAACAGAAAAAAAGTTGCCCAGCAGGATACCCTGCCAAATCAGGCTCACGCGGAATATGAAAGCCTGCGCGGCATTGCGGCATCGAGCAAGGATAATCCGGAGCACACAATGGTACTTAGCACGTCCTTTGATTAATCTACTTGCTGCAAAAGGCGAGTACGACAGGAGATAGGTTGAAACGGACTCGAACACATCTTGCCAAGAACTCAACATCCATGCTGATCTCCGAATTAATCAAAGTCATGCAACGTAACAGAAATAATATCATGCTCATGATAATAGCAAGCTTCCGTGAATCAAAAATAGCATGGGACTCCAGGCACCCTGGAAGAAGATGAACAGACGTCGGCATCCAAACAAACCCCATACGACAGATTGTTTGTGCGTCATTAAGAGTACGTTGAAAGACACAATCACAGGTGCCTTCACGCTAGTGTACACGGCAGGCCAATTCCCACACACAGTCAGTGCTTGCACAAAGAGTTGCCTTTTCACAAGCATCTGCGCCTACAGTACCACGTGGTGCCTGGACACATCTACCTCCACTCTGACAGGGCCCCACAAAGTCCCCAACAAGCTACGAGCATCCTGGTTCGGCGCGCTGCCTCCATTCGTGCCCTGGCAAAGTCCTTGCACCCAATTTTGCAGGTGGAGTTTGACATCACTGTCCCCATTGGACAGGAGTTCCGCAGGCACGGTGAAGCTGCAGAGTACGTCCAGGTCAGCGCGGCTGGATGCGCTGAGGCTGCCTGCCTTGCCAACAGCTTCCTGCAGTGCAGCTGATCCCTTTGAGCTGACCATCTACAACCACTAAATGCAACCACACCAGTCTCTTCAGAGCGCAGAAACTCGATTTTCTGGGAACGCGACTCACGGCTCTCCAACATGCATCTGCGCTTACACTCAATTAAACGCCGCTGCTCAACAAAGTCAAATTCACAAGGCAGCAGTGACTCACTGGCAGTGTTTCACTACATGTAGCCGTTTGAGGCTAAGTGAAATATACATTTGCCTGTCTCGCTGGCATTTCAGAATTATTGGGGCACTTCCGCAGATTCACAGCTTTCAACTGGCTAAGCCATGGCCATTGTCAACACAACGCTGCAGGCAATGGTGGCAGCATGCAATCTCTCAACAACTCCAAGAAACAACCCCCAGAGAAAAACAAAGCAAGTGTTGTCGCTGGTCCAAAGTGGCACTTTTCTGATTCGGACCTGCAGCAGCGGGCAAGCAATGATGACGCTGTGCAGCGCCAGGTCAGCGGAGGAGAGCCAGCTGGCGGCAGCGCCAACATTGGCAGCGTCCACTAAATAGGCCACTGGGTAGCCCAGCAGCCACCCACTCAGGCTGGGCATTATGGGCGCACCTGTGCCAGCACAACCAATAAATAATCCTCTCAGCTGCAGAGTGCAATTGAAAGCTTCATTAGCTGCAGGGCCAACCCAGACTCCCAGGTGCAGGGCTGAAGGTTGTTACTCCAGCCCCTCCTTGGCCAAAAACGGCAATCAGGCCTCGGGCTTTGCAAAGGGATGAGTGGATTGTTCCCCTTCTCTCAGCTGAAGGACTGAATGCAGCACGAAGCGATGATGAGTCTGAGCCAGTCTGGATTGCAACGAGGCTGCAGAACACACAGAAGTTCTACCAAGAGACATGCAAATGTGCAGCATGCAAGACACGAATGATCATGCCTCATGATGCAGCAGACAAGCATACTGGGCATGCCTGAACAAGACCCCAGGCGAAAGACACGATCCTCGCAACCGCTTGCGCAAAATTGCCGCAGCTGCTCTGCCACTGCCACGAGCCGCCCGTGCACGATCTGCAGTCCCCCATCAAATTTATCTCGCTATCCTCTCAAATCATCGTTGGCTGCGTCCAGCGAAAGCCAGCCAATGTGCAGTGCTTATAAGTGCATGCAGCAGAGCAGGCAGCAAGCTTGCAAAGCAGGGATCATCCTGACACAGCCTGAAGAGAAAATGAGTGAAAGCCCCGCATGACGCCTTCACACAAACATTTCACGATCAGATATAAACCACAATGCGCTGCACTGTTACTGGTAGTACAGTATTGCTCTCGAAGTGCAGGGGTTTTCTCAGCAGAGGCATTGCAATTAGAGGGTCACCTCAGACTGTACATCGGTGGCCCAGTGGCAGCGAGTCGAGTGCCCCTCCTCGGCAAATGCAATCCACCGCACTGCACTGCTGTCCCTTGCCCTCTCCAGGACCAGGTCTGGCCGCAGTATGTAACAGCAACCGTCCAGCTCAGCAACAAATAGCTCCACACCTGCATGACAGCCCATGCTTCTGTCTTCATGCATGGACTGCAAATCAGGCAAGGCACTATAGCAAGGCCCGTTACAGCCTGTACCCAACAGTACATGTCCGTGAAACACTCCAGCAGAACACTGCTCCCACTAAATAGGACAAGATCTACGCCCGTGTAGTTCTGTCTGCCTTGGTCGTCTCTTGCTCCAATGTTGGGAGTGAGAATCACTGCTGGACACAGAGCCGGGAACGAGCGGGAATGGTCAATACATGAGAGAGCGCACCTTCGGTGCCTGGGGCCCGGGGCACGAGGGAAGCGACTTCTTGCACGAGGCTGCACAGCTCCTGTTCAGGCACGTGGGTTACATAATCTAACATAATCGCCGGCCGCAGCCTCGTCAGCAGCGCCAGGAGATCGCGGCTCAGCGCTGCCCAGGCCCTGCGCAGCGCCGGGCAGCCCGCAGCTGCCCGCCTGACCGCGCAAACTGCCCGGCCGGGCAGCTCTTGCGCCGATGTGGCCTGCCCGCCTGCCCGACTCCCAGCGCTCTGTGCCCGATAGGGCAGTCCCTCTGCCCGGCCGGGCACGCTGTCTGCATTGGAAGCCATTGTGGCCTGCAGCACCAACTAAAGCTGATCAAACAGGGAGGCCTTGCATTCATGGAAGCCTCAGCTAATGTACATTCTCTGGGACAGCCTCAGACCCTTCTCAAAAGTCGCCACAGCCGCGCTTCTGCAATTGCAGGAAGCCTGACATTTTCTGCTTCGAAGCCAACTTGGCTTAGCCCGTGACACAGCGCTGGTGCATGCTTGTCACGTCAGTGTGGCAATATGCGGCAACAAAGGCTCTCACCGAGTTCACGGCACAGCGGCTGCAGTGCCCGTTGTGGGCCGTTGGCGGGCCTCGGCGGCTGCGCTGAGCTGCTGCAGCATGCGCACCACTTCGCGCATGTCCCCCTCAATCACCCTCAGGTAATTCTCCGCGTCCCCAAACTCTCGCAGCACGGCGTCAGCCCTGCATGCATGCAATCTTAATTTTGAATTCACCCATGGCAGTGCTCAACCATGGCAGATTAAGAGTGAAGAGATGCAAAATACAACAAGGCAGTGCGAGCGCCAAGTAGGGAGAAAGGGCTGCCTCGCAGTGTATATGCAGTGCTGTTGAAGAATGCTGGAGTAGTTCTCTGGAATTTCACTGTATACAGTTCTGACATGTTCAATGTGATTGCGGGACAATTTGCAGAAGTAGCCAAACAGTACTCCATTGTGACAGTATTTCGCTGTCATGAGCTGGAATGCACCTGCGCGCTGCAGCAATCCAGCTGCTGGTCTGGTCCTTGAATTTGACAGCCAATGCGCGCGCCTCTTTGGCCTCCTTGCTGAGCAGCTTTTCCAGCTCGAAAGCCTGCGCATGGGGACACATTTTGCTGCCACACCTGGGTGAACTTGGAGCGCATGTGGCCGACAATGGACTTGAAAAATATTTGCCTCAAGTTATGGATTGTCGTCTGCTACATGACAATATGCAGGAATACCTTGGAAACTTCGGAGTCCACTGCTTCCACAAGACTTGATGTCAGAGCTTCGGCGCTGCTGATCGCCGCGATCCTTGCCTTGTCTGCAGTGGAAACACATTAAATCCTTGAGGTCTTCAAGGCTGCAATGTAAATTGGCTCGCACGCCCCAATTTTCCACTGTGATCGACAAGAAAAGTGGAGCTTTGCGCACCACCCTGCCTCCTCAACTCCGCCTTCCTGCCATTGTGCTCTTGTAAAACGCTTTTGAACATACGAGAGTGTGATCTGCGGTTAGTATTTTGGGGTACGAGAGGTGAATTCTTCGGAGTTTGCAACTACTACGTCCTGCACAAATCCTGGCATGGGCACTACCAGTGAGGGAAAACCATGCCTGTCCCTCAATTAAGCGATCAAATGCTTCCTTCACTTGTACTGTAGATTAAATCGTGCAAGCAGCACAGGGACCAAAGAAGAGCAATCTTGCAAGTGAGCGAGCACGTGCAGACGACACTGATGTCCCGTCATCATCTCGAAAGCGGGATGTTAACAACACAGCAAGCGACGGAGATTGCGCGAAGAGCCCAACGTTGGCAGCAATAATTAGTTCATGCAGGGGTAAAGTATCCGATGCAGCAGACGAAGCGGACATGCGTTTGTTGTGGGACTGAGTCTCGGCAACGCACAGCTGGATGTGCCCTTCAAATAAGTACATTGCGTGGAATTGAGGCGGTTATCACATCGCAATTTTATACCTAGATATCCAGGGCTATTTAAGGCTGGGAAAGCATGCAGGTCGAAGTCTCGCGCACGGAGAAGGTCGCGAGAATCTTTGCTGCATTTGACAGCGATGGTGATGGGCTGCTGTGCAAGGTGAATCTGCACACCCCTCAAATGTCCACGTTGTATAATTCAATTGCATATCAGGGCTTGCTCATTTGCCAATGATGTGAATATGTGCCAGGACAGCATCCAAGGACTTTTGATAGAGAAAACCGCCCCTCACCACAGAGCAAAGCCTACCCAATCTACCGGAATCCCTTCTTACTTCTTCCAAGGAACTTTAGGTTGCTTCTATTGCTCGTTTGTTGGATTACAGTCTACTCTAGCAAACCAGGGGCCAAAGTATGAAACAAGATGGTCACACACTCTGTCCATTTTGAGGAGCATCTGGAGATCCACATTTCAATTTTACGATGTCAATTGTGAATAAAGGATACATAGGGACTCACCCTATGACTCTCACATTGATGCGGCAGGCGCAATTTTCACGCTCAAGTTGCTGTGTGTTGCCTATTGAAGTCTGCTTTGTTGTGCACAAACAGGGCGAGCTCTCAAACTTCATCGAGGGCGTGAATCCCTTTGTGCAGTTCACAGAGGCGCAGCTGTCAATTATCCTCGAAGAGGTTTGCCAGTGGCCAATCTTTCTCTGTTCTCTGCTCACAGCCTCTTGAGCTCATCAGGCCTGCCGCAACCTGCACATCAATGGAATCCATTAGACACCGTGCTCTCTGTAATGTCTTGCACAACAGTAGAGCAGCACAATCTCCCTTGTCAAGAGTGTATCCTTGACTATTGTGCAGGTGGCAGTGGAGTATGAGGCGTTCCATGTCAAGGAGGGGCTGACTCTCCGGGGGCTACAGCAGACATATGATGACGGCATCGGCGATGTGGACACAGACTATGACACACTGGGTCTTGCCGATCTTGTGAGACCCCTTCTTATACCTGCTATGGGAAGCTTAGTCTTTTTTTGTGATCAAAGTCACGAAATTGGGTTAGCATCAGCAACTTGGCTAGGCCGGAGCAGTTATGCTATGAACCCCCAGGTAGTGTGTGTCAGCAGAATATACCACAAACTACCCATGACATATGTTGTATGTTGCATCTGTGTCACTCTCACTCCTGCACTCTGCAAATTGATATACAGTGACTTTGGATGGAGGACAGTCTTACCTGACATGCATTTGCGCAGGTGGCGTCCGGTGAGTCATCCGATGAGTCATCCGGGCAGCCAGAGAAGCTGGTCTACAACGCAGCGCCCTCCGCGGCGGCCAACGTGGCCGCCGGCGGCTTCGGCGTGGTCGGGGAGATGAGCTGCGTGGCCGCAGAGATAAGCGAGGAAGCGGAGGAGGGAACCCCGCTGAAGAAGGTGCCCTCGGCAGGCTCCGCGGTGTTCACTCTGGTTGCGCGCGCCGGCGCCGTGGCCGGGCCGCCCTCGCGTCAGACGTCCGGGCAATTTGCAGCGGAGCACGGCATGCCCACGCCGCCAGGCTCGGCCAGGTGACACACCGCCTAGTCGGGCAATGCCATGGCCGGTGCTGTAGCCTGGCACGCTTCTTCTGCTGCTGAACTATGCGCAAACTCTGCCTTCGCTTGGGATGGCCTCATGGCAGCAGTCCTTCCTTCATTAGCGATGCAGACACTGTGCAATACCAGGAGTTCGCCCTGATCAGTCAATTTGAAATGTGTGTGTCATGGGCGCACCATCACGCAGGAACACACATACCTAAGTTCAGAAGCTCCAAGAATCATGACGCTCACGTCTAACGCGTCTTATGTGATCCTGCAGATCGGTGATGTCTGCTCGCTCGTCGGCCACGCCGGGGCTGCTGTCCCGGGAGAGCTCTGGCGTGTTCCTGCAAGGTGCCTCCCTTATCCCAGTGCCTTTCTATAACTCATGCAGTCCTCCACTGGCCATCACACTAGAAGTTGACAGTGTGCTGTTAAATAGGGCTAATTCTTGGTATTTGATAGGGTATTAAATAGTCTCCAGCGCTGCATATTTCTCGAAAAGGCCTGGTTCGGCAGCTGATACATCTTCCTAGACTGGCCATCACACTAGAGGTTGACAGTGTGCTCTCAAATGGGGCTAATTCTTGGCCATTGAATACACAGGTGCAGGCTTGTTGGAGCGGCCAGGAACGCCCCTGGCGCGTGTCCTGCTGCGGCCGCCAGCACAGCTTGCTGAGGTGGCCGCTGATGTGGCGGCCCAGGGGACGCCCATGTCAGCGCGCTCCGCCAGATCTGGCGGCACTCCCTGGTGTGCTTCTCAAACACTCAAGCGCTCACCACACACGTTTGAAGAGGCGGTGCCTTTCAACTTTCCTATTCTTGCCTTTCGCCTGTCGGCACCTTTTTGTAAACAGAGATTTAGCAATCGAGGGATTCTGTTCAATCATTCAATGCCTGTGGAATTTTTGGGACACCAAGATTCCTCATCTGGGCATGTCTCTTTTATCGAGGGCATCAATCATGCAATACTGACCATTATGTAATCTCTGTGCCAGGTCACTCTCCAGGGCGAGCTCCGGGCAGCCGGGCAGCGCGGGCTGGGGCTCCCGGGCAGCGCTCCGGGCAGCCACATCTCGGCCCTCCTCGGCTGATTCAGACAGTGCCGCGCCAGACCAGACCCCGCCACGTCAGCAACCGCCTAAGGCTCTAGCCTCAGCAAGCGCTTTGCCGCAAGGAGACTCCACTCAGGAGGAGCGGGTGTTTCCACTCGGCATGTCACCAGGGCAGGCTACAACGCTGCCTGCGCCAGAAGCCCCTAAGGCAGGAGGAACAGCCGCGTCCGCGCAGTCATTGGCAGCAGCTGTCGGTGCTCGCAGTGAAACCGCCGGCTCTGAAGAGGCTTTCGCGTCGGCGACGGCGATTGCAGCACAAGCAGAGCAGGGTGAGACGGCAGAGCTGCTGTCCTCTGCAGCGGCTGAAGGCGCCCTGGCAGCGGTGGCTGCAAGTGCAGGCTTGCCGTATTTTGTTGCTGCCGACACGGCGGCAGCAAATGCAGCTCAAGCAGTGCAGCGTGAGACAGCTGAGCACGCCACTGCAGCGCCAGAGAAGCCCAAGGCAGGGATGACGGCAGTCACAGGCTCGCCATCTGAGACCGCACCCGGCACGGCGGCAGCGGCGGCCGCCGCGGGACAATCCGCGCCGTCCCAAAAACGGCCGAGGACGCCCGATTTGACCGCGGGTGACTCATCCACAACGGGTGACTCACCCGTGCCTAGACTGGCAGCGACGCCTGAATTGGCACCGGCGGCCGCCTTGCTGGAAGGGCAAGCAAATATTTTTGGCATTGGTTCAGCTGGTGAGACCGTATCTCCTCGGTTCGGGCGGCTGATCGGGGTTTCTCCGGGCAACGAGTCGTTCTACAGCACGAACGAGGATGTGGAGGGCATGGAAGTGGATGCCAGCGCCAGCTCAGCAGCTGAGTCAGCCAGATCTTACGCCAGCTCAGCGGCCAGCTCAGACGGCTTTGGCGAGAGCGCCGCCGACACCTCTGAGGTCCCCCCAGCAGAATTTGCCGCTGCTGCTGCCATGGAGTCAGGAGATGGTGACAGCTCTGCAATTTACTCCTTTGGGGCTGCCGGTGCGGGCATGCGCGCAGATGCATGCACCAAACCAGACGGTGCAAGCAAGGTGGATACAATCATGGATGAGGGGCACAGCAGCGAATCGGCGGCGGCTGCTCTGCCTGCATTTCTCCGAGTTGGCTCAACAAACGACACCAGGGTTGCCGCAGCTGCTTGGGCGGAGGCAACAGGCATGGACTGGGAGCATTCGCAGCAGAGTGGCGGCAGCTTCACGGCAGCTCCTGCTGACAGCGTAACAGCCGGAGTCTCCTCTGCGGTTGCGTTGCACAGCGACACAGAAGCAGCCGCAGGTGCTGACAGCAGTGTCAGCTCCGTGCATGTGGCAGTTGCAGCGGCCGGCGCGCAGACTCCGGGCGGCAGCAAGAGGCGGCGTGTGGCGCCGGAAGCTTCCGCGGCAGCTTCTGTGGCAGCTGCCGCGCAGGACAACGGCGATGCCTCCCTTGACGCCCCAAGACCGGGAGAGCCGCAGCTTGTCGAGGCAGCGGGCTCGCATGCAAAGACAGGCGCGCATGTGAACCTCCAAGCAGCAGACAATGCAGCGGACGGCATGGGCTCGGAAGTCAAAGCCGCAGCCCTAGGCGCTACTATGGTGGAGAATGGCGCACTGAAGCGTGCAGCAGACATGGCGCCGGCTGTTGTCTGCCGAGCAGCAGTTGTTAATTCTGAGGACAGGGCCGCTGATGCTGCTACTCCAGAGCGTGAGGAGCCGCCGAAGGGTAGGGGTTCCCTCCTTTGCTCCCTGCTGATCTGACACAATATTCTGCAAAGGCTTGACGGCCTTTGCCACATACTGTGCTGGGCTGAGCACAGCTGAATGAGTCCGGCAATGACTCGGAGGATGCCAGCTTTGGAATTTCAAGACTCATCATGCAAGCGCCTGTTGCTGCAGGTACTTTTGT